CCCCTCACCACCCCCCTCAACCCCCTTCCCCCTAAACCCCTAAACCTCTAACCCCCTAAATCCCTAAATCCCTAAACCCCTAACCCCCTAAACCCCTAAAACTCCTAAACCCCTAAACCCCTAAACCCCTTAACCCCTAACCCCCTAACCCCCCTAAACCTCTCAACCCCTCAACCCCTAAACCCCTAGCCCCCAAATCCCCTAAACCCCTAAACCCCTAAACCCCTATAACCAATAACCTTACACTGTATCCATTCAATCCAATCATATACCCATCCACACCAAATCTTTACTTGCCAACAACAATTAATTATTTATCCATCCTCACATGTGACATTAAAAAAAACCTAAAAACGCTAATAATCTCTTAAATCGTATGAGCTGGAAAATATTGATGTAAAATATTTGTGTAAAATATTTGTGTAATATCTAGTATAATTAAACAATGTGTCGATGCAATTGACAATTACATTCATTCTCGTTAAAATTGAAAGGGAAATTTTTAAAATCTTTTCACGCATTCTCATGCCTAGAATTACTTATTTTTTACAAACTTAAAGTTTTGAAGCATTATTACGCTTTATCACCTCATGGGGCGCGAGATTTTCTTTCCGTATGATTTCATACTGCAGTTATGTTACACAACTTATGAATAGGATTTTTTATGGTCGACTAACTTCTCCCGGTCTCCGTGACAGGATTTTCTTCTTTAGAATCGGTCAACCGTAAATGTTGAACGTTAAAGTACTTTTTCTTGCAAACATTTTGTTGTTGACGAATTTTTTCTTTAAACTAACGTTACCAAGATCCCTAACCCCTAAACCAAACCCTTAACCCTAAGCCTAAATCTAATCCTAAGACTATGTTGGCAAATAACTAGTGTCAATCTTGTAATATCATGTCATATTTCAAAAAATAAATTCTTTGAACACTTTAATTTTATTTACAATTTACTTAAAGGAAAACCACTGTAAAGTTAACTATCTGAATGAAGCACTATATGTGCCATCACATCACATATTACAATTGCTTGTACATTGTAAATTCTACCAAATTCTTTTTTTATTAATATATATATATATTTTAATGGCAATTAGGTCAACACAGAAAATAAAATGAATGGTTGCCGTCTGCAAAATTAGAATGCATTGCTGAAAAATCCCGATGCTTATTTAATGTGTGATTCACCGACTAACTGACCCAGAGCCTGATAAGGCTTGGAAGTTTTGTAAGTTTTGAAATATCCGGTGTTACTTTGTTCAAGACACGTGTTAACATTGAACGTCTGTGTACAATTCGTTTCACGGCCACTTTGCCTTAACATAATAACCTTTGGGGAAAACCAGAAATGTCCTTTTCTATTTCGGTTTGCGTTCAACTGGAAGCCAAATAATATTGCGTCAAACATTCCAAGACCTTATAATGTATAGCTTGAGATGTGATTAATACACACCATGCATTTTCAAAGTTAGTTCAATTTTTTAAGAAAGGTAACCAAACAACCAAATAACATTAAAGAAAGGAAACCAACCAACCATCCAACCAACCAACCAACCAACCAACAAACGATATTTTGTTGTAGTAAAAACTTTTATTATTTATTACCTCAAATTAAATGGAAATTTCTTTATTTTTGGGGATGCTATCTAAAGGGATGACGTAGTTCGACCTCTTTGGGATAGACGACATTGCAATGAACATTGTTTATAAAGAATCAAATCCAATGGAGAAGGAGAGATCTGAAAGTTAATCAAAACCATATTTGTAACCTATCGATTGGGGGGGGGGGGGCTGTGCCCCGACATCGGGAATGGGAGTAAATTGAATTATAACTATGAGAAACGGTGGGGTTCATTAANCCAACCAACCAACCAACCAACCAACAAACGATATTTTGTTGTAGTAAAAACTTTTATTATTTATTACCTCAAATTTAATGGAAATTTCTTTATTTTTGGGGATGGTATCTAAAGGGATGACGTAGTTCGACCTCTTTGGGATAGACGAAATTGCAATGAAAATTGTTTATAAAGAATCAAATCCAATGGAGAAGGAGAGATCTGAAAGTTAATCAAAACCATATTTGTAACCTATCGATTGGGGGGGGGGGTCTGTGCCCCGACATCGTGAATGGGAGTATAATGAATTATAACTATGAGAAACGGTGAGGTTCATTAAAGATGAAGTAACGAGATGACTGCAGAAACAGTGGGGTTCACTATAGAGGAAGCAACAAGATGATTGAAAAACAGGGGGGTTCATTATAGAGGAAGTAACAAGATCAATGTATAAAGCTGCTTGTACACTGATGCATGGAGAATTTTTAGTAGAGGGAAAAAAATTAGTCTAATATTAAAAAAAAATTACTTTAAAAATTATTTTTAAACAAAACTTATACCCACAAATTTCCACCTTCAATTAATTTACATAACACCAAAAAGGTACAGATGCATGTATTCATAACATTGAGGATTAAACAGTGCAGCTAAGCACACAATAGGAAATATGTACAGCTCTTAAAATCGTTAAAATCATAAAGGTAGTGCGTGATCGTTGAGTAGCAGGCCAATTAAAAGAGAATGTAAACAACATTGCTGGCTTTCTCCCGGGTGTCAAGTTGTGTGAGAAGAGAGAGGGCGGTCAGAATGTAAACAACATTGCTGGCTTTCTCTTGGGTGTCAAGTTGTGTGAGAAGAGAGAGGGCGGTCAGAATGTAAACAACATTGCTGGCTTTCTCTTGGGTGTCAAGTTGTGTGAGAAGAGAGAGGGCGGTCAGAATGTAAACAACATTGCTGACTTTCTCCCGGGTGTCAAGTTGTGTGAGAAGAGAGAGGGCGGTCAGAATGTAAACAACATTGCTGGCTTTCTCCCGGGTGTCAAGTTGTGTGAGAAGAAAGAGGGCGGTCAGAATGTAAACAACATTGCTGGCTTTCTCCCGGGTGTCAAGTTGTGTGAGAAGAGAGAGGGCGGTCAGAATGTAAACAACATTGCTGGCTTTCTCTTGGGTGTCAAGTTGCATGAGAAGAGAGTGAACGGTCACGTGTTCAACCAAGTCGATCCTCTTTTGCCAGGCTGTACCTTAATCTTTTGGATAAATAAAAGCTTCGCGTTTTGTCATACAATCACCATTTTATTATATTTGTAAAGTTATCAAATTAATTTAGCTGAATAATAATATAAGACACTTTTTAATCGTGTCTATCAAATTAATTTAGCTGAATAATGTAAGATACTTTTTAAATGTGTCCGGGGCTCTTTGTTAATCCAATCAGCCACTAAAACAGATAGAAAGACTGAAGATTAAGAATGAGGAATCAGAGAACCTCATGGCGACAGATAGAGACACACAAAAACTGATGGCTACAGATTTGGACACAGAGAAACTGATGTTCACAGAGAGGGAAACACACACAGAGAAACCGATAGCAACAGATTGAGACAGACACACAAAAACTGACAGCGACAGATGGAGACACACACTGAGAAACTGATGGCGACATATTGAGACACACACATACACAGATAAAGAAAGACTTTGGAGAAAATGAGACTGAAAAGAAAAAGAATAGAAGACATTGAGAGACCACTGCGTGGAAAGTAGATGAGTGTCGAGAAAAACATACGTTTGATAATTTATATGTTGCTGCATGATAAAAAGTTTTCGAGACAGTAAAAAAAAGACAGGGAGGGAAAGATAGAAAGAGTGTTCGAGACAGTAAAAAAGGCAGACAGGGAGTGAAAGAGAGAAAGCGTGTTCGAGCCAGTTAAAAGGACAGACAGGGAGTGAAAGAGAGAGCGATGCTCGGTGTTGAACAGAAATGTCATTGAAAAGAAAACTTCGGTTATTGAAAAAACGTATAAAGAGATCCGCCGCCTGAACTAGGCCAAGAACTGACAGGAATAAAGTCCTCAATGTTGGCACTGATATATCAATCCGCGTATCTGTCTGTATTGCATATTTTGGTTGTGCGCCAATGTGCAATACGGGTCTAATATTCCTGGAATGCTGGTACAATGATTGCTGGAGTGCATCCATATGTGGGACTCTGATGTCTAGTAATGTGTGTTAAAATATTTTATACTTTTATAACGTAGACAGAGAAAATATAACAGTGGGTTTAATCTATTTTTGATTTCTAGACTAGTGGATTAGACAGTCAACAGAACATGGCTACAATGTGTCGTCTCCTTTCAGTCAGTTCAGATTCTATATTGTCCGCTAGAGGATTGTCCCTTTCTTTAAATAAATAAGCATGTGGGAATATTTAAGTATACTGACATAATTAGGAACAATAAAATGTATTAGTAACACATCGAAGATAACAACAAATGGTTGGAGCTTTGTCTTTCAAACTATAAGCATGTTTGTGTACGCAAAACTAGGGCAAGAAATTTCTTTTTTTTTTTTAAATTTTGTTTTTGAATCAATAGAAACATATCTTGTCTTAACCAAGTTTGTGTGTGCAAAACTAGGAGAGACATAAATGTAATTCTACAGTAAACGGTTTATTTTTTTATAAACAATGGCTTTTTGACTCGTGAATAGAGATTCAGTTGACAATGTCGTACGACCAAATACATAGAGTCAGCGTGCACATTCCTTAACCCTAACCTAACTCTTGAATAGAGATTTAGTTGACAATGTCGTACCACCAAATACATCGAGTGAGCGTGCACATTCCCTAACCTTAACCCTAACTCGTGAATAGAGATTTAGTTGACAATGTCGTACGACCAAATACATAGAGTCAGCGTGCACATTCCTTAACCCTAACCTAACTCTTGAATAGAGATTTAGTTGACAATGTCGTACGACCAAATACATAGAGTCAGCGTGCACATTCCTTAACCCTAACCTAACTCTTGAATAGAGATTTAGTTGACGATGTCGTACGACCAAATACATCGAGTGAGCGTGCACATTCCCTAACCCTAACCCTAACTCTTGAATAGAGATTTAGTTGACGATGTCGTACGACCAAATACATCGAGTGAGCGTGCACATTCCACCGTGTGACAACCCCGTGTGTCAAAAGTCATTATTGAAGCTGGTGGATTTGTTGCAAAATGATTACTGCACGTGTTACCATGAATATAAACTCAGTAAGTATTTAATATAAACTTCCCAATTTTGAGTTTCTTGAAATGTTTATTTGGAATTTCAAGCTACTATAACTTTCTTCAGCCAAATTACAAAATTCGAAACAAAAGAAATTGTCCTTAATATAGAACACAAAAAGTGGAATTGGTTTGATAATGTGATTTAAAAGACGTTAATTACAGTTGGAACATCTATTTCTGGCAAGAATTTTAACAAAATAAAAAATATTGATGTCTGTAACACACTTCTACTCTGACATGGCGTGGGATGTTATTTCTTATGCTGTGGGTTATGTCAGTAGTATGGTTACTTATATTAACGCTTCAGGATGCCGACTCAGTCTTCTTCATTCTTTCACTTATTATTCAGGCACGTAAAGAAGAATGCTCAATTCCAGTTAAAACTCACAGTACTTTATTGAACACACTTTATATTGATAATATTAATAAATAATCCTTGCATGAATGTAATTTCACATATATATCTATAGTATTCCATCATTAAGAAAGACACGTCCTCAGACTACTATAACTCAGCTCAACTGTCTAATCTCACAGCTCTCACGCTACTGACTGACTCTACTGCTCTGCGCTCAGCTCTCTACTATCTCAGTCAACTCATACTTTATTACCAGCAAAGCGTGCAAAACAACCGCTCTGACAAAAACATAATTTTACTCTCCAAAAACGTGGAGTTCACATTTGTTCTCAAAAATACAATCCACATTGATTGTCTCTCCCCGTGGAAAAACCTGGTGAACACACTCACTGTCCACTCATGCTACCTCTCTGTTTACATGTGAAAACATAGTCCGTTACATGCCCCACCCATCTGAAAAAATTTTGTGCAACAAAATTTTTGGCATTATATGTTGAAATAATGATAATGTCTCTTAGAAAATTTCAATGCCACATCTAACAATCAAATCAGTGTAACAACATTAACATTTCATCATTATGAAATACAGAGTCTTTTACTGTTAATATCACACTTAATAGTGAATAATGTACCCTGGCAAAAAATTAAAAAATCACCAATGACAACCTCTTAAAATCTTTATGTATGATAATGTGAAGTGACATTAACATCTTAATGAATAATAAACACTGCAAAATGAATGTAACAATCTTAAATTTTGCATTAGAAAATTTACAATCGGTTAAAATATGATATTCATTTACAAAAATTGATATGTACAAGTGTCTTATCAAAAAACTGAGTGAACGTATGTGTGTATATTCATTTAGAATGTCTGACTAATGTGTCTTAAGTCAGTGTCTTTGTCATTGTCTGCATGTTCAATGTGTCTGGAAAGGAAATCAGCTACTGTATTGTCTTTTCCTTTTATTGTCCTTATCTCATACTGATAATCTAATAGTATCAACGACCATCTGTTTATTTTACTATTCGCTATTTTCTTTCTATTCAGTGCCATTAATGGCTTGTGATCAGTCAATAATGTAAATTTTCTGCCTAATAGATATTTCTGTAGTTTGGTAAGTGCCCACACAATTGCTAAGCATTCTTTTTCAATGGTTGAGTAGTTAATTTCAGTTCTGCTTAATGCTCTACTTAAATAGGTAATGGGTCTTAATTTATGATTGTATTCTTGCATAAGGCAAGCTCCTAATCCAATGTTGGAGGCGTCTGTAACTAGAGTGAAAGATTGTTTAAAATTGGGTGATAACAATATGTTGTCACTTTGGAAAATTTCTTTGATTGTTCTCAGTGTATTTTCGCATTCATCCGTCCATACTATTTGTTTCTTGCTATCTTTATTTATTAGTTTCCTTAAGGGTAGTGTAACATCAGAAAATTTTGGAACAAAAGTGCTGTAAAAATTGCACAAACCTAAAATGGCTTTTACTTCTTTCTGAGTGTGTGGTGTTTTTATATTTAGTATTTTTCCTCTGTTGTGTTCTGTGGGCTGAATTGTGTTTTTACCGACTTTAAATCCTAAAAATTCAATGTCCTCTTGTGCAAACTTTAATTTGTTTGGTGCTATTGTAACTCCATGTGCTCTTAATTTGTTTAGTACTGTTTTTATAGTCTCTAAATGTGTCTTCATATCCTTAGTGTGAATACAGATGTCATCGACAAAATGTACGACATTTGGTATGCCTTCTAGCATGATTCGCATGAATCGAGAAAATGTTGCGGTGGAATTAACTAGACCAAATGGCATTACTGTCCATTCGAACAAGCCTTCCTCTGTGGCAAATGCAGTCAAAGGCATGGAATCCGGATGCATGCCTATTTGCCAGAATCCTCTGTTTAAATCTAAGTGGGTGAATAATGTGGAGGAGCCTATTTCTTCCAGTAGTTCTCTGGTGTCCCTCATGGGTTCTGCATCTAATTGTGTGATTTTATTTAACTCCCTATAGTCACAACATATACGGCACTGGCCATTTTTCTTTTTTACTACTACCATGGGTGATGCTATTGGTGAATCTGATCTTTTAATCTTGTTGGTCTGTATTAAATGATTTAGTTCTTTCTTTACTTCTTCCCTAAATGCATATGGAATTGGATAGATTTTGTGTTTGAATGTGGGTTCCTGTGTTAATATTATCTTGTGTTCTAAACTGCTAGTGTGTCCTATGTTCTCTGTGATGACATCTTTGTATTCTTTTAGAATTGTTGTTAAGTGTCTGTTTGTTGTGGTGTTATTTTCATTGTCTTCTAATTGTATAACACTAGCAACGGTGGCTGTGCTACTTATTTCATTACTGATGGTTTCTAACTCTTCAGGAACAGAGTCATATTTTCTGAGCAAGTCCACATGTAGGACTTTCAATTCACCCTTCATGTGAATTACATAATCAACTAAATTTAACTTGTCATGAATTGTAAACGGACCCTGCCAAATCTTTTGTCCATTATTGTTTGGCAACCATACCAAAACTTTATCATGTACTTTAAGATCTCTGAGGTATCTATGTGTATTCTTTATATGTCTTTGTCTTTTAGACTCCCTATCAGTGTTTTCTTTAGCATTTTCTATGCCATATGTAATCCTCTCTCTAATTTTTGTAATTATGTCAAATGTGTCTTGTTGTGTGCCTTTCTGGCCTAAAATATTTTCTTTAAAAAGAGTTAACGGTCCCTTTGGATTGGCCCCAAACATTAGCTCAAATGGAGAGTACCCAGTGGTGTCTTGTATACTCTCTCTATAGGCGAATAAAACCATGGGTATATATAGGTGCCATTCTCTAGGGTGGTCTATTGTTGTTTTATTTAACATTGTTTTTAGTGTTTTGTTCCATCGTTCTACCATACCATTAGCCTGTGGTCTATATATTGTGGAATGTACTTGTATTATACCTAGCATTTTTGTAACTGCATTGGTTAAGTTGGAAGTAAACTGTGTTCCATTATCTGACAATATTTTATCAGGGAACCCATGTCTTGTAAATACATCTAATAATGCCATGCAAATTGTTTCTGAATTAATGTTTTTGAGGGGAATTGCCTCTGGCCATCTAGATGCCATATCAATCATGGTTAAAATAAATTTGTGTCCCTTATTTGATGGTGGATTAAGAGGACCAATGATATCTATAGCTACCTTCTCAAAGTTTCTACCTATTTTGTCTGTGGGTTGTATGGGTGCTCTGTGTTTACTGTGTATTGGGTTTTTTGTCAGACATGGTATGCATTTGTTTATGTGTTTCTTTATGTCCTTGTGTATGCCTGGCCAATAAAAATTCTGTGTGACCCTTTCTAATGTTTTTTTTATACCCATGTGTCCAGCCAAAGGACTGTCATGTGCATGGTTGAGTATTTTGTTTCTGAGTATTAATGGTACTATTATTTGAGATTTTTTGATTTCACCTTTCTCAAAATTTCTGATTAGAATATTATGTTTTATTGTGTAATTATGTCCTCTATAAATTGTGTTATTGTCCTTAATTTTGTTTCTAATGTCCTGAATTTGCCTATCTTCTGTCTGCATTCTAATTATGTCCTCTCTAGATATTTGTTTTGGAATGTCTAATTTTTCTTCTATTTCAGGCTGTGTCTGACTAGTTTTATGTTGTTGTCTTGTTATTGCACTTATATACTCTTTGGTTAAATTTTTTGATTCAATCCAATTTAAGAATAGTTCTTGGGAATTATCTGGAATTTCTTTAATATTTCCAATTATTAACTGACATACTGGGTTGTCCATAAGTACTGCCGTTACCTTTCCTGTCAACCATGGACAGTCTATGTCCACTACTGCTTTATAACATTCAACTTTTGTGTTATTTGCTAACATGACTGTGGTTTTTTCAGATATATGGTCTTTAGGGTCAATCAATTTTTTGTCAACTACTATTGTTGTACAACCTGTGTCTCTTAGACACTGAACAAGTTGGTTGTTTACATAAGAAGGAAAAAATTGTAAACTTCCTTCACTGTGACATGCGCTAGCTAAAGTTTCATGTGGTTTGGTGTTTTGTCTACTGTTAGTCTGATTGGAATTATATCTTTGATTTTTATATGGTTGTCTACTCCTATTTGCACTGTTGTATCTAATTGGACTACTGTTGGGTGATGTTCTCTGATAGTATTGTTGTGAATGTCCTAAATCTCTATGTAATTTCCTACACTCATATTTTTTGTGACCTGGAATGCCACAGTAGAAACATTTGTTGTTGTTTGAATAATTAGTATATGGTGTCTGGTAATTGTTTTGATGACTTTTCTGAAATTTATTGTTTTGCCATCTGGCAGGTAGGCTGTGGTATCTTCTGTTTTGATATGTGTTTTGTTTTTGACTGTCCCTATCACTGGGTGTGTTTCTAATAGAGGCTAGTGTGCTGTTTCTATTGTCTAGCTCTTCATTGGGGTGAGCATCTTTAAATGTTGTGATTGAGTCAACTAACTCACGCTCATTTTTAATCTTTCTCTCTTTAAGGAATGAAAATAAAGAGACTGATGCATTTCTTAATATTTTGTCTATGATAAACATATCCAGTAATGCTTTTGGATCATTTAGGTCAATTTCAGTTAATTCAAGCCATTTGACAAGATTGTCTCTAATATTGAATATGGTGGTGTTAGGATCTACTTCTCTCTCTAGTCTTATGTTATGGAAATTTTTTCTATAAATGTCTTCTGTGTTTCCATAGAACTTTAACAAAACTTTCTTTATATATGTATAATTATTCTTTTGTTCTTCACTAAGTGAATTGATAATGCTTAGGCTTTTCCCTGATAATCTGCTCAATAAAATATTAGCCCAAGTCTCTTCTCTATAATTGTAAGACTGACATATGCCTTCAAATTGTGACAGATAACTAATAATTTCTTCTTTATGTTCATTAAATTCTCTAAATTTAGGTTTGTATGCACTGTTGGTTTCCCTATTGCTTGTTGATGTAGTATGCTGTCCTGATTCTATCCTAGCTCTTTCTAGTTTTAGCTCTTCCTCTCTTATTTTCATATCTTGTTCCCTTAATTTAAGTTCTTCTATTTCCTTTTGTCCTTTTAATTTTAGTTCTTCTATTTGTTTAAGGTCGCTTCTCTCTAACAGTCTAGCTTCTCGGTCTTTGTCTTTGTCTTGTCGGTCTTTGTCTTCTTTCTGTCTTTGACTATCTCTCTCCTTGTCTCTTTCCTGTTTGTTCCGTATTTTGTCCATCTCCCTAGTTACGAAGTCAGTTAAATTCTCCTGCTTCAAACCAAGCTTCTCACCTACTTCTAATAATTCCAAGTACTCTGCCATTTTTTATGTGTAATGTGAGTAACTAAAATTATATTGTTATGTATCAGTATATCAGTTATCTCCTTATTCTTTGGTTATCAATTAGAATAGTTTACGATATTTCATATATCTACATGTTAATGAATGTATACACAAATGCAAGTTGAAACATGAATTATAAGTTATAAATAAGTGTAAGAAAAATTTAAAATAATTAAATTGTCTACTTCACAACATAAATACAGATATGTAGACGTTTACATGTATACAAATGGGACAACAAATACGAAAGTACTGTTTAGTTTATGGACCACAAGATAGTAGAAAATATGACAGTAGGTTGACAATATGTATAACAATGACAAGACAAATAGCACAAATATGACAAGATCTACTAAAAAACAACAGTTATGACAATGTACAAACTAGACTTCACCGCTAACATAAAATTATCCTACAGTGTTATAAATAGGGCCAGAAGAAACCTTTACCGTTTTAATAAAAAAACTTCCCTAGGAAAGATAACACCGTGGATGTCCCTACAGTATCCTCTAAAATTAAACTTATATTATACAGAAAAAGTAAAAATTTACTTAATCTAATTAAGTATGATATAAGTAGATTTTTAAAGTCTTAACTTATATATAATATATAACACATAAATACATAAATACCAAGTGTTTAAAAGAAATCCGTAGTTGGTCACCTCTGCTCCTCTGTGACGCTATGATTTCTGTGTAATCGATAATCCTCTGTAGTAGATGCTCCTTCTAGGTAGTTGTCTAGCTCTTCATTGGGGTGAGCATCTTTAAATGTTGTGATTGAGTCAACTAACTCACGCTCATTTTTAATCTTTCTCTCTTTAAGGAATGAAAATAAAGTGACTGATGCATTTCTTAATATTTTGTCTATGATAAACATATCCAGTAATGCTTTTGGATCATTTAGGTCAATTTCAGTTAATTCAAGCCATTTGACAAGATTGTCTCTAATATTGAATATGGTGGTGTTAGGATCTACTTCTCTCTCTAGTCTTATGTTATGGAAATTTTTTCTATAAATGTCTTCCGTGTTTCCATAGAACTTTAACAAAACTTTCTTTATATAGGTATAATTATTCTTTTGTTCTTCACTAAGTGAATTAATAATGCTTAGGCTTTTCCCTGATAGTCTGCTCAATAAAATATTAGCCCAAGTCTCTTCTCTATAATTATAAGACTGACATATGCCTTCAAATTGTGACAGATAACTGATAATTTCTTCTTTATGTTCATTAAATTCTCTAAATTTAGGTTTGTATGCACTGTTGGTTTCCCTATTGCTTGTTGATGTAGTATGCTGTCCTGATTCTATCCTAGCTCTTTCTAGTTTTAGCTCTTCCTCTCTTATTTTCATATCTTGTTCCCTTAATTTAAGTTCTTCTATTTCCTTTTGTCCTTTTAAATTTAGTTCATCAATTTCTTTTTGTCCTTTTAATTTCATTTCCTGTTCTTTTAATTTCATATCCTCTATTTCCTTTTGTCCTTTTAATTTTAATTCTTCTATTTGTTTAAGGTCGCTTCTCTCTAACAGTCTAGCTTCTCGGTCTTTGTCTTTGTCTTGTCGGTCTCGTATTTTGTCCATTTCTCGAGTTACGAAGTCAGTTAATTTCTCCTGCTTCAAACCAAGCTTCTCACCTACTTCTAATAATTCCAAGTACTCTGCCATTTTTTATGTGTAATGTGAGTAACTAAAATTATATTGTTATGTATCAGTATATCAGTTATCTCCTTATTCTTTGGTTATCAATTAAAATAGTTTACGATATTTCATATATCTACATGTTAATGAATGTATACACAAATGCAAGTTGATACATGAATTATAAGTTATAAATAAGTGTAAGAAAAATTTAAAATAATTAAATTGTCTACTTCACAACATAAATACAGATATGTAGACGTTTACATGAATACAAATGAGACAACAAATACAAAAGTACTGTGTAGTTTATGGACCACAAGATAGTAGAAAATATGACAGTAGGTTGACAATATGTATAACAATGACAAGACAAATAGCACAAATATGACACGATCTACTAAAAAACAACAGTTATGACAATGTACAAACTAGACTTCACAGCTAACACAAAATTATCCTACAGTGTTATAAATAGGGCCAGAAGAAACCTTTACCGTTTTAATAAAAAAACTTCCCTAGGAAAGATAACACCGTGGATGTCCCTACAGTATACTCTAAAATTAAACTTATATTACACAGAAAAAGTTAAAAATTTACTTAATCTAATTAAGTATGATATAAGTAGATTTTTAAAGTCTTAAATTATATATAATACATAACACATAAATACATAAATACCAAGTGTTTAAAAGAAATCCGTAGTTGGTCACCTCTGCTCCTCTGTGACGCTATGATTTCTGTGTAATCGATAATCCTATGTAGTAGATGCTCCTTCTAGGTAGTAGATAATCCTATGTGGTAGTGTACTTGGGTAAAATAATCCAATGAGAAAAGTTACACCACAAATTGCTGCAATACTCCAATGTAAGTACCTTGCGTAATAGTGTAATTGTGATAATCCAATAATTGAAAATTGTCTAATTTCTCTCCGGTTCTGTTGCACTTGTGAGTAATTGAAGAATTACTTGAAGAATTACTTGACTTGAACTGTGCGGCTTGTATAAAGTAAAGATTATGCTGGGGAAATCTTACTTCCGCTGTCTTGATAAAACATCTCATCTGTAATGACATCAGACTTCTTTTGGTTTTGTGTGGATCATCTCTTTCGTTGACTAATAACTGTAAAATAGATTTCTTGCTGTTTCTTCCACGAGAATATTCACTCCACTGTTATATAATTGAAACAGTGTACCAGTTAGCTGTTTGAACTCTCAACTTTTGACTCCCGTGACTGACCTAAATTCAATCGTTGTCAGCTTGCTCTGTGTGTCGTGGACTCTTCTCAGACTTGACAAATACTCGGGCGTAATGACGTTCGATTCGAATGTTAAAATATATCATTGTTACTCAATGTTCTGTAATACATCGTTGTTCTGACACTTCTGACAATATTTGTAACGCATCGTCGTTACACCGCTTCTGACACCATTTGTAACACACTTCTACTCTGACATGGCGTGGGATGTTATTTCTTATGCTGTGGGTTATGTCAGTAGTATGGTTACTTATATTAACGCTTCAGGATGCCGACTCAGTCTTCTTCATTCTTTCACTTATTATTCAGGCACGTAAAGAAGAATACTCAATTCTAGTTAAAACTCACAGTACTTTATTGAACACACTTTATATTGATAATATTAATAAATAATCCTTGCATGAATGTAATTTCACATATATATCTATAGTATTCCATCATTAAGAAAGACACGTCCTCAGACTACTATAACTCAGCTCAACTGTCTAATCTCACAGCTCTCACGCTACTGACTGACTCTACTGCTCTGCGCTCAGCTCTCTACTATCTCAGTCAACTCATACTTTATTACCAGCAAAGCGTGCAAAACAACCGCTCTGACAAAAACATAATTTTACTCTCCAAAAACGTGGAGTTCACATTTGTTCTCAAAAATACAATCCACATTGATTGTCTCTCCCCGTGGAAAAACCTGGTGAACACACTCACTGTCCACTCATGCTACCTCTCTGTTTACATGTGAAAACATAGTCCGTTACAATGTCGAAAACGATATGTCCCTTGATATCAAAAACTATATGTTCATTGACTGAAAAAATATTCTTCATATAATTATTAAGACTTTCATAGATAAATTAGCATAAATTATAGATGTAATAACTAAGAATCGATTTTTTAAGGTAAAGATCCAATCTTACTTTTCAGACGGGCCTTACTGTCTATGGTTTGAGGAGATATTCTTGGACGCTACTGTTACCATCATACACAAATGTTTGCAGTTTTGGAAAAAGGCAAGACTTTCTAAGTCATCTCTTGTTTTTCTATTTTAATTCTTTTGTCTTTCTGTCTAAATCACTTGTCTTTCTATGTCCCTCTCTTGACTTTCTTTGACCCTCTCTTGTCTTTCTTTGACCCTCTCTTGTCTTTCTTTGACCCTCTCTTGTCTTTCTATGTCCCTCTCTTGTCTTTCTATGTCCCTCTCTTGTCTTTAAATGCAACTCTCTTGCCTTTCATTGTAATTCTTTTATCTTTCATTGTAATTCTCTTGCCTTTCAATGTAACTCTTTTATCTTTCATTGTAATTCTCTCGCGTTTTAACGTAATTCTTTTATCTTTTATTGTAATTCTCTTACCTTTCAATGTAATTCTTTTATCTTTCATTGTAATTCTCTTGTCTTTCAATGTAATTCTCTCGTCTTTCAATGTAATTCTCTCGTCTTTCAATGTAATTCTCTTGTCTTTCAATGTAATTCTTTTATCTTTCATTGTATTGCTCTTGTCTTTCAATGTAATTCTTTTGTCTTTCAATGTAATTCTCTTGTCTTTCAACGTAATTCTCTTGTCTTTCAATGTAATTTTCTTGTCTTTTAATGCAACTTTCTTGTCTGTCAATGTGACACTCTTGTCTTGTTCTCTCTGCTTGTTCAAGCAGTTTCAATTTTAGCACAGGAACGCTCCATTACTTTTGCTTAGCGCTTAACACCTGAAGTCCTGTTTTGTAGTTTCTCTTGACATATTCACGAAACTTGAATTTAAAGATAATATCGGGTATCTATGGATAATAATAAATAATAGACAAAATATTATTTTCAACATGTGGATGTCGTTTTTGACGTTTCCATTGGTGATTTTAAATGTCATTACTGCTAAACTACTGCTAAACTACTGCTAAACTACTGCTAAACTGCTGCTAAACTAATGCTAAACTTCTTCTAAACTACTGATTTACTACTGCTATTATACTGCTTTATTTATTTATTACTGCTAAATTCTTGCTAAACTAGGAACTTGGGCAAACTTTTCAAAATAAAGCTATAGCTTTTATAGCAAGTTGTTTAGATAGGATTAGGGTTAGGGCCTGAAAAAATGCAATTCGTTGATACCTAATATATGTTTGTAGGTTAATTCTAAAAAAAAAGTTATGATACAGAGATCATATAATAAATTCTGCGATATTCAAGAACGAACTCCTTCATATCCAAAATATCACTCAAACTTCCATATGCACAAAGAGTATCAACAGGTAGATCGCTATGACTATTGTATTGATATTGCATTATGAATGCTATAACTATTACATTACTATTACATTATGGATAGCTATAACTATTGCATTACCATTACCTTATGGATCACTTTAACTATTACATTACTATTGCATTATGAAAAGCTATAACTATTGCACTACCATTTCCTTATGGATCACTTTAACTATTACATAACTATTGCATTACCATTGCCTTATGGATCACTTTAACTATTACATTACTATTGCATTACCATTACCTTATGGATCACTTCAACTATTACATAACTATTGCGTTACCATTTCCTTATGGATCACTTTAACTATTACATTACTATTGCATTACATTACCTTATGGATCACTTTAACTATTACATTACTATGCATTACTATTACCTTATGGATCACTTTAACTATTACATTACTATTACATTACCATTACCTTATGGATCACTTTAACTATTACATTACTATTATATTACCATTACCGTATGGATCACTTTAACCTTTACATTACTATTACATTACTATTACCTTATGGATCACATTAACAATAATAATTACATTACTATTCAAAGCGATTCGTTTAAGTTTTATTTTAATATTAGTTTAATATTTTTTTGGTTTTACCGGTTTTCAAAATATGTTTATGATTTAGATTTAATTCTTGATTTCAAAATATGTTTATGATTTAATTCTTGATTTCAAAATATCAAACTATTTCTAGAAGACAGAAAATCGTTATAAACGTTTTAAAATTTAAAAAAAAAAAATCAATCTTTTTTAAAAGTTGTTTTGAAACGAGAGATGAGGAAATCTTTAATTTGGTCTTGTCTATTTTCTTTGATGAGGAAATCTTTGATTTGGTCTTGTCTATTTTCTTTGATGAGGAAATCTTTGATTTGGTCTTGTCTATTTTCTTAGATGAGGAAATCTTTGATTTGGTCTTGTCTATTTTCTTTGATGAGGAAATCTTTGATTTGGTCTTGTCTATTTTCTTAGATGAGGAAATCTTTGATTTGGTCTTGTCTATTTTCTTAGATGAGGAAATCTTTGATTTGGTCTTGTCTATTTTCTTAGATAAGGAAATCTTTGATTTGGTCTTGTCTATTTTCTTTGACCATATTATGCGGAATGGCAGCGTATCGCTTGCGGAACGGCTACCTATCGCCCATGGACAGGCATCGAATTGCTCGCGGACCGGTGTGAGTACCACCACTTCGGGTAACACAGTTATAGAGAAGTGTTGTGCTGTCAAACTAGCGTCATACCCTTCCCTAGTGCTCTATTTTACTATATAAGAGTCTAAATTCTAGATCCTAACTTTTTTAGAATTTAAATAATTCATATTTCTAAATATTAATAGGACAAAACTTCCGTTTTTTTTCATTAAGAAAATCGTTGTTTTTTTTTCTTTCTTGATCACTTCATTGACTGCTTTGGAAAAGATTTAATTTCTTTTTCTTACAACTAGCTTATAACTAATTTGAATTTTTTTTACAAATAAATAAAAGCAATTAGTGGCGATGGAAACATGAAACATTATCATTGATGAACTACGCCTGTAAGTTATTACTGCCAAATGTATGAACAAATTTAAACTGGTTTACATATATTTACACGGGTTTACACTGATTTACACGGATTTACACTGATTTACATAGTTTTACACAGGTTTCAACGCATGATCATGCGATAATGTTCAACAATAAACTATTTGCTTCTGCTGATAAAAATTTGAAAGAAAATCTCTAAGATTTTTTTAACTCTAAGATTTGTTTAACTCTAAGATTTGTTTAACTCTAATATTTGTTTGATTTTCAGATTGAACCATGTTGGGGTATATTTGAAGGTCGGAATAATGAAGGAAAGGTCATATGCGTTGATCTCTGTAATGACGCGCCTGGGACCTTTGAATCATCAATCTCCTTGCAGACATTTTTTCTCAAGTATACCACACCCGTCGTCAGATGCGACGAGGACTTTGCGAATTTCATTTCAAAGGTTAAATCATGCCTTGACGAAAAACTCCCCAAACCTGAACTCCCAGCACCGATAACTCGTGTACACTCTAGTCAAGATTCTGCCACGCCCACTTGGTTAGAACAGAAAGAGCAAAGCTACTACAACTTTGCCTCCAAGGACGACACTGATGTCATTAGGATATTTGAAGATTGCCCTTGTAAGAACGAATCTATGTATTCAGATGGAGAGATCGATCAACCCTTAAGGTGCTTCCCAGATATTTTTGGGGCACTGAACACCTCAGATCTGCTGGTCAGCAATAACTGTTTTGGTGTCTCTACCGGACACGCGTGCTTCAAATGTTGAGTATATAAATTCATTATATAGTTCCGAACTCATTTATTATATAGTCCCTAGCTCTAACTCATTCATTATATAGTCCCAAACCCTAACTGAATTATTATATTATAGTCCCTAACCCTAACTCATTCATTATATAGTACCTAACCCTAACTCATTCATAATATAGTCCCTAGCCCTGTCTCATTCATTATATAGTATCTAACCCTAAATAATTCATTATATAGTTCCTAACCCTAACTCATTCATAATATAGTCCCTAGCCCTAACTCATTCATTAAATAGTACCTAACCCTAACCCATTCATTATATAGTACCTAACCCTAACGCATTCATAATATAGTCCCTAGCCCTAACTCATTCATTATATAGTCCCTAACTCATTTATTATATAGTCTCTTGCCCTAACGCATTCATAATATAGTCTCTAGCTCTAACTCATTCATTATATAGTCCCTAGCCCTAACTCATTCATTATATAGTCACTAACTCATTTATTATATAGTCTCTAGCCCGAACTCATTCATAATATAGTCTCTAGCTCTAACTCATTCATTATATAGTCCCTAGCCCTAACTCATTCATTATATAGTCCCTAGCCCTAACTCATTTATTATATAGTCCCTAACTCTTTTATTATATAGTCTCTTGCCCTAACTCATTCATCATATAGTCCCTAGCCCTAACTCATTCATTATATAGTCCCTAGCCCTAACTCATTTATTATATAGTCCCTAACTCATTTATTATATAGTCCCTTGCCCTAACTCATTCATTATATAGTCCCTAACTCATTTATTATATAGTCTCTAGCCCTAACTCATTCATTATATAGTCCCTAACTCATTCATTATATAGTCTCTAGCCCTAACTCATTCATTATATAGTCCCTAGCCCTAACTCATTTATTATATAGTCCCTAACTCATTCATTATATAGTCCCTAACCCTAACTCATTAATTCTATTATATGGTCCAAAAAATGTGTTTATATTTGAACCGTTAATTTGAGCGTGCTATAAGAAAATTTATTAAATCTCTGAAATCATCTAATTTAATGTACTCTTTAAATTATTGGGTAGCCAATTAGCTGACATCACTATCAATGGAATTATAGCGCGCAGATATTTTGATATGAGTCAAGGTTTGTTTGTAGCCTTTTCTTGGTAAGAAAAGTTAGTGATTAGTGTTTAATACCTTCAAATTATAGATAACAAATAAAAATTAAAACTTGAGATTGCTGTCAATTTAATTCAAGATATAAAACGTGTAATGATAAATAATGGACAAAAGATTATTTTTTAACATTTTAATGTAAATGTTTCTTTTGACTTGTCCATCAGTTAGTAGCGATGTCAGTACTGCTATACAGATACAAAGATACATCAACAGCTTTAAACACAATGAAGAGACATTTGTCACCAATTGTATTCATTGTTTACAAAAGGTAATGATGAACATGTCTATTTACGTTTATTTTCAAGACATCATAAATAAAATCATTACATTACTGATTCGCAACGCTCTTAATATACGTGTGACTGTTGCAAAGAACTGTTGAGACGGGTTAGGGTTCAAGCAGATGCTATTTTTATTGGAACGTTCACAATAATACTAATATCCAAAAGAAAAACAAATATTTGATCGAACAGAAATAAGACAGACTTTGAAGCACTTCATGCAAAAAAAAATTCCTTAAATATATTCATAACAACTCCTTTCACTTTCAAATTTTATGTAAAACATCTTGATCTACAAATACATTTTTTTTTCATGGCCGTTAAATTCTCTAACGTCTTAATTGCCACGTGACCCCAATTAAATCCTTTCATTGGCCAGTCTTTCTAAGTCTAAGTAATAAGGGGAGAGACTGCAATCCGATAAGCAAAAATGAAATTAGTAAAATAAAGTATAGTCAAACCTCAGAAAAATAACGCAATAAAACAACGAACGTGTTGGCATGAAGCCTTCTTCAGCGAAAAAAAAACTTTAAACAAATTTAAATAACAAAATAGTAAAAAAGCACATAGCTGAGAAGTAATATCAAATATGGCTGCAAAGGAATTGTGACAGAAAATAAGTAGGCGATGGATTAATTACAGGAAAAAGAGGGAAAGAAAAAAGGAGAAGTAATCTACTACGATTGGTCGCTACGTGGAGGGGCGGTGCGAAGGCTTAACATGTGAATGAAAATATGACGTTCATGTCATGTGGATTCAAGGTTCCACCCATAGACCTGGATATGCTTGTTTTGCAAATTCAACCGACGGGGTGTGTTTGTGCTGGTCATGATCGCACTAATTGTGAAATCCGCCGTGCCCTTGTGGTCGCTTCTATTGAAGTGTTTAGAGACGCGACACCGTTTATCTTGCGTAATGTTGTGGAGGTGTACTGAACTTAAAATTATTCTCATGTGTATTTAAATAATATTTAAGTCTAAAATGGTTTATTTTATGGTCCTAGGTTCTACCAGCTCTCTATGCCCACCGCAGTTACTTGGGGTTGCTCATAGTTGCTGTTTGTGATCTGTCAATGCTACAAGACAGAGCTCTCTCTCTTCTAGAAGTACTAATGTTTATGTGCCCAATAAAACACTCCAGTCTAATGGTAATGAATAATTTTAAAAATTTAATGTAGGCTAGTCTCTGTTGTTTCTAAAATTAACTTATCAATTATGGTATAGACCAAATTACACTTCTGCTTTAACTTATCAATTTTTGTATTTCTTAGCATTAACTAACTTTTAATAGTAGAACCATGAATAAGGTAAGCAGCAAAAAAGTATGGGGAATGGGTTATGGCTTATTGATCCATCATTGCCTACAAGTGGCATTCATTTTTGAAAACTGCTCCCTAGCATCATTGATGTAGGTTTCCAAATTTCAAAACCTGGCTACAACCTTGGTGTAAGTCAATGCCTGATTGTGTGCACTACTGTGTTGAACTTTTGAATGTAACTTTGTTATCTCTTAAAGTATATAATATACATATATTATTGTAGTTTATATATTGTATAAAAATCAAGTCATGCGTATTTTATTTTGGTTGGGGAGTGCAACTACATAAAATAATTTTGTGTATACTTCTAGTAATTACTCTTTAAGTTTATAATATTAATGGCATCATATTTGAGTGTTAATTTAATTCAATGTGTTCTCCAATAGTCTATGCATGACAGTGATACATAGAAACATTGTTAAACATTTGTTAACATCAAATCAAATAATAGAAACTTTGTTAAACATTTGCAATCTTTCTAAGAGATCATTGATGATTTAATAAAGACTTTCATTTAGTTAACACAGACCACTGATAATCATACTCTTCTTATTGTCTGGTTATGTAAAAGTATTCTCGCGTCACCTTTGTGAGTCAGGTAAAAACTACTTGTATGCTGCCAAGTCATCTTTGTCATTCAGGTAGAAAATACCTTTATACTATCAAGTCACTTTTGTAAGTCAGGTAGAAACTACCTTTGGACTGGCAAGTCACCTTTGTCAATCAGGTAGAAAATACCTGTATGCTGTCAAGTCACTTTTGTCGGTCAGGTAGAAACTACCTGTATACTGTCAAGTCACCTTTGTCAGTCAGGTAGAAACTGCCTGTATATAACATAGATGCCATTATTGACATAAGTTAAATTTGAAACATAGATTTTGTTGTTTTTTTTATGCCAAGTGTATTGGTTAGAACCGGTCTCACCCTAACCCTAACCCTAACCCTATCCCTAACCCTAACCCTAACCCGGTCTGCACAACTTTAAATGTATTGGTTAGAACCGGTCTAACCCTAACCCTAACCCTAACCCTAACCTGGTCTGCACTACTTTAAATGTATTGGTTAGAACCGGTCTGCACAACTTTAAATGTAAGGCGGGCGGTAATCCTAACCCTAACCCTAACACTGTCTGCACAACTTTAAATGTAAGGCGGGCGGTAACCCTAACACGGTCTGCACAACTTTATATGTAAGGCGGGCGGTAATCCTAACCCTAACAAGGTCTGCACAACTTTAAATGTAAAGCGGGCGGTAATCCTAACCCTAACACGGTCTGCACAACTTTAAATGTAAGGCGGGCGGTAATCCTAACCCTAACCCTAACACGGTCTGCACAACTTTAAATGTAAGGCGGGCGGTAATTCTAACCCTAACACGGTCTGCACAACTTTAAATGTAAGGCGGGCGGTAATCCTAACCCTAACACTGTCTGCACAACTTTAAAAGTAAGGCGGGCGGTAACCCAAACCCGGTCTGCACAACTTTAAATGTAAGATGGGTGGTAACACTAACACGGTCTGCACAACTTTAAATGTAAGATGGGCGGTAACACTAACCCTAACACTGTCTGCACAACTTTAAATGTAAGGTGGGCGGTAACCCTAACCCTAACACTGTCTGCACAACTTTAAATGTAAGGCGGGCGGTAATCATAACACGGTCTGCACAACTTTAAATGTAAGATGGGCGGTAACACTAACCCTAACACTGTCTGCACAACTTTAAATGTAAGGCGGGCGGTAATCCTAACCCTAACACTGTCTGCACAACTTTAAATGTAAGATGGGCGGTAATCCTAACCCTAACACTGTCTGCACAACTTTAAATGTAAGGCGGGCGGTAATCCTAACCCTAACACAGTCTGCACAACTTTAAATGTAAGATGGGCGGTAATCCTAACCCTAACACTGTCTGCACAACTTTAAATGTAAGGCGGGCGGTAATCCTAACCCTAACACTGTCTGCACAACTTTAAATGTAAGGCGGGCGGTAATCCTAACCCTAACACTGTCTGCACAACTTTAAATGTAATGCGGGCGGTAATCCTAACCCTAACACTGTCTGCACAACTTTAAATGTAAGGCAGGCGGTAATCCTAACCCTAACACTGTCTGCACATCTTTAAATGTAAGGCGGGCGATAATCCTAACCCGGTCTGCACAACTTTAAATGTAAGGCGGGCGGTAATCATAACCCTAACACGGTCTGCACAACTTTAAATGTAAGGCGGGCAGTAATCCTAACCCTAACCCGATCTGCACAACTTTAAATGTAAGGCGGGCGGTAATCCTAACCCTAACACTGTCTGCACAACTTTAAATGTAAGGCGGGCGGTAATCCTAACCCTAACACTAGCTGCACAACTTTAAATGTAAGGCGGGCAGTAACCCTAACCCGGTCTGCACAACTTTAAATGTAAGATGGTTGGTAACCCTAACCCTTACATGGTCTGCACAACTTTAAATATAAGATGGGTGGTAACCCTAACCCTTACATTGTCTGCACAACTCTAAATGTAAGGTGGGTGGTAACCCTAACCCGGTCTGCACAACTTTAAATGTAAGGCAGGCGGGCGATAACCCTAACCCTAACCCGGTCTGCATAACTCTAAATGTAAGGTGGACGGTAACCCTAACCCTAAAACGGTGTTCACAACTCTAAATATAAGGTGGGCGGTAACCCTAACCCGGTCTGCACAACTCTGAATGTAAGGTGGGCGGTAATCCTAACCCTAACACGGTCTGCACAACTCTAAATGTGAGGCCCGTATGTTGTGCAGGCCTTGGTTAAATGTTAAGGCTCCCCCCCCCCTTTTTGATAAAAGGGGAGAGACAGCAATCAGGTTAGCAAAATAGAACATGAGTAGAATAAAGTATGGTCAAACCTGCAAAAATTAACCAAACAAAACAACGAACGTATCGGCAAGAAGCCTTCGTCACACAATTATTTTGTTGCTCTCTCAGATACTACTTCTCAGCTAAGTGTTATTTTTTTTTTTTATTCTATTGTATTGTTCGCTGATAAAGGCTTCCTGCCAACTCGTTTGTTGTTTAGTTGCGTTCCTTTTTTCAGGTTTGACCAAATTTTGCTCTTTAGGGTCCTACCATGGTATATGTGAAATGCTTTTGAGTAATTGAGTGCTTTTACCAAGTATAATAATACCTTTTAGGTAAAAAAAACCTCTTCGGCTTAAATTTGAGAAGCCCGCGATCAATTATTGGTTAATAATTCTGGCTCCTATTTCAAAATTAGAGTTTACCTTCTCTTAGTTGGGTCCAAGGCTAGCGGATCCCATCCACCTGGGGTGCTTGGGACTGGTGGGGATTGAACGCAAGACCACCAGCTAATTAGGATTGGGACAGTTTAGACCGCTCGGCCACCCAGCACCCTCGTCATTGCTCTTCATATATGTCAATAAAAAAATTCTTTATCAAACATAATGAAAGCCACAATTTAAAATAAAGTAAATGAATTTATGTCATATAAATGAGAGTCATTATCTCCACAGCACAACATGAAAACAATGCTGAAAGAGAATTTACAAAAAAGGTATAGCTTAAATTGGTTTAACTAGTTTTGGTTCAGTATTTGAGCTTTGTAGAAAAGGATTATTAAATTTTTAAAATTTAAATTAAAAAACCAATACCATTAAGCACCTTCAGAAATAAAGAAACGTCACCTCTTTTATGATAGTAATTATGAATTAATTAGAAAATATATCAATTTATTTTGCTTTATATTAATGATTTAATGAAAATAAATTTTAAATAATACCTTTTCATACATATCTTAAGTTATTTAAATGCAAAAATGATTAATCAATCGAAAACAATTATCTTGTTATTATAAGTTAATATTGTTAATAAAATTGAATGTCTTTAAGTGCTTAAAATTGATTCAATCATTATTAATTTTTAATTGAATTAAAATAATAGAGACTAGATTAGCTAATTTATGTTACTGCTTTAATTTAAAATTATTTTTCATGTATTTATTTTAGGAACTCCAGTGTTAAACAAAAACAACAGCAGATGATAACAAGAAGACTGGCCAATATTTACATGATGATCCAGTGTGAGATGATAACATCCTGCCCAGGCCAGCAACCAGTCTCTTGTTGCCATTTGAGAGAAGGGTATGGGCCCGTAGGGACTGACATCTGCCAAATTATCCACACATAATTAACTTTTTAAAACAATTTTTTTAATGATTTTGTACAATCCCGTCCAAACTTATGAATTACTTAAAAGATATGTTTGTTATAAGTTCAGCATCATTAAACTTATAACAGGAATTTCTTCAATATCTCAATATAATTATTTATAGATTACTTTTGTCTTTCCATATTTAAAAGAAAATTTATAGAAACCTTTTTCCTTTTAAAATACACATATCAAAAGAGTTTAATGATATTTCTTTTTTTGAGAAGAAAATTTATAAATTACAATTAATTCTTAAAAAAATAATTAATTGATGTGATTAAATGTTATTTAAAACCACTGATGATCTAACCTTACAAACCTGTTCAAAGATTTGTCTTAGAGAGTAGAACATACATTTCACACTTGCAGAACCGGAGCAAATCAACCTGGGATGATAAGTGTGGCCCTAGTTAAGTTGATTGACAAAAAACCTGGGATGATAAGTGTGGCCCTAGTTAAGTTGATGGACAAATAATCCTGTGATGATAAGAGTGGTCCTAGTTAAGTTGATGGACAAATAATCCTGTGATGATAAGAGTGGTCCTAGTTAAGTTGATGGACAAATAATCATGTGATGATAAGAGTGGTCCTAGTTAAGTTGATGGACAAATAATCCTGTGATGATAAGTGTGGTCCTAGTTAAGTTGATGGACAAATAATCCTGTGATGATAAGAGTGGTCCTAGTTAAGTTGATGGACAAATAATCCTGTGATGATAAGAGTGGTCCTAGTTAAGTTGATGGACAAATAATCCTGTGATGATAAGAGTGGTCCTAGTTAAGTTGATGGACAAATAATCATGTGATGATAAGAGTGGTCCTAGTTAAGTTAATCCTGTGATGATAAGAGTGGTCCTAGTTAAGTTGATGGACAAATAATCCTGTGATGATAAGAGTGGTCCTAGTTAAGTTGATGGACAAATAATCATGTGATGATAAGAGTGGTCCTAGTTAAGTTTATGGACAAATAATTCTGGGATGATAAGAGTGGTCCTAGTTAAGTTTATGGACAAAATTATCCTGGGATGATAAGAGTGGTCCTAGTTAAGTTGATGGACAAATAATCATGTGATGATAAGAGTGGTCCTAGATAAGTTTATGGACAAATAATTCTGGGATGATAAGAGTGGTCCTAGTTAAGTTTATGGACAAAATTATCCTGGGATGATAAGAGTGTTCCTAGTTAGTTTGATGGACAAATAATCCTGGGAGGATAAGTGTGGTCCTAGTTAAGTTGATGTAAAAATAATCATGGGATGATAAGAGGGGTCCTAGTTATTTTGATGGACAAATAATCCTGGGATGATAAGTGTGGTCCTAGTTAAGTTGATGGATACATAATCCTGGGATGATAAGTGTGGTCCTAGTTAAGTTGATGGATAAGTAATCATGGGATGATAAGTGTGCTCCTAGTTAAGTTTATGGATAAGTAATCCTGGGATGATAAGAGTGGCCATAGTTAAGTTGATGGACAAATGAACAACAGAAATAGATGCGTTCTTTCGATTACTGGAATTTTTATTTTCATGAACAACGATTTTTTAATAATGAGTGTACTGAAATAGAAATAATTATTACATTGTCAATTTTATCAAGCTAGTTTTTAACATTCTTCCTGTGTGTCAACTATCTATGCCAACTTTCTACAGGCAGTTGTCTTTGGATCTGGGAAATATTTTTTGGTGTAACTTGGACACATTCCAAAAGAGAGGAGAGAGAGAAATGTGTCAGTGTGATTGCGTCCAGCAGATTTTGGCTGATGTCATATCTGCACATGATGCCATACCAAAAGTGAATGATATTATGAAAGAGAAGCTTTCAACTCAGCTGGCTGTTGTTTTTGGATGTTTAAGAAAGGTAAGGGAAGGCTTAGGGCTAGGTTAGGGCGAAGTTTACGGTTTGGGTAAGGATTAAGTTAGATATGTGCTTGTTTTAAACAAGTATTTTGAAATCATCAAAAGTTATTAAAATCAAGATTCATCAAACCCATGCCCATATATTGGAGCCATTAAAAATTAATTCTATAAAAAATTCAATTTTAATCCATCGGCATCAAGTGATTGAAAAGAATACAAAAATATATGAACATTTTGTGTCTTAAAAACCTTAGCAATTCTTTATTTATCTATTCAGATTTTCTGTACAAATGATAAAGCCACAGTAACATATTTGAAAAAGTTTATAAGTTTGAAGGCAGGAAAAAAAGAACTGCATGTTATGTGCACCACAATGATCCTGAACGGATTCATCCATTTCCTTTCGCATGGCTTGAGTAAGATTTTTTTTAAACTTGGCATTTTGACCCAAAACAAATCATTTTTTTATTTAAAAATAAGAGCCAAAGTAAGAACATGTTTTAAATGAATAACTTTTAGAGAAACTCAATTCTGAATAAATTTTAGAGAAACTCAACTTTGAATAACAATAGTAAGTGCTTACCATGAGACATTAAAATTTCTAAAATAAGCTGTTTTGTTTGTTTTTACTCTCTTTATCAAGAAAACTCGATGCATAAGGACATTAGAGATTTGTGTTCTGAAGCCATGTCTGTCATTAAGATTCTATCCAAAAAAGACATCCAAGAAGGGGTAAAGTATACTTATTAAACATGTCTTAAAGCAGACTTAATAAAAATTACAGATGGATTTTGTATAAAGCAATTTTTAATAATATTTAAATGATTCTACACAACTCCAATTGAGATTTATATTAATAATACCTTATTTTTTTTAACATAACTTGACATCAGCTTTTAAATTAATTTGGGGGAAAGCTTAAAAAAACTTAAAACATTTCAAATTAATTTCAATGATTCAAAGAGGATCAAACCAATGCTTCATTATATTGGTGAGAAACATAATTAAATTTTATTCTTTTGCCTGTTTAAAATAGGATAGCAGTATGTTACAAATGCTTATGTTTGATCGCACACCAGCCATTAGACAAGGCATCATCAATTGTTTTAAAGAAAAGAATCTGTACAGTGATTATCTGCAGTTACTTTTGTTGAATGAGGTTCAACGCCTGTTGATCCCTTTATTTACTTCACATGGCAAGGTATGTTCATTTAATACAAAATCCTTTGACACAAATGATAATTGTAATAGCTGATTATCACAAAAGCTCTAAATCAATCGTATTGTTCACCTCCAGCAAAAACTCCACCCCGACCTCTTCTTCAGCTGACTATAACTTAGCAAAAACTTTATTTACCTCTTTGTTTTTCAATAAATTGCTAAACGTTTTATGGACACTTTTAGCGTGTCTTTTAATTTTCCAAGGCAGCATTCACCCAATGATGGTAAGCGGATTGGTGCATGTCCGTGAGTCTTATGGTAGTAGTGGTCAGTGAGTCTTATGTCGCTCGTCCGAACAAAATTAGTTAAGACAAAAAAAAAAGGGGGGGGTACATTTTGGAGTCTTGTTTCAAAACGAATATCAAAAGTTAGATTGTATTCAGCATAAAAATACTCATCAAGAGATGCCTGAAAAACTAAACGTATATCATATGACAAAATTTAAGAGATGTCCAACCTATCAATCGAAAGATCACAGGAAAAAAGACCAACCATTTTAATAAATATATTTTGGCTTTGCATGATCTGCCAGTACCAGCTATGCTAAATTGGGTTCCTTAGGAACCCTTACCCTAAAACTAAATTGTGTGTCTTAATATTTATGAGGGGATATTCTATTTGGACACATATGTTTATAATGAACGACCCTAACTACTTCTTCTTTTGCATTTTGTGGACTTTGAAAAGAAATGTGAGCTTTAAACCGTCTCATGATATTTTGACTTCACACTTTACCTCAGCCTGTGGCTATACTCCTAGACAACATACTATTATTGTAATTTTATTACTATGTTTCTGCGCTGAAGAAGGCTTCTTGAAACGCTCGTTGTCTTGTTACGTCATTTTTTTTCAGGTTTCCACATAACTCGTTTCAAATATTTCCTTCTTCCTAATCTAATTGCACCCCCACCCCTCACCCCGAGCTTAATGATCATTCTAGCAACGTTGTTGATAGCGTAATAAATAATATTTTACGAAATATTTAATGTAAAATATAAAAGATCAATAATAAATAAATCTTGCATTGGTCCGTGGTGTAATGGAAATCTTCACTGGTCCCTGGTGTAATGGAAATCTTCTCCACCGGTACCTGGTGTAATGGAAATCTTCTCCATTGGACCCTGGTGTAATGGAAATCTTCTCCACCGGTCCCTGGTGTAATAGAAATCTTCTTCACCGGTCACTGGTGTAATGTAAATATTCTCCATCGGTACCTGGTGTAATGTAAATCTTCTCCACCGGTACCTGGTGTAATGGAAATCTTCTCCAACGGTACCTGGTGTAATAGGAAACTTGTCCACCAGTCCCTGATGCAATGGAAAACTTATCCACCGTTCCCTGGTGAAATGGGAACCGTGTTCCCCGGTCCCTTGTGGAATGGGAAACTTGTCCAACGGCACTGGTGGAATGGGGAACTTGTCCAGTGGTCCGTAGTGGAATGGGAAACTTGTCCAGCACTCCACCAAATTTAAAATTAGGGGAACGCTATTCTAAATCATTATTAATATTAGTCTAAATGTTCCTGTATTTTAAACAAGTATCTTAAATGTCCAGTCTGCATCGGCCCTAAGAGTCATTGACCTATACGTATCAATTTCTATAATTAGTCACTGCTGCAATAGCTTTGATATATACGGCCCTCTGGTGCTTTTTCCAATATGAATATGATCATTTTTTTTTTATTTCTGTTTATCCCAACCTACAGCCTATAAAGAAAACTGCAGAGGACCAGTGGTTGATGGTGTCTGGGTCTTTTAATGGCAAAAATGTTGTAGCTTTTATTCATGAACCCACGGAAGAGAACCATTTCCATAAAATCAAAACAAAATTTACAGCAAAAGAAGACTTAGTTCATGTGCGACAGGCAAAAATTCTTCAAAAACTTCAGCATCAAAATATTACAACGATCTTTGCGTACCGCTTGTACCGCATTCCACAGTTTTATATACTAGAAGAATGCATGGAAGACAATTTACAAGTGAGTTTGATTTTTACTTTGCAGCGTCAGAAATATCGGTTTGTGATTTTTTTTTTTATAAAAAGAAGCAGAATATTAATTGTATTCTTAAACATGTCAATGGTGAGAATAATATTAACTTAAACATGTCAATGGTGAGAATAAGATTAACTTAAACATGTCAATTGTGAGAATAAGATTAACTTAACTCATTGAATCAGCTCTGATTTGAATAAATGTGTTGAGGGAGTCCAGCAAAAGTATGAATCAAGTTTTATTTGGAAACAAGGAACCAATTATAGTTCCATCAGTTAATGCTAAACGGTTTTACTGGCATAAAACTGACTCTGTTAATTAGCTGTTAGCTTTTAAACTATTCAACACTAACTCATTTAAAGAAAATAAAAGTTATGAAAATGAAAGGTGTGAAAAATAAATTTGTGGGAATTTCATAAAATGTTATACATCCAACAGACATTTTTAGTGTGTGTGTGGTTGAGTTAAACTTGATAAACATCATTAATATCTTTGATGAGATAATAATATTTAGCATGAATAGATAGTTAATAGTCTTCTTTTTGAATAATTAAAAAAAAATATTTGCAGAATAGTTCTCTTTTTTCTTTTTCCAGACGGCATTGAAGAACCGCAGAGAAAACAACAACATGTTGACACAGTCTACATTAATTTCTTACCTGGCTGACATTGCTGCTGCCCTGGGCTACTGCCATGAGATGAATATTGTACACAGAAATCTGACAACTGCAAGTGTTTTCATTGTTGGGGGAAATACAGCCAAGCTTTCTGACTTTACTTTAGCTCTGCACTTAGAAAATAAAGAAAGTGTTTGTGTTGGTAAATAATGTTTTAGTTTTCTTTATGAAGATGATTTTGTTAACATGTCTTATCAGATACTAACCTTATTAAATATCTTCTCAGATAATATTCTTATAAACATATGTCCTCAGATAATAACCTTATGAGCATATCTTCTCAGATAATAATGTTATTAACAGATCTTCTCAGATAATAGATCTTATTAACATATCTTCTCAGATTATAATCATTACCATATCTACTCAAATAATAATCTTTTTAACATATATTCTTAGATAATAAGCTCATTAACAGATCTTATCAGCTAATAAATTTTATGAACATATATTCTCAGATAATAAGCTCATTAACAGATCTTCTCAGATAATAATCTCATTAATTATCTTTTCAGATAATAATCATATTAACATAACTTTTCAGATAATAATCTTATTAAACTATTTTTTCTGATAATAATATTACTAAAATATCTACTCTGGTGAAAAAATCGTGCTCAACCTATTTCTTGTTCACAACTATTTTTAGAGGATAATCTACCACTGCCCACAAGATGGACCTCTCCTGAATCCCTCAGAGACTGCATTTTTTCCAGATCATCAGATGTTTGGATGTTTGGTCATCTGATTTATGAAATGCTGACCCATGGGGTGTTACCTTATTCACACCTCAACCTGTCAGACTTGGAACTGGCATTGCATGTAAGTTTTCCCTTGTTTGACTACCTCTAACCCTAACCCTAACCCAACACCTCAACCTGTCAGACTTGGAACTAGCATTGCATGTAAGTTTTCCCTTGTTTGACTACCTCTAACCCTAACCCTAACCCAACACCTCAACCTGTCAGACTTGGAACTGGCATTGCATGTAAGTTTTCCCTTTTTTGACTACCTCTAACCCTAATCCTAACCCTATAGTGATAGGTGACCAACCAAACCACTATATAAATATATATGTATATATATATATGTATATAACTTATTTTCAATCATTGGTTTTAGCAAAGGAACTCTGAGTTATCAAAATATTATTAAATTTAGACTATTACTGGATCTGTCACACTTAGTCAAGAGTTAAAACTAAACCTATTTTCTCAGACTATTACTGGATCTGTCACACTTAGTCAAGAGTTAAAACTAAACCTATTTTCTCAGACTATTACTGGGTCTGTCACACTTAGTCAAGAGTTAAAACTAAACCTATTTTCTCAGACTATTACTGGATCTGTCACACTTAGTCAAGAGTTAAAACTAAACCTATTTTCTCAGACTATTACTGGGTCTGTCACACTTAGTCAAGAGTTAAAACTAAACCTATTTTCTCAGACTATTACTCGGTCAGTCACACTAAGCAAAGCGTTAACCCTAACTTTATTTTCTCAGACAATTACTGGGTCAGTCACACTAAGTCAAGAGTGTGAAGCCTGTATCAAGAAAAATCACTGGGAAACAATTGTGCAGTGTGTAAACCTGAATCCAAATTTAAGGCTTTCAAGTAAAGAATTGCAATGTATCATGGAGTCACATAGAGATTCGTGTAAGTTATTGCAGAGTATCATGGAGTCATATAGAAATTCATGTAAGCTATTGCTGTGTATCATGGAGTCATATAGAAATTCATGTAAGTTATTACAGTGTATCATATATAGAGTCACATAGAGATTCATTTAAGTTATTGCAGTGTATCGTGAAGTCACATAAAAATTCATGTAAGTTATTGCAGTGTATCATGGAGTCACATAGAAATTCATGTAAGTTATTGCAGTGTATCATGGAGTCACATAGAAATTCATGTCAGTTATTGCAAAATATTATGGAGGCCAAATATGTTGGTATTAGTTTGGCTCTCTCATTCCTTTCAAGGCATCTACATGTTATGTTTATTTTCAGGTTCAGCTGTTACAGACTCAAGAATCAAAACTAGATATCCAGACCTCACAATGGGATTCAGATTGTCATCAAGCAATCATAAAAAGGTTTTTACACAATTTTTTTTTTATAAACTTGTACCAATGTTGATTGCACTCACCTTAACCTAATATTTACATATGTTGATTGCACTAAATCTTACCTAATATTTACCAATGGTGATTGCACTAACCCTAAACTAACATGTACCAATGTTGATTGCAATAAACTCAAACTAACATGTACCCATGTTGATTGGACTGACCCTAAACTAACATGTAGGCCTACCAATGTTGATTGCACTAAACTCAAACTAACATGTACCCATTTTGATTGGACTGACCCTAAACTAACATGTACCAATGTTTGTTGCACTAACCCTAACCTAATATGTACCAATGTTGATTGCACTAAACTCAAACTAACATGTACTCATGTTGATTTCACTAACCCTAACCTAACATGTACCAATGTTGATTGCACTAACCATAACACTAACCATAACCTTACATGTATCAATTTTGATTGCACTAACCCTAAACTAACATGTACCCATGTTGATTGGACTAACCCTAAACTAACATGTACCCATGTTGATTGCACTAACCATAACACTAACCATAACCTTACATGTACCAATGTTGATTGGACTAACCCTAAACTAACATGTAACCATGTTGATTGGACTAACCATAACACTAAACATAACCTTACATGTACCAATGTTGATTGCACTAACTCTACCTAATATTTACCAATGTTGATTGGACTAACCCTAAACTAACATGTACCCATGTTGATTGCACTAACCATAACACTAACCATAACCTTACATGTAACCATGTTGATTGGACTAACCATAACACTAAACATAACCTTACATGTACCAATGTTGATTAGACTAACCCTAAACTAACATGTACCAATGTTGATTGCACTATCTCTACCTAATATTTACCAATGTTGATTGCACTAACCATAACACTAACCATAACCTAACTTAACCAATGTTGAATGTACTAACCCTAAACTAACATGTACCTATGTTGATTGCAATTAGTATTATAACCAGAATTTATCTAATATTTTTTTACAAAATATTTAAATTAATGTTTTATTTTCTCACATAAATTATTTCCATTCTTTTTTATTTAAAAAAAACAACTTATAATCAGTCATAATGTTATATTTCAGGCTATACCTGGGATAAAAGGTAAGAAAAAAAGTAAGAGTTTTCGTGGAACAAAAAGTAATACAAAATAAAGATATTCCTGTGGTAAAAATTAAAATCAGATCTTTCAAGTTATATTTATTGAAAATCTCTAAAAAAAATTAATTGAAGCTATTTTTTAATTGATCTTTTTCTACAAATGGTTATCTTCTTATTTCAATTTCCTTATAAGAATCTTCAGTCATTGGATTGAAAATATCTAGGATAAAGAAGTGTTACGTGTTGATGTGCATTTTTGAAATGATTTTATTTAGCTTTGCTATGTTCTTTAATTTAAAAAGCAAGTAATTAATATTGTAATGATCTTCAACAAGCAATAAAAAGCATTTAATATTTGTTTCTTAAGTATTTTTATACAAAATCTATCTACTCTATAGTGTCAGGTGGCAACAACTCTTGCCCTAATTTAAGAACCCTGAAAAGTTTGGAAACACCTCATTTTGTCACACAATACTCTCTGGTATGTGCTTCATTAACAATTTATATTTATATAGTTAAACAAAAACAGACATATTTTAAATTGTTTATGTATATATATATTTTTTTTTACCTTTACATGCAAGCCTCAACTTAACCTAAACTTAACGTAACCCTGACACTAAACTTAAACTTAACCCTAACCCCAACCCTAGCCCTACTTCTAACCCAAGCCAAGCATCAACTTGAGTAAATCAATGAAAGCTTATGAATAAGTAATGAGGAAGCTGAAAATAAAGAACAAAAAAATACCCTATTGAGATATAGAATATCTTGTTCTTTTACTTTGAATGTAGATTCCACAATATTATCCAATAATAAATAACTTGGGTAAAAAATCAGTCCACTTTAAATTAATCTGGTTTATTATTGAAATTTTCTTATGTCTTTATCTATATATATATAAGCTCCGCTCTGCTGTCTATTGTGAGAAATTAATCTCTTATTTTTAGTTTTTGGCTCGTTCTAAACAGTTCATAACAAAGGACGATACCATAATAATATGTGAAATACAATAGTAAAAATACGAAACTCAAAACAGTACTAAATACAATTTATAATATTTATTCAGTTAGTTATATAATTAAAAAATAAAAGAAATGATTAAAAATCATCAACTTACAGACTATGGTAGGTCTTGTACCGGTACACAGTTATTACAATGTGACAGAAAATAAGGTACAATAATGAATGTGAATTAACATAAGTAAACACAAAATAACACACTCAAAATCTCATTCTCACAATATTGTTCTATTTGCTTTTATAGTCAGTTCTACCGAAATTCGAGGCGTATTCCGTAATGTACTAGTAACTAGAACATTCCACATTTTACTATAATTTTCTAAAGCCTCAACCGAAACAGGCGATAGCTTAATTTGTGGTAAACAAGATCAAAAGAAATAAGCCACGCCCAATACGAACGCAGTGTCTGCTAGGGATCTAACCCAGGGAAATATGACGTAAGCACATCCTACATACAATATTATATATATATATATATATATATATATATATATATATATATATATATATATATAAGAAAAATTTCACTTTCTGACTGACTGACTTATTAAAAAAATTAAAAAAATTATATATATATATATATATATATATATATATATATATATATATATATATATATATATACATATATATATATATATATATATATATATATATAAGCCAAATGTCACTTACTGACTGACTGACTTATTAAGAGATCTGAAAAACAACAAGCCCTATCGATTGAAATGTGGCATGGTCAATACTCTTCAACTCTAAGTGTCACAAAGATGGCCAGGTTCTGGTCTGTCACAGAGGTCCAGGTTCTGGGTCCGTAACGCAGAGGCCCAGTTTTCTTTGGAAACACATGCAGTGGTCGGGTAATGCGAAGAGATAGCACCGTGACGTCATTTGCATGTTTTGTTTAGTTGCTGTTTCTCTTCACATTTACCCAGTGGTCATTTTGAAAAGTAGTGGATGCTGGCTGAATTATTTTGTACGTTACTAAACTAATGGCCAGAGTGAGTAACAGGTTTCAGGAATATCAAACTAATGGCCAGATGTGGCAAAATGTCGTCTAGGGTTAGGTCGCTCTCTAAACGGCCACAAAAAAAAAACACTACAGATTCTAAACTCTGTTTTCTTTCTCGCTTCTAATAACTTTACGAGCATGTTTTTTTTCAAATAAACATTCTGTCATCTTTTACTAAAACACACAAACCAAAATTAATGACGTTCACATTCTATGAATGAAAAAAAAAAACAACTTGTGTCTATCATCAAACATGTACTTAACTCCATAAAGTTCAACCACTCACTCTCTAAAGAGTGCCTTCTTGTCTGCCATAACAAATATTATATCTCCAATGAAATCCCTAACCCTAACCTTAAGCTTCTTTTCTGACATAACGAATATATCTCCAATCAAAACCCTAACCTTAACGAGTGTCTTCTTGTCTGACATAACAACAACAAAAAATAGCACAACCGGAAATACGTCATTGAACATTCATGACTGAGTCGAAGTGGTTGAAATAAAGGAAACCTCTAAAAGAAAAACATCATTGCTCACTGACAACATTACCAACACAGACGCATAACTTAATCACGGGATCTGACCGTGGCACCAGGGTTATTTACAAGGCATTAGACTACCCAATTAATTTCAGAAGAAAGAATACCCATAACACTTTGCTTTGTAATGATAACACACAAATCAAATGGATTGATTAGAAATTGCACTTCCTTGATCAGTTTTATATTAGTTCTTCCGCTGATCTACATCCGCTTACATGTTGGTTCTTCGAATGATCTGCATCTGCTTATATCTGGTTTTAATTCGCTATATCTGCTAGCATCTTAATACATCTGCTTACATCTGATTAACTTCTCATTACATTTGATTACATTTGCTTATATATGAATGTATCTGATTACATCTGAACACATTTGTTTAAATTTGATTACTTCTGTTTACATCTGATTACATTATATTAGATCTGCTTACACCCAGCGAACAACAATAAAACTTGTGTACAAGCAACTGTTTCATTAAATCTATACTTGCAGATTACTATTAAGACCCTAACCCTAACCCTAATCTATACTTGCAGATTACTCTTAAGACCCTAACCCTAACCCTAATCTATACTTGCAGATTACTCTTAAGACCCTAACCCTAACCCTAAGACCCTAACCCTAACCCTAATCTATACTTGCAGATTACTCTTAAGATTCTTTGCTCTCTGCTTTCGTTTGTATGCCAATAACTGACAACAATTAAAGAAGATAACATTACAAAATTATCGACATTTTGTTCATTGAACTTTTAAATAAAACATATGTGCGTATTATCTGTTAACATCAATCAATGACAACCACAAAGCCCCGAACTCCAACCCGGCAGTGAAACACAGTAGAAACTTTTCTATTTATTTTATAATGGTTTAAAAGCTATTTACTGAAATTAGCTTCAAATTGTATTTTGCATGCATTCTATTGAAATTCAAGTAGAGTAAATTGATCATTATTATAATGCAGATTGGAGAAAACCAGTTTATATTCAGAGAAGAAGTGCAGCGCCATTTTCAGAAAGATATGGTTCAGATGTTACACGCGGGTCACTTGAGTTCTATTATACCACAGACAAAATTTTACATTTTTTCTCAGAACAAAGAAGGTCATTTTATAGTAAGTAACTTTGGTAGTTAGCATGATAATGATGTATTAACGTGATGAGGCTATGTTGACATGATGAGGTTGTGTTAACCTGATGAGGTTGTGTTAATATAATAATGTTTTGTTAACATGATGGTGATGTTAACATGGTGAAGCTGTGTTAACATTAAGAGGCTAAATTAACATGATGAAGCTGTGTTAACATGATGAGGTTGTGTTAACATGATGGGGCTTTATTAACGTGATGAGGCTTCCGTAACATGATCAAACTTTATTGACATGATAAGGCTTTGTTGACATGATGAGGTTGTGTTGATTTGATAATGAGTGTTAACATAATGAGGCTGTTTTAACATAATGAGGCTTTGTTAACTTGTTGAGTTTGTGTTAATATGATGTGGTTGTGGTAATATATTTGCAAGAGCAAGCATTTGAATTTCAACTGAAATAAAAATTTTAATAGCTATTTTGTTTTATTGTAAATGAATCTTCAAAATCAATAGTTTGCTATATTTAAAAAAGATTTCTTAACTAATGAATATATTTAAATTAGACAATAAATATAAAGAATTGTGGGTGAATCATTTCAACCTCACCCTACATAAAGATGTCTATGCACTCAAGCAATTTTTTTTTTTTAATATGATGTTAACTTTTTAGTTTTAATTTTTACTGCATCCTAATTTTTTAAATTAAACTTTTCAATAGAAGTCTTTAAAACCAACCTCCTCTGTGTGTAACCTTAACTCAATCAGTTTTATAATTTACTTTTGAAAAGGATTGCTTTACACCAGCCCATGAAAAATGCAGTTTGAAAATTACCCAAGTTATCTCTGATGGGGAAACTCTCCTGGAAATCTATTTACTTGGGTTGTCTTTCCTAATCCAAGTTGCTGAACTGTTGGTGACGCTCCACAAAATCTGCTTTGTGCTAGGAGATTTTACTAATTTAAATTTCTGTATAGACAACAACATGAAGGTAAATGATCAAAATCTAAATATATTTTATTTGTGGTAATAGTTTCAAAATATGTTTCAAAACAGGATCATCAACAACATCACTGCTTTCTCCTAAGCTTTGAAAATAGCTTTTTGTGGACTGGTAGTATTACACTTTTTCCAGGGGATAATTTTTATTTTTCGCTAAATAGCTCCGCTCAGCAATAAAAATATTCAGAAAATGCAAAATATAAACATGGTGTTAAAGGATGGGAATACAGAAATAAACTAAACTTGTTAAAATTATGAAGTCTAGGACCCGCAATCATACAGCCTCTCGCAATGTAATCTATAATTATATTTGATATATTTGCCACTTCAGATGCATTTGATATTTTGCTATTTCAGGTGCATTTGATCTCTGTGGCATACCTGAGTCACATCAGTAAGGCGACCAGCACTTCTACTGTTGTTACAGCAACATCAGCTCCAGTCAACAGAAAAAAGTAATCGAAAATCATTTTAAACAAATAATTATTGTGTTGACAAAGTAACAAAATGTAAGGTGTAATGTTATGTAAGGTGTAATGTAATGTAAGGTGTAAATGTAATGTAAGGTGTAAATGTAATGTAAGGTGTAATGTAATCTAATGTGTAATTTAATGTAAGGTGTAATATAAGGCAAATATTTTTACAAAGGGCTGAAAACAAAACCGTCAAGAGTGGTCCCCCCAAATGAAGCTTTCCTTTACTAATTGTATTTTCTTTAACTATCTTTCAAATTGAATGCAGTTCAAACAGCTTCTTTTGTGTATGTTTGTGTATTAGTAATTTAAAATGTAAACAAAGGGGGGGGGGAATTTACACACACACATGTGATGCTCCAACTTACAGACACACACATGTGATGCTCCAACTTACAGACACACACACATGTGATGCTCCAACTTACAGACACACACACATGTGATGCTCCAACTTACAGACACACACGCACATGTGATGCTCCAGCATGCAGACACACACACATGTGATGCTCTAACTTACAGACACACACACACATATGTGATGCTCCAGCCTACAGACACACACACATTTGATGCCACAGCTTACAGACACACACACATGTGATGCTCCAACTTACAGACGCACACACATGTGATGCTCCAACTTACAGACGCACACACAGACAAACATATTAGACGCCCCAGCTTACAGACGCACACATATGATGCTCTAGCATGAAGACAAACACGTATGTGATAGTCCAGCATGTAGACACACACACAAATGTGATGCTTCAGCATACAAACACACATATGTGACGCTCCAGCATACATCAACATATACACGCATGTGATGCAGACACAAAATTAATTAATTTGTGATTTTAGTAAAATTGATTGGTGCACGTTGCTAATTCTGTTTACAACAAAATGATATTTTAAAGGAAAAAATCCTGGGTAGTGAAGCCTGTGTCTGTTGACAATGACTTGTTCTGTTTCGGGAAGATGATGCTGAGCATCTTGCAGTTGGAGAAATTTTCTCAGTCACTGAGTCTAGTGAGTTCTATTTATAGAATTTTTTATACCAAATCATAGAAACGTTATACATCTATTTATCAACCTATAACTATGACCACCACACCATAACCATAAGTTATCAACATATGGCTATTAACACCACACCATAGAAAAGTTGCACGGCAATTTATCAACATATAACTATGACCATGCACAACACCATAGAAAATGTGTACATCTATTGATCACAATATGACTATGACCACCAAACCATAGAAAAGTTGTACAGCTATTTATCAACATCTGACTATGACCACCAAACCATAGTAGAAAGTTAATGCTGATGTTTTTTTAAACATCAAATGCTATTTACATTACTTAACATCGTAGGCTATTTACAATATTTAACATCGTTGGCTATTTACATTATTTAACATCGCAGGCTATTAACAATTTTAACAATGTGCGCCCATCTGTTTTGTTCCATGTTGTAACAACGTATCTATTTTTATTGATATGTTAAATGGTTTAAGTTAAAAACTGCTTTCTAAACACTAGATAAAATTAGTAATTTAAAAGGAAAGCACTGTAAATGTTTAGTAATACTTTTAACTTGATAAAGTGAGTTTTTTAACAGGACAGCTCTATAAAATATTTTGTATTTCTTCTTGTTATTACGAGGGTCGAGGGAAACTGATTAAGCTAAAGGTCATGAAGGTCACATCTTTATCAAGTTTATTTTCTATGGTTCTTCATCATCAAGCTCCTGACCAACAGAGCAGTTTACTCTCCAACCTTACAAAAACAAATCTTTATGTCAGTAACCCTAGCACTAACTTCCTGAGCAACAGAGCAGTTTACTCTCCAACCTTACAAAAACAAATCTTTATGCCAGTAACACTAACCCTAACCCTAACCTCCTGACCAACAGAGCAGTTTACTCTCCAACCGTACAAAAACAAATCTTTATGCCAGTAACACTAACTTTAACCCTAACCCTAACCTCCTGACTAACAGAGCAGTATACTCTCCAACCTTAAAAAACAAATCTTTATGCCAGTAACCCTAACCCTGACCCTAACCTCCTGACTAACAGAGCAGTTTACTCTCCAACCTTACCAAAAAAAATCTTAATGCCTGTAACCCTAACCCTAACCTAACCCTAACCTCACAAAAACAAATCTTGATGGATGTAACCTTTTTATGTGTGCTGTAAAAATCTAAGTTTTCAGCCAGATAGGTCATAAATCTGAGTCCTCAGCCAGATAGGTCATAAATCTGAGTCCTCAGCCAGATAGGTCATAAATCTGAGTCCTCAGCCAGATAGGTCATAAATCTGAGTCCTCAGCCAGATAGGTAAATAATCTAGGTCATTAGTCAGATAGATCATACATTGAAGGTAAGATGTAAAAATAATGTCAGCTTTTGATTTAAACATCACAAAAAATTAATATCTCATGTCTTCATGATGACTCTTAAAGTCATGTCTAAAAGATGACTCTTGTACTCATGTCTAAATGATGACTCTTATACTCTTTTTCTCTTTTAAATTTGGAGTTTGCTTCAATGCAAATTAAAGTTTTATTTCCTGAAATGTTAAATTGCACATCGCTACCAAGGGCAACACACAATGCCTGAAATACAATAGATCAGCAAACTAACCCTACCACTATCACCCTAACCATAACACTAAACCTATCCCTAACACCATATCCCTAACACCCTATCCTTAACACCCTATCTCTAACACCCTATCCCTAACACCTTATCCCTAAACACCCTATCCCTAACAACCTATCACAAACACCCTAACCCTAACACCATAACACTAATCATAAACCAAAATAATCCTATCACCTAACACCCTAACCTTTACACCCAACCCTAACACCCTTAACCTTACAGAAAATGCCCGAAAGAAAATAGGTTTGCACAGGTTTTAGGGTTAGGCTAGGTTAGGTTAACCCTAAACCAGCAATATAACCCTACGACTATCACCCTAACCCAAACCCTATCCAAATGCCCAAAAGACAATAGGTTAGCATAGGTTTTCCCATAATAAAAAAAAGTGAGCTCAAAGATTTCTTTTATTTACCCCAGGGACTGGCAGGTAAAGATCCCATCCTAGTTGAGATAAAACAAGTAAGTCTTTTTAAACTTTCAAAACAATTGAGTAATCCCTATAAAAATCAAATTATCTTGAATAATGCTTTGTAATTTCTTAGTTTTGGATTTCATAGCAATAACTGAATATCCAGAAAAATAGTGGATTCTTTGACTGACATTGTATTGAAAGTATGGATCTATAACGATTGAACGAAAATTGTATAAAAATAATGCTATCAAATCCAAACTAATTTTAAACAGTTAAATCTTTAAGCAGAAGTATTTGTATATATATTTGTTTAAATGTATAAATAGGCCTTATATTATTTAATTCTACTTTTGTTGTTTTCTCAGAATCTGAACGACACAGCCGTTCATTGCGCACGTATACAAACCAATTTGAATGATGTCTCAAAGACCCTGAGAAAGTAAGTAACTGCTGAGACATGGCGTCGGCAAACCTTTTTTAGTGTTGTTTAAACATAAATCTTCTAAGAAATGTTGTGGGCTTTGTAGAACAGTGCACTTTTTAAAAAAAATTATTGTTGGTTTTTTTGTTTTTTTAAATGTCATTAAAAATTAGTAAAATAAAAGAGCAGCATCTATTCCCTCTAATAGCCGCATGGCATTGGACTCCGGAGTGGTAGGTACCAACCACTTATTCCCTCTAATAGCCGCATGGCATTGGACTCCGGAGTGGTAGGTACCAACCACTTCTTCCCTCTAATAGCCGCATGGCATTGGACTCCGGAGTGATAGGTACCAACCACTTATTCCCTCAATGAGCCGCATGACATTCGACTCCGGAGTGGTAGGTACTTATTCCCTCAATGAGCCGCATGGCATTGGACTTCGGAGTGGTAGGTACCAACCACTTATTCCCTCTAATAGCCGCATGGCATTGGACTCCGGAGTGGTAGGTACCAACCACTTATTCCCTCTAATAGCCGCATGGCATTTTATTCCGGAGTGGTAGGTACCAACCACTTATTCCCTCAATGAGCGCATGGCATTGGACTCCGGAGTGGTAGGTAGCCACCACTTATTCCCTCAATGAGCCGCATGGGATTGGACTCCGGGGTGGTAGGTACTTATTCCTTCAATGAGCCGCATGGCATTGCACTCTGGAGTGGTAGGTACCAACCACTTATTCCTTCAATGAGACACATTGCATTGGACTCCGGAGTTGTAGGTACAAAACACTTGTTCCCTCTAATAGACGCATGGCATTTGACGCCGCAGTGGTAGGTACCAACCACTTATTCCATCAATGAGCCGCACGGCATTGGACTCCGGAGTGGTAGGTACTTATTCCCTCAATGAGCCACATGGCATTTAGGTACCAACCATTTATGACCTTAATGAGCTGCATGGCATTGGACACCGGTGTGGTAGGTACCGACCACTTATTCCCTCAATGAGCCTCATTGCATTGGACTCCGGAGTGGTAGGTACCAACCTCTTATTCCTTCAATGAAACACATCGCATTGGACTCCGCAGTGGTAGGTACCAACCACTTATTCCCTCAATGAGCCGCATGGCATTAGACACCGGTGTGGTAGGTACATCCACTTATTCCCTCAAAGAACCACATGGCCTAGGACTTCAGAGTTGTGAGTACATCCACTTATTCGTTTTAAGAGCTACATGATATATGACTCCAGAATCGGGGCTAGCAACCACTTATTCCCTCACTTGGCATGAGACTCCAGAGTCGTGGGTACTGCAAGTCTATAGTTTTGAATATTTTAAAATGTATTTTCTAATTTAAACGATTTTACTTAAAGAACGAAACTAATGTGTCAGAGATATTGACAATACAATATTGAATCATACTGGTCCTTGTGCTGTAATTTCAACAAATGTATCTTCCATTCAGGCATCTACAGACCATAACTACTACGTATCTGCAAGAAAAAGATTATTCTGGAAATTTGAGCAAAATATTGCATATGATGTCCAATAGTGCTGAACACAATACTAAAGGTGATATTCTAGCATTCAGAGTGTGTTTTTTAAAAAATGCAAACTTCTTGTTAGCTTACAGTTCTTTTTTTTAAACGTGTATTTGAGCCTTCATTTGTTGAAAGCAGGGACATCCTGCAGTTTAAAGCAACTCTGTCCAATGGATTCAAAGGCTTTCAACTCAGTTTATTAAAAAATTAAAGATAAAGATGTGCTGTACCATCTGGGAGTAAACAAACCTAAGTTATAAACCTTTACTACGTAAGTAGACAGCTTACGAAATGTCGAGAGCTTAAAATATCTTTCTAAAATATCAAGAGACAAAAACATTTCAAACACTCAGTATGTGTCATATAAACAAACAGAAATATGTCTTATAAACTAGACAGAATTATGTCATATAAAAACAGAATTATGTCATATAAAAACAGAATTATGTCATATAAACAAACAGACTTATGTCATATAAACAAAAAGAATTACGTCATATAAACAAAAAAAGAATTATGTCATATCAACAGAATTATGTCACATAAACAAACAGAATTATGTCATATAAAAAACAGAATTATTTTATATAAACAAACAGAATTATATCATATAAACAAACTGAATTATGTAATATAAACAACATAATTATGTCATGTAAAGAAAAATAATTGTCCTATAAACAGAATTATATCATATAAAGAAAAAGAAATATGTCATATAAAGAAAACAGAATTACATCTATGCCAAACATTTTTTTTTCAAACTTCCTTAAAATTGTTTTGGAAATCTGAGTATCTACAGCTTATATTGTTAGAAAACACTAAGAAAAAATTCTAGAGTGTTAAGTAGGAAAATTATGGCTAATTAAAAGAATTATTTTTTTAATTATTAGCCTCATACATCTGCACTTTATTATGGGGTTAAAAGATGTCATTCGGCAGATTGGAGAAAGTTATTAAGTATATTATTATTATAAGTGGTTTTATATAGCGTGGTACCCCAGCCTAGAGCTTGGCTCACCACGCTGTACATACCAATTAACAAACATAATTAAAAAAACTTTAAAAAATAATTGACATACATTAAAATAATAAAACAAAACAAATGTATATTTAAAACTATTTAATTTCAAGCCATGGACGACACGCAGTAGCATCGTTTTACGGTCAGAGGTGGGAATCAGTCAGGATAGCGGAGTTTTAAAAAATGCGTTGTGGGTGCAGTTTTGAAGGCTATGATGGTCAGTATATTGCGGGTGTAATAGGATAATGGCATGGCACAGTTAGCATAATGACATATCACAGTTAGTGTAATGGCATGTCACTGGTAGTAGAATGCCATGTCACACTTAGTGTAATGACATGTCACAATTAGCATAATGGCATGTAACAGTTAGTATAATGGCATGTAATAGTTAATATAATAGCATTTCACAATTAGCATAATGGCATGTCACAGTTAGTATAATGGCATTTCACAATTAGCATTATGCCATGTCACAATTAGCATAATGGCATGTAACAGTTAGTATAATAACATGTCGCAGTTTGTATAATGTTATTTCACAATTAGCATAATGGCATGTCGCAGTTAGTATAATGGCATGTCGAAGTTAGTATAATGGCATGTCTCAGTTAGTTTAATGGCATTTCTCAGTTAGTAAAATGGCATGTCACAGTTCCTAAAATGGCATGTCATATGTTTACTTTCATGGAGACAAAGTGACACAAGATTTGATTTAAATAAAAAATAGTGTTATTTTTAAGGCAGCCATTCAATGTCAAAGTGGTTCTAGAATTAGGATTCTCTCTTTATGAAGTGCGCTGGATTCTTTCTTTCTGAAGTGCTTAGGATTCTCTCTTTATGAAGTGTGCTGGATTCACTCTTTATGAAGTGTGCTGGATTCTTTCTTTCTGAAGTGCTTGGGATTCTCTCTTTATGAAGTGTGCTGGATTCACTCTTTATGAAGTGTGTAGGATTCTCTCTTTATGAAGTGTGCTGGATTCTTTCTTTCTGAAGTGCTTAGGATTCTCTCTTTATGAAGTGTGTAGGCTCTCTCTTTATGAAGTGTGTAGGATTCTCTCTTTATGAAGTGTGCTGGGTTCACTCTTTATGAAGTGTGCTGGATTCACTCTTTATGAAGTGCTTAGGATTCTCTCTTTCTGAAGTGCTTAGGATTCTCTCTTTATGAAGTGTGCTGGATTCACTCTTTATGAAGTGTGCTGGATTCTTTCTTTCTGAAGTGCTTAGGATTCTCTCTTTATGAAGTGTGCTGGATTCACTCTTTATGAAGTGTGTTGGATTCTTTCTTTCTGAAGTGTGCTGGATTCTTTCTTTCTGAAGTGTTTAGGATTCTCTCCTTATGAAGTGTTTAGGATTCTCTGTTAATGAAGTGTTTAGGATTCTCTCTTTAAGAAGTGTTTTTTTTTCGGTTTCTAGGTTAATGACGCAATCCAATTCTTAATAATTCTAAAATTTTAAATTTACTTTTTTATTACTTTTTACATTTTTTTTTTTTTTTATCATTGCAAATTTTCTGTTCTTCATATTTAGTAAATTATCATTGAAGTGTTTTTTTTTCGGTTTCTAGGTTAATGACGCAATCCAATTCTTAATAATTCTAAAATTTTAAATTTACTTTTTTATTACTTTTTACATTTTTTTTTTTTTTTTATCATTGCAAAATTTCTGCTCTTCAAATTTAGGAAATTATCATAGATTATTACAACTAAGATGCATATTTTGCTTACGATAATTAACACATTCATTTTAAAATATATATTTATTTATGGCTTTTTGCTTTAAATATGCTTGTTTTGGCCTCATTATGGACTTTGTTGTACACACATGCACTACCCTTGATAACCGAAATGATTTGATGACAACTAATAAAACTAGAAGTTGATATCTTTTCATCAAAACAAGCTGTGAGACTAACAAGACTATGATAATAAAATTAAAAGAAATGAAATGTATTTAACATTTTGAATTCTAAAATATATTTCACAACCACAGATGATTCGAGATCAAAAAGAATTCTAGAAAAACCAACAACACCCCAACGGCCAACTCGACCTCCTCCAAAGGTTCCGGAGACTCCACACATGTTCCGCCAACAAAAGACTCCCCACATGTTCACCCAACCAGAGACTCCACACATGTTCAGCCAACCAGAGACTCCCCACATATTCAGCCAACCAGAGACTCCACACATGTTCAGCCAACCCCTACCCCAACCGCCATCTGGACCACCCCCTCTACCACCTCGTGGCTATGCAAAACAGATTCATGCCTTTCAACATAATAACCAACCACAGATATTGCCAAGGTCCAAATCACTTGGACAGCTTCTACCAACAAATCAACTGAGTATGTCTACTCCCATTATGTCTATGTCTAGTGTGTCTACTCCTAGCACGTCTACTCCCAGCATGTCTACGTCTAGTGTCTTTACTCTAAGCATGTCTACTCTTAGCGTGTCTAATCTTAGCATGTGTATTCCTAGCATGTCTACTCCTAGCATATCTTCCACCCTGAGTGGCATATCTCAAAATCAATTGCCTAAACCAAAGCCAAGGAGGACCTTGCAAAAAAAAAGTTTGTTAAAAGATCATTCCGAAAGTTCACTGTGTTTGGAAATGTCTACCAGTATTCATGAGAGAGGCTTGTTTCAAACTGACGGAATTAGTAAGACACACGGTCAACACGTGTCTCCAGATGTTATTGACACAACTGGTAATGATGGGGACGGACACCGGACACACCGTCAACAAGTGCCGCCAGATGTTATCAAAACAAATGGTAATGATTCGGACGGACACCGTGATTCATGCGCTAGCTCCCAATCAAACCTATCGTCAGGAAGTGATTGGCTTAGACGAACGACCTATGACCTCACCAGAAGTAATCAAATCCCACCACTTCAGCAAGGCTTGAACGGAGTTTACACTACAAATGTGGTCTTCCCCCATGAGGAGAACATAGCTTTCCCTGAACTGAGAAGTCCCATGTTAAGTTCTGGTGGAAGTGAATGTGGCTCAGATTCGACTTTATTTAGTGCAAACAGTTACATAGTTGATGATGAAACAACGGTTAAATGGGTATAAATATTTATGTTTCTGAGAATTCCCAGAAAATTTTTCTAAACATCATTACTTTAAAACATATATTTATTGCCTTTTTGAAAAAGACCAAGCTAGTAAATGTTGTTTATCATTAAAGGACACCTCGTTCTATTGTTTCGTATGTGTCATGAATTTGTTTACATTGCTATAAAATTACATCATCTGATATTGTCTTAAAGTAACATGGATTAACAATCAGCTTAGATTGAATAACCCTAACACGGATTATCCATCAGGTTGGAGTGAATTCAAATTTAGTAGTGTATTATTATTTTGAATTCAAATGAATGTGTTCCAGTCCGTCTTATTTTTATTTAATAATTCGACAAACTAATTTTAGGGTATGTGTTTTACACCCGTATAGTTTGAGATCAGTGTCACGTTTTGTACATACACAAAGGATGAATGTGTCACAGTGTGTCACCAATGGCTGGGGCGGAGGTACAGAGCAGAGCTCCATTGTTGTTCAGGTAACTTTTAGGGCGCCCGGAGATCGCTGTTTTTGTCAGGAGGTCATTGCTAACGTGATGAGGCTAAGGTTAATAGATTCTGGCAGCTTTGAAATAGATGGGATTGTTTTATTTCCGTAATATTATGTTTCTGGCCTTATTGAAAATTCTAATTGATCGGAATGATATGGGAGGGGGGGATTTGTTAATAGATAGCATTCCTTGGACACCTATGGATGTAGAGAGTCGTATATTAGAAGAAACTCTCCATGTCATAGGGGTGAAGAGAAAACAGTTGAGAGAGGACAGTTAGGACGATAGTTGATTCGTTGGACCAATGAGAGGACAGTTGAGACGATAGTTGACTGGTAGGACCAATGAGAGGACAGTTGAGACGATAGATGATTCGTTGGACCAATGAGAGGACAGTTGAGACGATAGTTGACTGGTTGGACCAATGAGAGGACAGTTGAGACGATAGTTGACTCGTTGGACCAATGAGAGGACAGTTGAGACGATAGTTGACTGGTTGGACCAATGAGAGGACAGTTGAGACGATAGTTGACTGGTTGGACCAATGAGAGGACAGTTGAGACGATAGTTGACTCGTTGGACCAATGAGAGGACAGTTGAGACGATAGTTGACTGGTTGGACCAATGAGAGGAATTGGTGAGACGTTACAGTCTAACCCAGTTTAGAAACAGTCATGACCTTACAGATACGTAAAGATAGTCGAAAGTACCAAATATAATCATTGAAATATAATCATTGAAATATAATCATTGATGGACTGACTTTATGTTGTGTAAATGAAATATAAGGACAAGGTTTGCTCATTGTAAGTTTCATGTCTATGAATTCAAGTTGAGCATACCTTATCCTGATATTTCATTGAAAGTACCAAAAGAAGAGATTTGTATCTTGAAATTAACTCTTACTATTTCATCATCTTTACACCTATAAGGTGTGTTATTTGGAGTTAATTCAAGTCTACGTTGTGCTTTTGTCTGTCCCAACACCTAGAAACCAACAACATAAATCACAGAGAGGAGCGGTCCTGTACTGACCACTACTAAATCAATATAGTTTGTGATAAGTCAGGACCGGAGCCCTCCTCCAAAATAACCCTTCTTAGACACATGGGTTACACTAATTGAAAGTACATGTGTTTATTTGTTTACATTTATAAAATAGTATTAGTGTATAATCTCTATACATCAATTAATGAAATGAAAAGTGTTAAATCTCTACACATTAATTTACGGCATAGTATGTACGTTCAATCTCTACACATCTTTTTATAACATGATGTGCGCGGGTTAGGGAAAGGTTAGAGTTAGGAAATACTTGCTTGTAATTAGCATTAATTGTGCTAGGGTTAGGGTAAAGGTTAGAGTTAGGAAATAATTGCTTGTAATTAGCATTAATTGTGCTAGGGTTAGGGTAAAGTTTAGAGTTTGGAAATAGTTGCTTGTACTTAGCATTAATTCTGATATCGTTATTGTTATTGTTGTTTTGTTATTTGTTAAAGTATATTTAATCAATAGTATTCTCCCTTTGTCATATACTGTGTTAAAGAGCCACTTTAAAACAGAAAGTATGATAAACCTTATTATGGTACATAACAATATCTTATTCGAAGATATACTAAAGAAAGGATGAATAATTTCACCATGTAGAGTATAGCTGAAACTTGTGATTGTCCCTTCCTGTATGTATAGTGGACTTAAATAGTATGTTGATATTGTTGTGGTAATTTTGATGTCTAGAAAATTGAAAGCTTTTTCATTGATGTTAATACAAGTTGGAATAAACATTTCCAAAAAAATCAAAACAATGTTTATTTTCATTTTCTATGCTAATAATTCGTAAAAAAAAGATTTATTATGATTTTATCTTGTTAGTTTTCTATTTTGATTGACAGCCTACAGACACGCCCACAAACAATGGCGGTGGCAATGCGTGCACTTCCCATCTCCTCAAATTAATTGAAAAATCATGCATTCAAATAGCGCACGTTATACGAATATCAATTAGTGCTAACTTATGGGAATTTTATTTTGTGCGCCTTTTAAATACAGATTTACTGCCATACACATAGGTATCTAAACAATAATAATATTTGTCAATAATTGATGCTGATTATTTTTCCAATCGCTTGTTCATGAAAGAAAGATAAAAGCTAACCCTAACCCTATCCGTAAGCCGTATCTAAAAAAATAATGTTTGTCATTAATTGATGCTGATTATTTTTCCAATCACTTGTTCATAAAAAGAAAGATGAAAGCTAATCCTAACCCTAACAAAGCAAATACAAAATTGTATTTGTATTTATTTTATTTATTTATATTTATTTATTTTTTGGTTAAAAACATGGGAATTAATGTGGAACTTGTAAAAATAAAAGTAATAATTTGTAAGTATCTGAATTTAATACATGGTCAGTAAGTAGCAACTATTCTCTAATGTCCAAGTGTGATTTGAATATTCGGTCAGTGACATTGTCTCATAGATACTCTCTACGCAACTCGTACCTCAGTCCCATTTTGTTGTTTACCTTACCTCCCCTGCAATTGCCAAATGGCAGAAATGGCTAAAACAAATAACTCTTGACATTCTCAAAACATGACGATGTCATTTACGGATCTCTCTCCCTTGTCTCTTGTCCATGGTCATTTTCCCCCTTCCATTTCTTTTTTAGTTCTACAGTCAACAAGTTTGGTCTATGCTAACAAAATAACTCTGGATGCATAGCTATATTTTTAACCCATTTTTTACAATGTCAAGAATGTATTTGACGAGATGTTGACAATGAAAGGAGGTAAATATTTGTATGGTTGCTTGTAGGCAAGCGTGACATTTATTATTATAGGTACAAATGAAGCTTACGCGCCAACTGAATGTGACTGCGTCAGTCAAAGACTTTATCTAACAAAATAAGTTTGTACTATATTTTTTACCTCAAATATTGGTGTCAAAAAAATCTTGTTAAGTACAGAGCAGAGTACAAACATTTAAATAATCTTTAACAAAGCTTACAGTTGGAAAACATATGCACTATTGTGAAATCTAGGGTAACACATTGTGTAGTTGGGAGGGGAGAGGGAAATGTGCCACTATTTCAACGTCAATTCATGTCATAATGGCGTTTAGGGTAAGGGTAAGGGTTAGGGTTAACTACATGACATAACGGCGTTTAGGGTTAGGGTTAGGGTTAGGGTAAGGGTTAGGGTTAGGGTTAACTACATGACATAACGGCGTTTTCACAAAGACGCAAGAGGTGATAAAACATTTTCTGTTGACACACACACACACACACATTCCGCAAGATGGCGCTAGAGGTGATAAAACATTTTCTGTTCACACACACACACATACACATAAATTCATTCGAGACAATATTAATCAGAGTAAGTATTTTAAAAGTTTAATGCCTTTTCCACGGAAACAAAAGCAAAGCCAGGCAGTTAACTTATAACAAAAGCCAGGCAGTTTACTTATAACAAAAGCCAGGTAGTTAACTTATAACAAAAGCCAGGCAGTTAACTTATAACAAAAGGGACCTTCTTTTCCAATTTTGTCCCGTTTCCCGATAGGATCCCTATCCCGGTTTGATCCCGTTACCCCATGGGATCGCGTTACCGATGGGTTCCAGTATACTAATGGATCTTGCTCCCCATTAGAATCTTATTTCTCTATGGGATCATGCTCCCCATTAGAATCTTATTTCTCTATGGGATCATGCTCCCCATTAGAATCTTATTTCTCTATGGGATCATGCTCCCCATTAGAATCTTATTTCTCTATGGGATCATGCTGCCCATTAGAATCTTATTTCTCTATGGGATCATGCTCCCCATTAGAATCTTATTTCTCTATGGGATCATGCTCCCCATTAGAATCTTATTTCTCTATGGGATCATGCTCCCCATTAGAATCTTATTTCTCTATGGGATCATGCTCCCCATTAGAATCTTATTTCTCTATGGGATCATGCTCCCCATTAGAATCTTATTTCTCTATGGGATCATGCTGCCCATTAGAATCTTATTTCTCTATGGGATCATGCTCCCCATTAGAATCTTATTTCTCTATGGGATCATGCTCAGTGCGATTTTTGTTGGAATACGCTTATAGATGACGTTGTATAACCCATTTAGAACAATAGAGAACCTTCTGGAAGCTTCTAGATTTAATTTAATATGCTCCATGAAACCTGGAAATACGAAACATTATACACTGATTTGCACTACTATAAATATGGTACATTTACATTAAAATAGGGGCCCCGGTGGGGGCCCTTTTAATGAAATACCTTTTTAGTTATGTCTGAGATTGGAAGGGGGGAGGGGGTCTATAAAAATAATCCAGATAAATTATAAAATTTAAATTTAAAATTTGTCCCATTAAAATCTATTTAATAATGCCATACATATAGCTTTTTAAATTATCGAACTTTCTGGAAAATTCTAGATTGGATATTATTAGTTTTAAATCCACAGATATTTCAATACGGACGAAGAAGCGTACTGAACAAAGCTGGACTTACATCCATAAAGTCACATAGAAACGTAACTGTTGTCTAACCCTATTGATATTAACATTACTTATACAAGGAAAAATAAAATGGGGCCCCAGGCCCAGAAGAATGGATATTATGAATTTAGTACCCATTGGTATTTGAATATGGATAATGAAATATGTGTGTACCAAGTTTGGTCAAGATCCATCCATTCATGTAGGAGTACTAAGCTTATTAATATTTATATTGCTTATATAAGAAAAAATTAAACGGGGCCCCCACCCTCAGAGGTATGGAAATTATGAGGTCAATAACCTTTGGTTTTATAGTATGAATAATAAAGTGCATGTGCAATAATTTTGGTCAAGATCCATCCATTCATATAGGAGTATTTGTTTCGAATTATTTTTATATATCTTATATAGAAAAAAAACCGACATTTTGGGCCCTTAGCCTCAAACGGAATGTTATAAAAAGTTCATAACACATTAAGAGTTCTTTCTGGATTATTTTGGATATATGTGCCAAGTTTGGTCAAGATCCATCAATCCATGTAAAAGCCTTTGTGGAACAAACAAACAGAATTTCACTTTTAGATATATGTATATCTTGATGCCAGTTAATACCAAAAGTTGTTGATTGATCTAGCCATTTTTTGTTGAACATTAAGTTGTTGGTTGGCCAAGTACTTGACGGAACAATCGATTCCTGACCTACTTAGGAGTAGGTTCCCACTGTATAGCCACACAATAGAACATCGCTTAGGAGTAGGTTCCCACTGTATAGCCACACAATAGAACATCGTCTAGGAGTAGATCCACTCGGTATAGCCACACAATAGAACATCGTCTAGGAGTAGGTCCACTCTGTATAGCCACACAATAGAACATCGTGAAGGAGTAGGTCCAATCTGTATAGCCACACAATAGAACATCGTCTAGGAGTAGGTCCACTCTGTGTAGCCACACAACAGAACGTCACCTGGGAGTTGGTCCCCTCTGTATAGCCACAAAATAGAGCGTCGCGTGGGAGTAGGTCCCCTCTGTATAGCCAAAGAAACAATGAAAGAGTGCTGTCCCCTAGGCCCTACAAGACTCATGTTTAGAATCAAGTATACAATTGAAAAAATCGTCTTAAATGTTCAGTATTCTTTAATCATTTATATACTATGTAAAACACAGTGCGCAACAATGACTAGCCGTTAATGGCGTAAAAAACATCGCTCGCTCGCTCACTCACACAACACAACCAGACACAGAGCAACATCACGTGATCTCACTGTAACAGTTGGTGATGTTAGATACCTAAATACCTTAAGATATGTGAGTGATTTTAAATTCATTGATAATTCAAGATATTTGAGCTATGTTGAATAAATAATTACGCCAAGATCTTGAAGATAGTTGGTTATATGTTTACGGTTGTTTATCAAAAGACGCCAGGTAACGCCCCTACTGTGTCAGAATATTAATCACCGTTACCTTGGAAATTCATGCCCGAGACGATCTAACGGGGAGAACGATAAAATCCCGCCATTCAAATTTGCATTTTGGGATAAAATGGAATTCGTTTCTTTAACCAAGTGTCTCTGTGTCCCGGGACAGTTAACATTGTTAGAGCATTAATTACAGGTGGCGAGGAGAAGGTGTGTTGTTCTTTCCTATTATTTCTATTAAGCAATTACCATGTGCCCCACTGTGTTACATGTACTTTACTGGCAGTCATGATCAGATTGCCCACAAAAAGACAACGCACTTGACTTGAGGAGAAAACTGACAGAAATTTAAAAGCTAATGGGCCTGACTTCAGGAGCTGACTTGAGGACCTGACTTCAGCTTTTTTTTTTAAAACGACTGCTCTCAAATGAAAGAAGAAGAAAAGGAATTTTCATGCGCCCTATCAGGGGAGTTAAAGATGGAGAATGATGGCTTGACCAATGGATTGGTCAATAAAGGATTTGAAGAGAATGATGGCATGACCAATGGTTTGGTCAATAAAGGATTTGATAACGACGTCCAAACTGAAAAGGGTAAGTATTTAAAAAAAACAACTTTTACATTAATTTTAATAATGTAAATGATATTATTTATCTATAGACCAGTAGTTGCAAAGTTGTGCATGTGCATCCACATTGGGACATTTCCACCAAAAGTTGTGCATGTGCATCCACATTGGGACATGTCCACTAAAAGTTGTGCATGTACATCCACATTGGGACATGTCCACCAAAAGTTGTGCATGTGCATCCACATTGGGACATGTCCACCAAAAGTTGTGCATGTGCATCCACATTGGGACATGTCCACCAAAAGTTGTGCATGTGCATCCACATTGGGACATGTCCACCAAAAGTTGTGCATGTGCATCCACATTGGGACATGTCCACCAAAAGTTGTGCATTTGCAATCAAAGTGGGAAATGTCCACCAAAAGTTAAGCATGTGCAATCAAAGTGGGATATGTACACAAAAAGTTGTGCAAGTGCACCCAAAATTATACTTATCCACCCAATGTTGTACATGTGCATCCAAATTTGTGCAGGTTCACCTAAAGAGCAACTAAAGTTGTATATGGGCACCGAAAGTTGTACATGTGCACCGAAAGTTGTACATGTGCACCGAAAGTTGTACATGTGCACCCAAAGTTGTACATGTGCACCCAAAGTTGTACATGTGCACCCAAAGTTGTACATGTGCACCCAAAGTTGTACATGTGCACCCAAAGTTGTACATGTGCACCCAAAGTTGTACATGTGCACCCAAAGTTGTACATGTGCACCCAAAGTTGTACATGTGCACCCAAAGTTGTACATGTGCACCCAAAGTTGTACATGTGCACCCAAAGTTGTACATGTGCACCCAAAGTTGTACATGTGCACCCAAAGTTGTACATGTGCACCCAAAGTTGTACATGTGCACCCAAAGTTGTACATGTGCACCCAAAGTTGTACATGTGCACCCAAAGTTGTACATGTGCACCCAAAGTTGTACATGTGCACCCAAAGTTGTACATGTGCACCCAAAGTTGTACATGTGCACCCAAAGTTGTACATGTGCACCCAAAGTTGTACATGTGCACCCAAAGTTGTACATGTGCACCCAAAGTTGTACATGTGCACCCAAAGTTGTACATGTGCACCCAAAGTTGTACATGTGCACCCAAAGTTGTACATGTGCACCCAAAGTTGTACATGTGCACCCAAAGTTGTACATGTGCACCCAAAGTTGTACATGTGCACCCAAAGTTGTACATGTGCACCCAAAGTTGTACATGTGCACCCAAAGTTGTACATGTGCACCCAAAGTTGTACATGTGCACCCAAAGTTGTACATGTGCACCCAAAGTTGTACATGTGCACCCAAAGTTGTACATGTGCACCCAAAATTGTGTTGTGTGCATCCTACGTTGATCTTTTATTTATTTATTTGTTTAGAAAAAAAATATATAATAATAATAAAGAGTATTTTTTTTTGTGTCTTGTTAATTTATTTTGTAGAGACAAATTCTCATTCCAAAAAATCTAAGTCTTTTTGATGGAACATTTAGAAAAAATAATGTTTCAATTTAGAAGCCTAACAACTATTGGAAGATTTTAGAATAACTAAGTTTAACTTTAGAAACTTTACTATTATTACCTTCTTTTACTTAGGGGGCGTCCATTGATAACGTCAACAATTTTTTAAGCAATTTTTGACCCCCTCACCCCCCACCTTGTCAACAACTGTAAAACTTTCAATGACCCCCCTCCCCATATTAATTATGTCAAAATAGCTATACCCCCCCCACCCGAAAAAAACAACAAAAAACAATGAATTATAATATAAATATATATAAATATATATATATTATATATATATTTATATATATATATATAAATATATATATATATATATATATATATATATACACATTTTACTTTGTGCTGATCTATTTTAATAACAAAAGATTGTAGGAAAAACTTGTATTGCATTCTTTATCTTGTTAATCAACAAGTTAAAATTGTATATAATTAAAACATATGCAACTATTTTAATTTACACTCATTAAATTTTTGTAAATAATGTAATAACCAGTCAATTTTTTAATACAAATTCTAATAGAGAACACATGATTGTTGACATCAACTAATCTAACCCCCTCCCCCTTGTCAACAATTGTCAAACATTACCAAACCCCCCTCCCCCCTATTTTGTTGACATAATTAATGGATGAACCCCTATCTTAGATTTAAATATTACTTTTTGAAACTTGCGTTTTTAGAGATCCACCAGGACAGGGGACTTAATCTAACAGAAAAGACAGAAATATGTTCTACAACTCAGACTGGGCCAAAAGAAGACAACTATTGTGGTATAAGTTCATGCAGACCAGTATGTTTGCAGGTAAAGATGATGTATGTTTGTGAGAGAATATGTTCTCTAGTATTATATGTCAGGTTTTTTTTTAAACTTTATAGAAATAAGTTAAATATTGTGTGTTTTATAGTTACTGTTGATCAAATAAATGTTATCTATATTATAATTACTTTTGATAGGACCAGGAGATAAGCAACTACTTTTTAGTTCATCAAAGATTTAGGATAACGAATAAGGTTATTTTACTTTACGACAGTTACTATGATGTTAAAAATTAGGGAAAATCAATGTGACTACGAAGATAGCCGCAGTTTCACTTTGTGTAAGTCGATATGGTCACTTGACAGCTAATCGATTTTATCGGTTATGTATATACACAATGAATGTGCATACCAATATATATATACATTGAAGGGAGCATACCTATGTATATATACAATGAAAGTGCATACCTATATATACACACAATGAAGGGAGCATACCTATGTATATACACAATGAAGGTGCATAACTATGTATATACACAATGAAGGGAGCATACCTATGTATATACATAATGAATGAACACACCTATGTATATGCACAATAAATGTGCACTCACATCCCTCGATACCCTGACCACCTCCCATACCTCGATACCCTTACCCACTCCCATAATTTGATACCCTGAACAACTCATATCCCTCGATACCCTGACCCACTCACATCCCTCGAAACCCTGACCCTCTCACATCCCTCAAAACCCTACCCACTCCAATCCCTCGATAACCTAAAACACACACCCCTCGATGCCCTGACCTACTCACATCCCTTGATACCCTGACCCAATCACATCCCTCGATAACCTTAAACACTCACATCCCTTGATAACCTGACCCATTCCCATATCTCGATACCCTGACCCACTCATATCTCTCCCTACCCTGACCTACTCACATCCCTTGATTCCCTGACTCACTCACATCCCTCGATACCCTAATCCACTCATATCTCTAGATAACTAAAACAATCACAAGCCTTGATACCCTGACCCACTCCCATACCTCGATAACCTGACCCACCTACATCCATCTATACCCTGACCCACTCATATATCTCAAAAGCCTAAAACACCCACATCCATTGATACTCAGACCCACTGACAGCCCTAGATACCCAGACCCACTCACATCCTTCGATACCCTGACTCACTCACATCCCTCGATACCCTGACCCACTCACATCCCTCGATACCCCGATTCACTCATATCTCTCGAAAGCCTAAAACAGCCACATCTCTTGATACCCAGACCCTCTCACATCCCTCGATACCCTGAGCCATGACAGTTGAATTATTTTTAAATACGAAGGAAAAAAACCAAGGGGAACAACATTGCAGCCATTCAAGAAATAGTTATTAGTAGTAGTATATAAACATATTAAAATCGGTAAATGAATGGTTTCATTATGTAGTTAGGTTGCGACTAGGGTCCTGGTCAGTGATATCATGATGTAGTTAGGTTGCGACAAGGCTCCTGGTCAGTGATGTCATGACGTAGTTAGGTTGCGACCAGGCTCCTGGTCAGTGATGTCATGATGTAGTTAGGTTGTGACAAGGCTCCTGGTCAGTTGTGTCATGATGTAGTTAGGTTGCGACTAGGCTCCTGGTCAGTGATGTCATGATGTAGTTAGGTTGCGACAAGGCTCCTGGTCAGTGATGTCATGATGTAGTTAGGTTGCGACTGGGCTCCTGGTCAGTGGTGTCATGATGTAGTTAGGTTGCGACTAGGCTCCTGGTCAGTGATGTCATGATGTAGTTAGGTTGCGACTGGGGTCCTGGTCAGTGATGTCATGATGTAGTTAGGTTGTGACTAGGCTCCTGGTCAGTGATGTCATGATGTAGTTAGGTTGCGATTAGGCTCCTGGTCAGTGATGTCATGATGTAGTTAGGTTGTGACTAGGCTCCTGGTCAGTGATGTCATGATGTAGTTAGGTTGCGACAAGGCTCCTGGTCAGTGATGTCATGATGTAGTTAGGTTGCGACTAGGGTCCTGGTCAGTGATGTCATGATGTAGTTAGGTTGTGACTAGGCTCCTGGTTAGTGATGTCATGATTTAGTTAGGTTGCGACTAGGCTCCTGGTCAGTGATGTCATGATGTAGTTAGGTTGCGACAAGGCTCCTGGTCAGTGATGTCATGATGTAGTTAGGTTGCGACTGGGCTCCTGGTCAGTGATGTCATGATGTAGTTAGGTTGCGACTAGGCTCCTGGTCAGTGATGTCATGATGTAGTTAGGTTGCGACTAGGCTCGTGGTCAGTGATGTCATGATGTAGTTAGGTTGCGACTGGGGTCCTGGTCAGTGATGTCATGATGTAGTTAGGTTGTGACTAGGCTCCTGGTTAGTGATGTCATGATTTAGTTAGGTTGCGACTAGGCTCCTGGTCAGTGATGTCATGATGTAGTTAGGTTGTGACTAGGCTCCTGGTCAGTGATGTCATGATTTAGTTAGGGTGCGACAAGGCTCCTGATCAGTGGTATCATGATGTAGTTAGGTTGCGACTAGGCTCCTGGTCAGTGATGTCATGATGTAGTTAGGTTGTGACTAGGCTCCTGGTCAGTGATGTCATGATGTAGTTAGGTTGCAACTAGGTTCCTGGTCAGTGGTGTCATGATGTAGTTAGGTTGCGACTAGGCTCCGGGTCAGTGATGTCATGATGTTATTAAGTTGAAAGTAGGTTCTTGTTCAATAGTGTTACTTCATAAATTCCAACAAGATGAGTTTGAAAGATAGGATTTTGCCAAATGGTAAAAAAAAAATTTGTATCTTCCTATAGCTCAAGTTGTTTTTAGGGTTAGGGTTATGGTTAGGGTTATATCAAGCTGTTGGTCTTAAAACTCATTTTGAAAGCGATCAACTGTTCAGAACACAACTGGAACAGTGATGTATGGTCAGAACAAAACTGGAAGAAGTGATCAACTGGTCAGAACACGAAAGTGACAACCTTTATTTTAGGACTATGTGATTTCCGCTTATGTAACTGAGCTGATGACAGTAACTATGAGAAAGTGAAACATTTGACTCCTAGATCTAAGCACCTTGAACTGTCGTGATGTCAGCAACCATTAGCTAGTCAAACAGTTTGAAGTAGCAACTGATCTCAATGTGCTAGGTTTCCAGTAATAGCAACTGACCTCAATGTGCCAAGTACCCAGTAATAGCAACTGATCTCAACATGCCAGGTTTCCAGTAATAGCAACTGAGCTCAATGTGCCAAGTACCCAGTAATAGCAACTGAGCTCAATGTGCCAAGTACCCAGTAATAGCAACTGATCTCAATGTGCTAGGTTTCCAGTAGTAGCGACAGATGTTAAATACCAGGTTTGCAGTAGTAGCAACTGATCATAATGTTTATGGACAGGTTTGCCTGGCGTGCTACACACAGAATCTGTAAAATTAGCATATTTGCCTGGCGTGCAACATAAAACAGATGTAGAATCAGAAAACTTGTCTAGCGTACACAACAAAATCTTTAGAATCAGAAAACTTGTCTGACGTACACAACAAAATCTTTAGAATCAGAAAACTTGTCTGACGTATACAACAAAATCTTTAAAATCAGATAACTTGTCTGACGTACACAACAAAATCTTTAGAATCAGAAAACTTGTCTGACGTACACAACAAAATCTTTAGAATCAGAAAACTTGTCTGACGTACACACCTAAATCTTTAGAATCAGAAAACTTGTCTGACTTACACAACAAAATCTTTAGAATCAGATAACTTTTCTAAGGGACACAACAAAATCTTTAGAATCAGAAAACGTGTCTAACGTGTTACACAAAATCTGACATCAGTGGTAGAATCAAAAGACTTGATTTAATATAATTCACAAAACAGATGGCCAGTAGCAGATGACATTTTGTTGGTCATCCAGTGTAAGCGTCAGTCTTTGTCAAACTAGAAGCAAATTAATTCATTCTTTCGTTTCAATGAGTGTTTCAGTTAACCATGTTTAACTACTAGATGAGGGTTTCAGTTAACCATGTTTAACTACTACATGATGTTCTCAATTAACCAAGTTTAACCACTACATCATGTTCTCAATTAACAAAGTTTAACCACTACATCATGTTCTCAATTAACAAAGTTTAACCACTACACGATGTTCTCAATTATCAATGCTTAACCCCTACATAATTCTTTCAATTAACAATGTTTCACTAATGAGTTTTAAGATTACATTTTAAAATAATTTATTTTACAGCGCTGGAAGAATGTTGGCTGTTTTACTGCTGCCTACAGCATGACAGGAATTGTTACATCTGCCCTCAACATCTACATGAACTCACAGGTAATTCAAGCATTTCTTTCACCTTCACTTTATGTCTAGAAATAATCTATTCAATAATAGCTATTTGTTAGTTTATTGTCCAATTATTAGCAATCTATTATTTACCTTCCATGTATTTATAATTTGTGTTTTCATTCTCGCAATCTAAATCATTAATGGGGAACACTAGTGAATGATATGCATCGTATTTGCACTTAAACTAACAGCATTTACAACTGTACATAAAAAGCAAACAAATGATCATTAATCACAATAATGCACATGACACTTTTAACAAACCCATTATTATAAAAAAAAAAACTATCTTTAAAGAATCCTAGATTACTTCATTTCACGCTTCTCGTCTCATTAGAGAACTTCGGAATAATTCTAAAATCTACATTCCCAATGAAGACTGCACCCAGATGTAATTATTATTTGTTTTTATTGACTAGTTGATTCAAAAACTTCTTGACTTAGCGAGTTTATCAATATTTATTTGAGACTGTATTCTTGTAATAATCATTCTAGACTTTGTGTAAATATAAGGATTGTAGTTATTCTTGTAATAATCCAGCTAGAATTTGTGTAAATATAATCATTCTAGTTAATCATAACAATTTTATGGTGCTCTAAATTTCATCTCTTCTTTTAGTCCATAATTTTGCAAATCCACATTTCTAATCCACATTTCTATTCCCATTTCGAAAACCTTGTTCAGAAAATCATGCAACAATATCATTTAAAATATTTGTGTCAATTAGTTTGTTAGTTCAATGATACTTATAATAAAACAGAGAGAAGTCTGAGCCGAGAAAGAGAAGGGTGTGAATATCACAGGAAAGAGGGAGAAAGGAAATGATGAGATTGGAAAGAGGAAGAGGAAAGAAGAGAGGGGGGCGAGGAAAAGCGGGGAAGAAAGCCGTAAGAGGAATGAAAGAAAAAGTGAGGAGAGAGGTGAGGAGAGAGGTGAGGAGGGAGAGGTCAGGAGAGAGGTGAGAAGAGAGATAAGGAGAGAGAGGTCAGGAGAGAGGTGAGAAGGGAGATAAGGAGAGAGAGGTCAGGAAAGAGATGAGGAGAGAGATAAGGAGAGAGAGGTCAGGAGAGAGGTGAGAAGAGAGATAAGGAGAGAGAGGTCAGGAGAGAGGTGAGGAGAGAGAGGTCAGGAGAGAGGTCAGGAGAGAGATAAGGAGAGAGGTGAGGAGAGAGGTGAGGAGAGAGGTCAGGAGAGAGGGGAGGAGAGAGATAAGGAGAGAGAGGTCAGGAGAGAGGGGGGCAGAGAGATAAGTAGAGAGAGGGCATGAGAGTAGGTCAGGAGAGAGGTGAGAAGAGAGATAAGGAGAGAGAGGTCAGGAGAGAGGTGAGGAGAGAGAGGTCAGGAGAGAGGTCAGGAGAGAGATAAGGAGAGAGGTCAGGAGAGAGGTCAGGAGAGAGGTCAGGAGAGAGGTCAGGAGAGAGATAAGGAGAGAGAGGTCAGGAGAGAGGTGAGAAGAGGGATAAGTAGAGAGAGGTCATGAGAGAGGTGAGGAGAGAGATAAGGAGAGATAGGTCAGGAGAGAGGTGAGGAGAGAGAGGCCAGGAGAGAGGTGAGGAGAGAGGTGAGGAGAGATAGGTCAGGAGAGAGGTGAGGAGAGAGATATGGAGAGAGAGGTAAGGAGAGGTAAGGAGAGGTAAGGAGAGAGAGGTGAGCAGAGATATTCCCCTTCATGTTAATTTAAATACTGTGGCCAGGAAATATAACCACCCAACTGTCGTTTTGAAGCGTGACAAGAAGAGAATTGTGACCCATATTCAAATTAGCAACCTAGTTACCTATAAAGTACATTCTTGTAGACATGACTTAGACACACACACACACATACACATCAACATCAATGCTTTAAGCTGTGATTTGTAATATTGTAAATACCGTTGAGTATTTGTGTTCAGTTCTTGACTAAGCTTATAGCTAGTGGTTGTTTTGAGAGACACGGACATATTGCTTACTGATAATTGTTCATACGTGCATCTTGACTTACCCACAGTCGAAATAATATATTTAATCCGAGATGGGGGACATGTCTGACCAATGAAAGGGGGGGGGTGGTGAGGGTTGTCCAATATTTAGAGTTAGAAGATGTATCCGTCACACTGTATCCGTCCGTTGTATCCGTCACATTATATGTGTCACATTGTATCCGTCAAATAACCGTCACATTCTATCTGCCACATATCCGTCACATAGTATCCGTCTCATTGTATCCATCACATATCCGTCACATTTTATCCGTCACATTCATACAATCCTGAATTTTCTCATTAGATTATAATTTTTTTTTTTTGCACTTTTAACATTAGTTTGATTCTAGGTTTGTATTGACTCTCTACAAGCCGCTGTCCTGGTCATATTGTAAGACCTTAGTTGTTCAACTTATATTTAAAAGGATTCTAACTAACGGTAAAAAATTAATAACTCCTGCGTGTGTCTTAAGCTAATGTACATGTCTTAAGCAAATGTTTGGGATTTAACGAAAATATATGGGATTTAAGCAAATGTATGGGATTTAAGAAAATATATGGGATTTAAGCAAATGTATGGGATTTAAGAAAATGTATGGGATTAAAGCAAATGTATGGGATTTAAGAAAATGTATGTACTTTAAGGTAATACATAGGGTTAAGCAAATTTATGGGATTTCAGCAAATGTATGGGATTGAAGATATGAATGGGATTAAAGCAAATGTATGGGATTAAATAAAATTAAAAACTTGACAATTTAAATAACAGTTACCTAGTGTGATCAACTGAAAGAACTCTAAGATATAGAAGACATGGTTAAAGAATGGCTCCGTGCTTGGCCCCATTCTCATCCTAAATGACAGACCATACAATGTGATTAATTGAAGATGTAGTTTGTGTAAAGTTAACCCTAATCCTATCCCTAACCCTAACCTAGCACATTCTCCTACAAATAATAATCTATCTTACGTGATTTGTGACTAGCTATATGTCTTACAAATCATTAGTCTATCTTACACGATTTGTGACTAGCTATATGTCTTACAAATAAATAATCTATCTTACACTTTTTGTGACTAACTAAATGTCTTACAAATCATTAGTCTATCTTACACGATTTGTGACTAGCTATATGTCTTACAAATAAATAATCTATCTTACACGATTTGTGACTAACTATATGTCTTGCACATCATTAGTCTATCTTACATGTGTTATGTATGACACTTTTCCCCGTGCGTGAACTTTGCTTGACCCCTAGCACACGCTACGTTTATAGATGGGCGTGGCTTATTCGTTTGACGTATCTTATTATTTGTATTCGGTACTGTTTTCGGTGTCATATTTTTGTTATTGTATTTCCCTATGGAATCGTCCTTTGTTAGGCACGTTTTGAGAGAAACATAACATAAAAGAAGAGATTAATTTCTCACAATAGAAGTCAGTGCGCACCACATGATTTGTGCCTAACTATATGTCTTACAAATCATTAGTCTATACGATTGGTCCTTAAATAAGTGTCTCACGTATAAATCATTGATCTATCTTAAACGATGTGTACTTAAATGTGTGTCTCAATTACAAATTGTGTTGTACTTACTATTTGTGTCTTATGAACAAATTATGCATTTCTTTATAAGTGTGTTGTATCTACAGATGTGTCAAACTTTTATCGTGTGTCTACTTACAAATTGTTCTACTAACAAACTGTGTATTAATTAAAATGTGCCTTATATACATATTGTGTGTTTTATTTAAATCTGGATATTTGAACAACTAATTGTGTGTCTTACTTTCAAATCTGTATATTTGACAAAGAAATTGTAGACTCTATGTCTTACTTTAAAACTGTTTATTTGACCAACTAATTGTGTCTTACTTTCAAATTGTATATTTGACCAACAAATTGTGTGTCTTACTTTCAAACTGTATATTTGACCAAAACATCGTGAAGATCACAACCCTAACCTCTACCTCCCAACTGTTTATTTGATCCTTAAATCGTGAAGATCACAACCCTAACCTCCCAAATGTATATTTGACCCACACATCGTCATTAAGATCATAACCCTAACCTCCCAACTGTATATTTGCCCCCCACATCGTGAAGATCATAACCCTAACCTCTGCCTCCCAAAGGTTTATTTGACCCCCACATTGTGACGATAACAACCCTAACCTCCCAACTGTTTATTTGACCCCCACATCGTGAAGATCACAACCCTAACCCTAACCTCCAAACTGTATATTTGACCCACACATCGTGTAGATCACAACCCTAACCTCCTGTTTTTTTTTACCCACACATCTTCATTAAGATCACAACTCTGGAGAAACACTTCAACATGAGCAGTTCGGTCAGCGGCGTGCTCATGTCCTGCAATGACTTTGGGTTTTTGGTGACGACGCTGATCATAAGCTACTACACGCGCAGAGTTCACGTGCCTCGAGCCCTGGGGTTCTCCACCATCATGTATGGGATATCAGGCCTTCTGTGTACCATTGCATTCTTTGGGTCCAGGATTGAAATTAGCTCCAGTGACCTTCGACCCAACGTCTCGCTAGGTCAGTACCGCATGATGTATTTGAAGGTAGAAACTATGTCAGCTATTGTTGTCAATTAAAAGTAACATTCCATTGCTTTATAATCACACAAATGTCAGTGTTGCCTTGTAACTGCTGAGAGTATTAGGCCTTACTATCATTATATAAGTACATGTGCCCTTTGGGGTGCTACAATGACTTTGATGAATCTAATGTTTACCAGAGTTACCGAAAGTTGTAAATAATTGTTAAAGTTGTCATCAGCATCAATCTCTTACTTGAAAAGTCAACATTATTTCACTTAGCATAAACATCATGTTTCTAACCCGGTAAATATGTAACGTGGATGGAAACCATGGATTCACTATTAAGTAACGTTGTTAAGGTGTACAGGAAACCATGGATTCACTATTAAAGTAACAAAAATATAGACCCCAGCACCAAAATCAGGCTGATGCGCTCATTAGTCCTCTCCATTTTCCTGCATGCCTGCGAATCCTTGACATTAACAGCCGATCTTAAAATGAAAATAAAGGCGATGGAGATGAGATGCTTCAGAAGCATTTTTGGCATATGCTATAGCAGTGGTTCTCAACCTACCTAATGCCGCGACCCTTTAATACAGTTTTTCGTGTCGCGGCGACCCCCAGCCACAAAATTATTTTCGTTGCTACTTCATAACTGTAAGGATATGTGTTTTCAGATGGTCTTAGGCGACCCCTGGGAAAGGGTCGCGACCCACAGGTTGAGAACCGCTGTGCTATAAGGACCATATCTCCAATGATACAGTGAAAGAATTTGTTCGTCAGGCAATTGGGGAGTACGATGACCTACTGTTGACTGTGAAAAAACGCAAACTACAATGTTACGGCCACGAAGCAAGGAAACAAGGGCTTGCCAGAGAAATATTGCAGGGCTCCACAAGAGGAGGGAAAAGAAGAGGAAGACAAAGAAAAAGATGGGAGGATAACATCAAAGAGTGGACAGGATTAACACTGGGCGATGCTGTGCGCAATGAAGAAGACAGAGACGAATGGAGGAGGATGGTTCACATGTCATCTGTGGCGCCCCAACGGTCCAAGGACTAAGGGACATGAGGATGAACGTTGCTTATGTGTACATGAAACAATGGGTTAACTATAAAGTAACGTGGAGGGGTGGACAGGAAACAATGGGTTAACTATAAAGTAACGTGGAGGGGTGGACAGGAAACAATGGGTTACTATAAAGTAACGTGGAGGGGTGGACAGGAAACAATGGGTTAACTATAAAGTAACGTGGAGGGGTTGACAGGAAACAATGGGTTAACTATGAAGTAACGTGGAGGGGTGGACAGGAAACAATGGGTTAACTATAAAGCAACGTGGAGGGATGGACAGGAAACAATGGGTTAACTATAAAGCAACGTGGAGGGACGGACAGGAAACAATGGGTTAACTTTTAAGTAATGTTGTTAAAGTGTACAAGAAACAATGGGTTAACTCTTAAGCAATGTTGTTAAAGTGTACAAGAAACAATGGGTTAACTATTAAGTAACGTGATGGGTGGACAGGAAAAATGAGTTAACTATTAAAAAACGTGGATATGGTGAACGGGAAACCATGGGTAAACTATTAAGTAACGTTATGGGGTGGACAGGAAACATGGGTTAACTATAAAGCAACGTGGATCGGGTGGACAGGAAACAACGAGTTAACTATTAAGTAACGTTGTTAAGGTGTACAGGAAACAATGGGTTAACTATTAAGTGACGTGATGGGGTGGACAGGAACCATGGGTTAACTATTAAGTAACCTGATGGGTCGGACAGGAAACAATGAGTCAGCTATTAAGTAACGTAATGGATTGGAAAAGAAACCATGGGTTAACTATTAAATGACGTGAAGGGGTGGTCAGGAAACATGGTTTAACTATTAAGTAACGTAATGGGGTGGACAGGAAACCATGGGTTAACTATAAAGCAACGTGGAGGGGTGGACAGGAAACAATGAGTTAACTATTAAGTAGCGTTGTTAAGGTGTACAGGAAACAATGGGTTAACTTTTAAGTAACGTGATGGATTGGGCAGGAAAAATGTGTTGACTATTAAGTATTGTGGATGGGTTGGACAGGAAACCATGGGTTAACTATTAAGTGACGTGATGGGGTGGACATTAAAAAATGGTTCAACTGTTAAGTAACGTGATGGAGTGGAGAGAAAACTATGGGTTAACTATTAAGTAACGTGATGGGTTGGTCAGGAAACCATGGGTCAACTATTAAGTAAAGTTGATGGATTGGGCAGGAAACAATGGGTTGACTATTAAGTATTGTGGATGGGTTGGACAGGAAACCATGGGTTGACTATTAAGTATTGTGGATGGGTTGGACAGGAAACCATGGGTTGACTATTAAGTATTGTGGATGGGTTGGACAGGAAACCATGGGTTAATTATTAAGTAACGTGATGGCATAGACAGGAAACTGTAAATTAACTATTATGTAAATTAAATTTTAAAAAAAAATTAGATTTGCTGCTGTGGAGGAATTTTGGACTTCGGACTTTGCCTAAAATTTAAACTTTGCCTGCTTTTTAGACAGATAATTTAAACTTCTTATTAGAGTTATCTGATCTTGGAGTTTTCTTTCTCTTGGTGTCGGTCTAATGTTCTTGGTTTCGAATTGTTCTAGGTGTCGTCTTGTTTTTGGTGTCGGTAGGCTGTTCTTGGTGTCTGTCTGTTGTTCTTGGTGTCGGTCTGTTGTTCATGGTGTCCGTCTATAGTTCTTGGTGTCGGTCTGTAGATCTCGGTCTCCTATAGTTAATGACGCCTTTGCTTGACTTTTGTTTTTCTTGTTGGTGTTATTTTTCAAGTTGCAATTATTTTTTTTATAGATTTCTCCTTTATTTGCTATTATTGTTTTTGGTTAGGGTAAGGGTGAGGGTTAGGGTTAGGGTTAGGTTCTTGGTCAGGGTTAGGGTAAGGGTAAGGGTTAGGTTCTTGGTGAGTTTCCTCCAACTTTTTACCACTGTGATATTTTTGTTATTCTTTTTGTCTAATTTGTTTTCAGGTTTATTGTTGTTGAAAATGTAAATGTTAAGAATTTAAAAAATCTAAAAATAACTCATCTCAATTGCATTTGTATTTTTTAACAGTTAGAAATAATTTGCCAAATATTTTATTTTTATGAAATTTGTAAAAAAAAAATTAAGAGTTATTTCATGTAATTCTTGTTTTTTAAATAAATAACTATCCCTTGATTTATTTGTGTTTATTTTTAGTTCAAGACAAATTGTTTGCACAGATGTGTTCCGGTGTCAAGCAGCTGAACGGAACTTGTGATGAGATTTCAAATCGTGTTGGTACACCTGACTTTGTTTCTGACAGCTGGAAGTTCATTGCAATTTGTATCTTGGCGGTTGGGATGATACTGCAGGGGGTCGCTAAGTCTCCGAGACAACCTTTTGTTGGGACGTACATTGATGACAATACACCTAAATCTAAGACATCCATGTATTTGGGTAACACATCTTCTATTGAATAGTTTCATATCCTAGACATCCATGTATGTGGGTAAACTTCTTCCATTGAATAATTTTGTGTTTAAATAAACCATGTACTTGGGTAACATCTCTTCTGTTGAATAGCTTCAAATCTAAGGCATCCATGTACTTTGGTAACAGCTCTTCTATTGAATTGATTCAAATCTAAGGCATCCATGTACTTGGGTAACTACTCTTCTATTGAATAGATTCAAATCTAAGTCATCCATGTGTTTGGGTACCATCTCTTCTATTGAATATATTCAAATCTAAGGCATCCATGTTCTTGTGTAACAACGCTTCTATTGAATAGATTCAAATCTAATGCATTCATGTACTTGTGTAACAGCTCTTCTATTTTTAAAAGAAAATTAAGTTGACTATCACGCTAAATTAGAAATTAATCATTTCCACCCTAAAGCCATTGGGTTCAAATAATACGCAACCTCTTCACTTGCAGGAATCATGATAGGCCTTTCAATCTTTGGTCCAGCACTGGCTTTTATCTTGGGAGGTGTGTTTAGTAAAATTTACATAACTCTTGAAGGTGAGAATTGGAAATGGAATGGGACCTATTTGAAGTGTTTAAATTATTTAAATTGTTTAAGTTATTTGGATTAAAATATGATGGGTTTTATTTAATATGATAATTATATTTTATATATTTTAAACAAATTGGCATTTGATTTAAAAAACAATATTTTTGTAGTATTAATAATGTATATGTATTAACAGTTATTATTTAATTTGCATATCCTAGACATAATATAGTATCGTAAGTTTAGACAGTTTGACATAACCCATGCATTTATATATTAATGAGCTTTTTTCTTTATGAACAGCTACTAGGATGGGCCCCCGTGACCCCAGATGGCTGGGGGCCTGGTGGTTAGGTTTCCTTCTATTCGGCAGTCTTGGTCTCGTCGTGGGAATCCCGCTGTTCTTCTTTCCGAGGCACATAACTTTAAGACCGGGGCTACAGAGCGGCACTTCGAATACTTCATTCCAACTTCTAGAACACCTGAAAGGTAAAATTGTCTTGCTGACCAAAGGTCAGTTTCTATGTCTATTTACTGTAATGTCTTTTTTGTGTGTGCAAAAAATGTAAACGTGCACACCATTGACACCTTTAGTAGTAAGGTGTTGTAGACTTTTGAATGCAGTGTTTATTTAGAAGTAAGCTTATGTAGACTTTTGAATGTGTGTGTTAGGTTTAGGTTCCTAACATCCGGTGTGTGTTCGTTACTGGTGACGATATTATAATTTTTGGGGCAGTTTGGCTGAAAGTCAGGGTGCAGATGGCTACCAAACGAAAATGAGGAAGAACCTGGGAAGTCTATATATATAGACTATATATGACTATACAAAATTTGAAATATTGGGGTACATTTATTTTTATTAAGTGTATTTTTGGAAAAGGTAATTTTTTAAAAAGGATTTTGTAAACTTTATTACTAGGATTTTTCAAGTCCATGCTGCGACTGTTGAAGAACCCTGTGTATGCATGTATCACTGTTTCCAATGGTGTGCATATCATGTGCGTCAGCGGCATGATGGCATTCATGCCCAAATATCTGGAGACGCAGTACACTATGCCTGCCTGGCAGGCCAACATGTATCTAGGTGGGTCATTTGATTCATGGGTACTTCAGGGGGAGCAAACATGTATCTAGGTGGTCATTTAGTTAATTTGTACAATCGATTCCATACTGTACTCAGATGTTTAGCACAATACATTCGATGCTGTACTGTACTAAATTTTTTAGCACAATGCAATCGATGCTCTACTGTACTCAAATGTTTAGCAAAATACTTTATAGAACCTTTTATTCCTTTCTGTTCTACCCTCGTTCTCAACTACTTTATATCGATGGTAACCTCGTTCACTCTGTCTCTCGTACTGCAGCAATCAGGTAATAATACTTGGATGGTTAGCCTTTCACTTTAATGATATGCTCTACTGTTCACACTCAAGATCTTGGACCTCTGCTCTGACTATCCCGGGTTGTCTCTCTTGTTCGTAACTGTCGTCACGCGTCTATCGTCTACTCCTGTCCGGCGGAGTTCTCCCTCCCGACTGTCCTCTTCCGTGTCCAGCTTAGCTCTCCTTTTTCCCGTCTAACAATCCCCTTTTAAAAGTCCACGAGTCAGTCGTGACGTCTCTAGAGATTCCTTTCCCGTACCTAATCAATTTCTATCTCTTGTACTCTAATTAAGCTAACACTTCCCTCCGTCTAAATGGACATCAACTAGCCACTTACCTACGCATTCTCTAGGCTTTCTTCCTCCGTGTGCTACCTGTTGCGTGTGCTAGTTGGTCAGCCATCGTACTGTGGGTCCCCCCCCTCTCACCTGTGTACCTTTGGTCTCCCTGACATTCTAATATCTTGATTTATTCTAGTGCCATTGTCAAAGTCATGGTTTTCTTGGTCCGTGTAAAATTTGATGCGCTTGCTAGCTAGTACTGTTGGTCCCCCACTCCTGTATCACCCAGGCTGAACTCTCCACAATACAACCGATGCTCTACTGTACTCAAATGTTTAGTACAATACATAATTCATTAAAATTCATTAATGAAACAATTTTTTTTTTTCGTAACACCTAAAATGCGATCAAACTGAAAATTTGATTGAGGAAAAGGGAATGTTAAATATGATGAACAAACTTGTATATCAAGGGAGGTTATTTTTTTACCAATGATGTATTTCCTAATTTTTATAGCCATGCAATTCAGAATGTTTACACATTTTAAGGCTTCGAATTTAAAAATAATTCGAATATTTTTTTTATTAATGAATGTTTCCTTTTAATATACCTATTTTTACGTTTTCTCTACACCCTAACCCTAACCCTAACCTATTTTTACGTTTTCTCTGGGAAGATTCTCAAAAGTTGTATAATTTAGTTCACGTTTGGGAAGATTCTCACAAGTTTTATAATATAGTTCATGCTTGCGAAGGTTCTAGCAAGGTTTATAATCTAGTTCACGCATGGAAAGGTTCTCACAGCCTTAAAATTATTTCACGCTTGGAAAGGTTCTCACAAAATTTTAATTTAGCTCACACGATTCTCAAGAAGTACTAATTTTTTTGGTTAGGATTCCATTCAAAAACAGTTATAAAAAGTTAATATATTCCTTTAGTATACAATACATCTTCCTGTAATGTACACTTTATCTTCCTCTCATGTACACTATATCTTCCGCTCATGTACACTATATATTCCTGTAATATAACTATATCTCCCTATAATGTACTACTATTTATGGATATTACTCAAAATTTTCCCAGCATCCAATTTTCAGGGGGAAAAGGGTGGGGGGGGGGGAGATTAAGTCATTTGTCTACTTATTTTTTTTCGTTGAATAAGGCCGACACAAGGCTACCTGCCGACACAAGGCTACCTGCCGACATAAGGCTACTTGCCAACACAAGGCTACCTGCTGACGTAAGGCTACCTGCCGTCACAAGGATATCTGCCCACACAAGCTATCTACCGACACAAGGCTACCTGCCTACCCAAGACTACCTTCAGACACAAGGCTACCTGCAACACAAGGCTATCTGATGACATAAGGCTATCTGATGACAAAAAGCCTATCTGCCGACATAAGGCTATCTGCCAACACAAGGCTGTCTACCAACATAAGGCTATCTGCCAACATAAGGCTACCTGCCAACACAAGGCTATCTGCCGACATATATAAGGCTATCTGCCGACTTAAGGTTATCTGCCGACACAAGGCTATCTGCCAACACAGGGCTATCTGCCGACACAAGACTATCTGCCAACACAAGGCTATCTGCCGACATAAGGCTATCTGCCGACATAAGGCTATCTGCCCACATAATGTTGAAAATATTATGTTGCTAATCCACTTCACAATATATAAGTTGCTAATCCAACTTCACAAGGAAGATAATGAAACAAGCAATGGCAACCATCAAGGTTAGTTCAACGTTTTAATTTTAAGAGAACAACATGGAGTCCCATCAACATGGAGCACTCAACAAAGGACTGCATAACAACGTGTACACAATAAAATATGTGGTGTGCAAAACAATGCGCAACATTCAGTACTTTGTCCATGTCCAACACTCCTTCTCAAAATAATAAATAAAGCTAATTCATTGGTTTCACACCAATCATGTCTCTAAGTATCTGGAATTTTGCTGAGACAGTCCCTTAGTAAGGATATCAGCTGTCATTTCTTCCGATCTGCAATATTTGAGAGTCACAGTCTTATTTTCCACTTGTTCCCTAACAAAATGATATTTTATATCCACATGTTTTGCTCTTCCGTGGAACTTTGGATGATTAGCCATAGCGATAGCTGACTGATTGTCCTCAAATATAACCGTGGCACCACTTTGCTTACATCCCAAATCAGATGTAAGTTGTCTTAGCCACAGAGCCTCCTGTGCTGCACTTGCTAGCGCCATATATTCAGCTTCTGCTGTCGACAATGCCACACATGATTGTTTCTTACTCCTCCAACTTATAGGTCCACTACCCATATGAAACACATAACCAGATGTGGACTTTCGATCATCAATGTCTCCTGCCCAATCCGCATCACAATAGCCAACACATTCAGAAGATCCACGGCTGTGATACACAATTCCATAATTCGAAGTACCCTTTAGGTATCTTAGAATTCTTTTTACCGCCTTCCAGTGTTGTTCTGATGGATGAGCACAGAATTTTGCCACATTACCTACAGCGTAAGTAATATCAGGTCTGGTCCAAGTTGACAGATACAAGAGACTACCCACCGCTGATTGGTAAAGTCCTTGATCAAAAGAATGACCTTCTTCTTTTCTCAACTTCACGTCTGGGTCAGTTGGAGTCGATACAGGTTTAGAATCTAGCATTCCAAATCTCTCAAGAACTTTGCTTGTATAGCCTGGCTGTCCTAGCCAGATACCATCTTCCTTTTGAGTAAACATAACACCCAAAAAGGACTTCAATTCACCAAGATCTTTTGCGTCAAATTTTGATGAAATAGCCTTCTTGACACTAGCAAGAATCCTAGTGTTCCTAGCAGCTAATAAGATATCGTCGACATAGACTGCAACGATAACCATCTCTCCTTCTGTAGTTGTATACATACATGGTTCACATGAGGACTGCTTAAACCCAAGACCCTTTAGGTGACTGTCAAGTGCTGTGTTCCAGCATCGAGGAGACTGTTTTAGTCCATATAAACTTTTCTTCAATTTACATACAAGGTTTTCCTTTCCTTGTTCAACAAACCCTTCTGGTTGTTTCATGAATACTTCTTCCTCCAACACTCCATTCAGAAAGGCTGTCGTCACGTCCATTTGATGCAACCGTAAATTGTATTTTGCAGCCATAGCAATGACTGTGCGCACTGACTCAGGTCTAACAACTGGACAGAATGTCTCATCATAGTCCAATCCATACTTCTGTGAGTATCCTTGAGCAACTAACCGAGCTTTATGTCTCTCAATTTTTCCCTCAGCATTTACTTTGATCTTAAACACCCATTTGCTTCCTACAGCTTTTCTTCCTTCTGGCAGTTCTACTAAGTCCCAGACTTCGTTTTCATGAAGCGATTCGATTTCTTTATTCATCGCCGTTAACCATTGAGACTTCTGTGAGCTTGCCATAGCCTGTCTCACTGTACTGGGTTCTTCTAGATCTTGAGTCAAGTTTAAAAACTCACCATATCGATTTGGTGGGCGTTTAACTCTCGCTGATCGTCTGACATCTAGCTCCTCATCTGGTTCATCAACACCTTCATCATCAGGATCATCAACACGATTCACTTCTTCACCGACGTCATTATCCATGAATTCCCGAAATACAGGTGTTGATTCCTGAGACATTTCAGTCTCCTTCTCAAGACCGAACGTGTTCTCTACTTCTTCATCGTCGTCAATGAATTCCAGAAATATAGGTGTTGATTCCTGAGACATTTCAGCCTCCTTCTCAAGACCGAACTTGTTTTCATTAAATGATCATCAACACGATTCACTTCTTCATCGACGTCATTATCAATGAATTCCCGAAACACAGGTGTTGATTTCTGAGACATTCCAGTCTCCTTCTCAAGACCGAACGTGTTCTCTACTTCTTCATCGTCGTCAATGAATTCCAGAAATATAGGTGTTGATTCCTGAGACATTTCAGCCTCCTTCTCAAGACCGAACTTGTTTTCATTAAACAGAACGTCTCTGCTGTAAATCACCCGATTAGTTTTCAAATTGTAGAGGCGATAACCCTTGACATCGATTCCGTACCCCAGAAAAACGCATTTCTGTGTTTTTGAATCGAACTTCTGTCTTTCGTCTTTAGGAATGTGTGCATACGCAACACATCCAAACACTTTCAGGTGATCGACACTGGGTTTCGTACCAGTAAACACCTCAAATGGTGTAGTACCTTGAAGAACGTTAACAGGACTTCGATTCTGCAGATATACAGCTGTTGACACTGCTTCTGCCCAGAATTTTCGTGGGAGCTGTGCCTCAGCCAGCATGGAACGTGCTGCTTCCACAATAGTCCTGTTCTTCCTCTCCGCTACTCCATTCTGTTCTGGTGTTTTCGGAACAGTCAGTTCATGACGGATCCCCTCTTTCTTTAAATAACCTTCAAATTCATTTGAAGTAAACTCTCCACCGTTATCGGTGCGTAGGGCCTTAAGATGTTTTCCAGTTGACCTCTCAACCATTGCTTTCCATTCAAGGAAACACTTAAAGACCTCATCCTTGTGCTTAAGGATATAAACCCAAGTGTATCGACTGAAATCGTCAATAAATGTAAGGAAATAGTGAGCTCCACCAAGTGATTGTGTGCTGACCTTCCCGCAAACATCACTGTGAACCAGGTCAAGTATCCCATTTCTTACCCTTCCACTTGATGGAAACTTGGTCCTGTGATGTTTGCCCTTTACACATGGTTCACACAGTTCCCTATTTGATCCTCCTTTCAATCAATTCTCATACCTCACGAGCAAAGAAGTACAGTTATCCCCCTTTCACAACCTTCTACAGCAGAGGTCGGGAACCTTTTTGTCTGAGAGAACCATTGGACACCACATGTTTTGAAAAGTAATTCTGAGAGAACCATTGGACACCACATGTTTTGAAAAGTAATTCTGAGAGAACCATTGGACACCACATGTTTTGAAAAGTAATTCTGATAGAGCCATGGACACCACATGTTTTGAAAAGTAATTATGTGAGAGCCATACATTTTTTTAAAACTAAAAATTCAAGAAAATGTGTATATTTTATGTAATTTCAACACTAAAAATGCACTAATTATGTCTCTGAATTCTTTTTAATAAGATTGCTCTGCTGTTGCTAATCAATAATTGGTAGTTCTTACCATTAATGCGACTTTTTTTATAATCGAACATTTATATGCGAGCCAGATGCAGGCATCAATAGAGCCACATCTGGCTCGCGAGCCATAGGTTCCCGACCCCTGTTCTACAGGAAGTTCAGTTATCCTCTTTTCACTACCTCCTACAGAAAAGATCAGTTATCCCCCTTTCACAACCTTCCACGGGAACATTCAATTATCCCCCTTTCACAACCTTCCACAGGAACATTCAGTTATCCCCCTTTCACAACCTTCCACAGGAACGTTGAACGTGTTTGCGGCATCCCTAGGGACGGTTGTCGGTGGTTGTGTGACGACAAAGTTTAAATTGTCTCCCATGTCGTGCCTCAAGTTGGTGATTCTCTGTAAAGTCTTTGGCAGTGTTGTGGTCGCCATTGGTTTCGTAACCGGATGTGACCAACCCATCATACACAAGGGTTACACACAGTGAGTTGGCGAGTATTTTCTTCGTAAATTTGAGAAAGTAAATCCAATGAAGCATTTTCCAGGGTTAATCGATTTGTTAATAAATATCTTTTTGTTTTTGTAATTTAGATTGTAGAATGTACCTCAAGACTTAGCATCATGTGGTCATGTGGTCAGTGAAAACTGTGATTTGAGGGTGGGGGGGGGGCAGGGTAGAAAAAATTTGCCCAGTAACGATACCAGATATGAATTTAGCATTATCAAAACGACTATAATTTACTTAACCAGTTACTTAGCAATGAAGTATTTAAGGTCATTCAAACTGAGAAAAAATTACCTCTTTGAAGTGACTTAATCAAATGCCACAGTGTCAGTTATTCAGATGAAATGAGATGCTATGCATTTATCATCAAAACATTATTGCTATTCAATAATTTATTCTAAAAAAGTTTAAGTAGTTTTCCTCTGTAATTAAGCAATCGAAAGAATACAACAAAAAGTATACTTTAAAGTGTGTCTAATTGTATACTTACATTTGTCCCAACGTTTTACCAATAGATGGAGAAAACTCCTGATAAATTTGCAACAGGAACATGTAATTAATCAAGTTATTTGTTCCAATCTGTCTTCCAGGGACATGGAGCTTTCAACAGGAACATGTATTCATAACTGTAACTGTGATAACCAAAACTTTTTTCCCATCTGTGGGGCAGACGACAGAATTTACTTTTCACCTTGTCATGCGGGCTGCACGTCTGCTGACATAACTACGGTAAAATGTTTGTCCAAAGGCTTAACTAGGAGTAGTGCCACCCGGGACAAGCCAGGCTTATTGCCGCCCCATGCAGTTCCCCTAAAATGCCTCCGATAATGCCACCCTCATTAAAGTTTTAGAAGTGCCCCCAAGGGTAGACGGCCCGCTTAATTATTGTTTTCCTTATACCATAATTTTTCTGCTTAGTGCACATTATATGTGTAGCTTAAATCGTCTGAAAGCCTAGACTTAACCATCTCTTCTGTCAGAAAAAATATAACCATATTCAAATTTACTTGCTGGGGAGTCAATTTGTTTTAAAAATTCAATAGCCTAATAAACTATTGTAACATTGATTGCTACTGATTTCTATTGATGTCTATTGCTTTCTATTGATTTCAAATGATTTTAATTGATGTCTAGACCTTGATATCAATTTCTTAAAATAATATTATGACGTTTCAGATGTTTGTAAACTGCTCATGTTTGTCAACAAACACCACTCAGACTGCCACAAGTGGTCTGTGTGACAGTCAGTGCAACAAGCACGTCATCTACTTATCTGTCATGTTCTTTGGTTCTTTGATTATGGCCACAGGGATCATGCCTGGCTTTATCACCAGTGTCAGGTAGTGTTAAACCTGACCTTCACCCTAACGCTATCCTAACCCAAAACAGGTATCATGTCTGGGTTTAACACAAGTTTCAGGTAGTGTTAACCCATACCTTATCCATAAAACTAAGACAAGTATCATGTCTGAGTTAAACACCAGTGTCAGGAAGTGTTAAACCTAACCTTTACATAGGTATCATGTCTGGGTTTAACACCAGTGTCAGGAAGTGTTAACTCTAACCCTAATACAGGTATAATGTTTGGGTTTAACATCAGTGTCAGGCAGTATTGGTAACCCTAATCCTTACCCTAACTCTTACCCAACACGTTTACCCTAACCCCAACACAGGTATCATGCCTGGGTTCATGCCCAGTGTCAGGTATGGCAATAGTTATTGAATAATGACAGGGTGAGGTTCTACAAATTAAATGGTGACTTCAGTGTTATATACAACACTGAAGTTATGACGTCAGTGTTATGTACAACACAAAAGTTATGACGGCTGTGTGATGTACAACACAAAAGTTATGACGTCAGTGTCATGTACTGCACTAAAGTTATGACGTCAGTGTTATGTACTACACTAAATTTATGAGTCAGTGTCATGTACTACACTAAAGTTATGACGTCAGTGGTATGTACAACTAAAGTTAAGATGTCAGTGTCATGTACTACACTAAAGTTATGACGTCAGTGTTATGTACAACTAAAGTTATGACAACACTCGTCTTTAATATTAAATTTAGTCTTAAGTATAAGAGACTAAATGTATTATGTTAGGGCTAAAGTGTTAGTGTTAGGAATGTTAGGGTTATGAATGTTAGGGTAAAGTGTGTGTGTTAGAATGTTATGGTTAAAGTGTTAGTATTAGAATGTTAGGGTTATAAATGTTATGGTTATGAATGTTAGCGTTAAAGTATTTGTGTTAGGAATGTTAGGGTTAAAGTGTTATTATTAGGAATGTTAGCGTTAAAGTGTTAGTTTTAGGAATGTTAGGGTTTAGAATGTTAGGGTTTGGAATGTTAGGGTTTGGAATGTTAGGGTTTGGAATGTTAGGGTTTGGAATGTTAGGGTTTGGAATGTTAGGGTTAGGAATGTTAGGGTTTGGAATGTTAGGGTTTGGAATGTTAGGGTTTGGAATGTTAGTGTTTCGAGTGTTAAGGTTTGGAATGTTAGGGTTTGGAATGTTAGGGTTTGGAATGTTAGGGTTTGGAATGTTAGGGTTTGGAATGTTAGGGTTTGGAATGTTAGGGTTATGAATGTTAGAGTTAGGAATGCATTACTTTGATCACACTTGTATTTGTATAGTGTAGATACAACATCAATAACGAGTTATGTACTCAATGCTAGGGATACTATGTACGTCAATAATCAGTATCGCACCTAATGCTAAGGATGCTATTATATGTCTTAAAAATTATTTGTATGAAATATTTCTAATATTTTTAATGAACTAATGCATCCATTATTTTTAACTTATCATCCATAGATCGGTCCAGGAAGTGGATAAGCCCCTAGCCATAGGCCTCTCGTCCTTTTCTTCCACACTGATAGGTAAATACGTTATATCTTTATTTACTTTGGAGACATACACCTCTTCTAGTCTTTTCTAAATTTTAACTATTTATACTGGGGAGACATACATCTCTTATAGTCTTTTCTAAATGTTAACTATTTATACTGGGGAGACATACATCTCTTTTTGTCTTTTCTAAATTTTAACTATTTATACTGGGGAGACCTACATCTCTTATAGTCTTTTCTTAAGTTTAACTATTTAAACTGGGCAGATATACATCTCTTATATTCTTTTCTTAAGTTAAACTATTTATACTCGGGAGAAATACATTTCTTATACTTTTTTCTTAAGTTTAACTATTTATACTGGGGAGATTACATCTCTTATATTCTTTTCTTAAGTTTAACTATGTATACTGTGGAGACATACATCTCTTATAATATTTTCTCAAGTTTATCTAATTATACTGGGGAGACATACATCTCTTATAGTATTTTCTCAAGTTTTCCAACTTCTTGTGCAGTGGGTCACCTTTATGTTACACAGATTACACAAATATAAAGTTGAGTCCCCAGCACAAGATAAATAAATAAGATAAGAAAATAACAACAAGTATATCGACTGAAACCCTTCTACGGCAAACAGAAGACGTTAAACAATGTAAAGCAAAACTGACTGTGAACAGAAAAATAATCTAGCTATTTGGCAGGATGTGGACGTCCAGAAGTAAAGGTTACCAAGGAACAGACCAGAAATATGGAAAGTGAGAAACCTGAAGCTAGTGTGTCCACATCCACTTATTGTAAATAAGGAGAATGAGACAACCAACCCAGTGTGTCCACATACACTTATTGTAAATAAGGAGAATGAGACAACCAACCCAGTGTGTCCACATCCACTTATTGTAAATAAGGAGAATGAGACAACCAACCCAGTGTGTCCACATCCACTTATTGTAAATAAGGAGAATGAGACAACCAACCCAGTGTGTCCACATACACTTATTGTAAATAAGGAGAATGAGACAACCAACCCAGTGTGACCACATCCACTTATTGTAAATAAGGAGAATGAGACAACCAACCCAGTGTGTCCACATACACTTATTGTAAATAAGGAGAATGAGACAATCAACCCAGTGTGTCCACATACACTTATTGTAAATAAGGAGAATGAGACAACCAACCCAGTGTGTCCACATCCACTTATTGTAAATAAGGAGAATGAGACAACCAACCCAGTGTGTCCACATCCACTTATTGTAAATAAGGAGAATGAGACAACCAACCCAGTGTGTCCACATACACTTATTGTAAATAAGGAGAATGAGACAACCAACCCAGTGTGTCCACATACACTTATTGTAAATAAGGAGAATGAGACAACCAAGCCAGTGTGTCCACATACACTTATTGTAAATAAGGAGAATGAGACAACCAACCCTATCTTAATACGAATATCTGCTGTCAAACAGAGGTGCTTATTTTAATCAAGAGAGATAACCATATTTAGCTACGGATATCTGCTGTCAAGCAGAAGTCCTTATTCAATCAAGAGAGATAACCCTATCTAACTTTTAAAGATGTGTTTTTTTTTTAATATTGTTAATGTGTTGGTAGGGTTGAAAGCAGATATTACGACTAGCACTGACATGCTTCACACACTATTAAAGAAAATATGGGAGGAAGAGCATATACCGATTGAATGGAAAGAAGGACACCTCATTAAGCTCCTGAAGAAAGGAGACCTTAGTTCTTGTTCTAACCATAGAGGAATAACCATGCTGTCCACCCCAAGCAAAGTATTCAACAGAATGCTGCTAAACAGAATGAGCCAGGCAATATATACCAATATTAAGGACCAACAAGCAGGGTTCAGAAAATACAGATCCTGCACAGACCAGATTGCAACACTGAATTATTGTGGAACAATCCCTGGAGTGGAATTTGCCAATATACATCAACTTTATTGACTATGAGAAGGCTTTTGACTGTGTAGACAGAAATACTCTGAGGAAGCTGCTCAGACACTACGAGGTACCACAAAAATTGGCAGAAATAATTAAGGTTTCTTACGAAGGACTGTCGTGCAGAATTGTTCATGGCCAACAAACAACTGCAGCTTTTGGGGTACATACCGGTGTCAGACAGGGGTGTCTGCTCTCGCCTTTCTTATTCCTGCTGACCATTGATTCGATAATGAAAATGTCTACAGAGCTGAAGAAAAGTGGTATCCAGTGGAAAATATGAAACAGCTTGATGATCTGGACTTTGCGGATGATCTGGTCCTAATAGCCCACATCCAGGAACAGTAGCCTATGCCCCAGACGGGATGACCGGCGATGATGATGATGAAATATAAACTAAATGACCTTCTTATGTTAGGGTTATTTAAAAACTAATTATAAACTAAATGACTTTCTGGTGTTAGGGTATTTTAAACACTAACTATAAACTAAATGACCTTCTAGTGGTGTATGTCTTTTCAGGTTGGTTTCCTGGTCCAATATTATTTGGAGCCTTAGTGGACAGCACCTGTCTGATGTGGAAGACAACCTGCCAATCTACAGGCGCATGTTCCTTGTACAATCTAAACGATTTCCGTTTCCGTTTTCACGCCCTTGCCGTTGGACTGAGGATGATAGCCGCTGCTCTGTCTATCCTGGCTTTGCTGATTGCAATCTATTATAAAAAATTTGCTTTTCTGCCCAATACGGACATAGAGATGATTGTGAGTAGCCAACAAACAGAGTTGTCTGTCAGTCCAAAACAGACAGAGCTGTGCATGAAGCCCAAACAGACAGAGCACAAGAAAGTAACGTAACTCAAGAAATTTCAAAAGAACTTAAACGTCTGTACAAGAAACTATGACTAAAGTGCATATTTAAGAGGTAAATTATTAGAAAAAAAAATATGTTTCAGGGGTCGTCCATTATTTATGTCAAAAAAATATGGGGAGGGGATGGAAATTTTTTGTCAATTGTTGGCAAGGGGGGGATAGATTAGTTGAAGTTGATAAACATGTTTTCTCTATTAAAATCTTAATCTTAAAAATTGACTGATTATTACATTATTTTTTACAACATTAATGAGTGTAATAGTAAAAAAAAAAAGGATGTTACTAATGCAAGTAGCTACCGGGAGACAGAGAGAGCTTATGGCAACTATTGCTCACACTAACAATGCTTCTATTGTAAGTGCTGAATGGTTAGATGAGGATGACGATGATTTGTCTTGTATATCTTTGCCACAAAATGAAAATGATAAATCAGCCGTTATTCTCATTGTTACGATAGAGCAACACCTAGCTACTCCATGGGAAGTTGATAGCAGCTATAAACTATGCTACAATTGTCAACACTGAAGATGCAATAAAGCTAAAAATGCAATAAAATGTTTTTTCCTACAAGTGTCTGCCATTAAAATAGATCAGCACAAAGTAAAATAAAAAATATTTATATATTGATTATTATTACTATTATAAAAAAAAATTCTTAAAAATTGTTGACGTAATTAATGGACGCTGCCTTATCACCAAATTTTTGGGTATCACTAAATTTTTGGGTATCACCAAATTTTTGGGTATCACCAAATGTTTGGGTATCACCAAATTTTTGGGTATCACCAAATGTTTGAGTATCACCAAATTTTTGGGTATCACCAATTTTTTGGGTATCACTAAATTTGTGGGTATCACCAAATTTTTGGGTATCACCAAATGTTTGGGTATCACCAAATTTTTGGGTATCACCAAATTTTTGGGTATCACCAAATGTATGCTATATAATAACAACTCATATGAGATAAGATAGAAAAAGTTGTATAGTTAGATGTTTCAGTATTTTGTGAACAGTTATATTTTCATTATCATTTCTTATATAACACTATTTATATGATTATATTCTAATATAAAGATTATAATTCTGAGAACTAATTAAATATTATAGAACCGTTTAAAATAATGTAGAGTCATTATATTAGGTATCATAGATCGGTAGCTCTGGAATTGTGTACTCAGTCAGATACAGGCCATGTTAGTAAATATGATTGGTTCATTGTCCTCAGATACAGGCCATGTTAGTGAATCTGATTGGTTCATTGTACTCAGATAAAGGCCACGTTAGTCAATCTGATTGGTTCATTGTCCTCAGATACAGACCACGTTAGTGAGTCTGATTGGTTCATTGTCCTCAGATACAGACCACGTTAGTGAGTCTGATTGGTTCATTGTCCTCAGATACCGGCCATGTTAGTGAATCTGATTGCTTCATTGTACTCAGATACAGGCTACGTTAGTAAATCTGATTGGTTCATTGTCCTCAGATACAGGACATGTTAGTGAATCTGATTGGTTCATTGTCCTCAGATACAGGCCATGTTAATGAATCTGATTGGTTCATTGTACTCAGATACAGGCCACGTTAGTGAGTCTGTTTGGTTTTTATTGTACTCAGATACAGGCCACGTTAGTGAGTCTGATTGGTTCATTGTACTCAGATGCAGGCCATGTTAGTGAATCTCATTGTTTCATTGTACTCAGATACAGGCGATGTTAGTGACTAAGTTAGTGGCTGATCGAATCTAGCTTATAGTTTTAGACAGATTGTCACATGTCGTGTATACATTACAAAGTTACTATTTTTATAACTTAACCAGGCTATGGGAAAGTCTGGCAACACAATCATTTCAAACTTGTTTTATATTTATAACTCGCAAACTTCTTTTAATACAATGAAAATGGAAGAACGTGTTGAAAAAAAGTGTCCACATCCAGTCGCGTAGCTAGGATTGGTGTCACCTGGTGCGGTCAGCAACTCCTTACCCCCTAGCTACGCCAGTTTCCACATATTCAAATTTATATAGATGGATTAAATACTTTGTAAAACAACTTTTGATTATAGTTATTGTTGTTTATTTTTCAAATGTTTGAATGATATTAACGATGAAAATGGAGATAACCTTCGTAAATCATTGTCTATTAAATCTGGGAAAATGCCAACTTACAGATGTTATTGGGAACATGCCAAATTACATATGTTATTGGGAACTTGTCATCTTACACATGTTAGGGGGCCCGGCATTGGAGACAGATTCATCTAGATATTGAATTATCAAAGCAAACAAAAATAAATATAAAAAACCCACGACATCAAACTTATAGCAGACTTGTCAATTAACAGCAAGCAAACATGTCATCAAATAGCAAGCAGACATGTCATTAAAGCACAAAGACCTGCTTCAAAAGCTTTTCGTCATGTGTGCACAGAATTCTGAGGAAGACAATAATCTCAGTTAATTTATTTGGTTAATAAAAATTTCTTTGGTTGATGAAAATTTCTTTGGTTGACAATAATTACCTTGGTTTATAAAAATTTCTTTGCGTAAAATCTAAACCAAATTAAAACATTTTTGATCGAACTTAATCAAACAATTACAATTTTCATGTTCGTTAATGTAAATAAAATTTTAAATTCAACGGATGCACTCATAAACTAGAAAGTGTTAGGGTTCTTTTACCTTTATGCCTACTTAATTACTCGTATGCCTACTTCCATCGATATGCCTACATCATTACCCGTATGCCTACTTCCATCGATATGCCTACTTAATTACCCGTATGCCTACTTCCATCGATATGCCTACATCATTACCTGTTTGCCTACATCATTACCTGTTTGCATACTTCAATTGGTTTCCTACTTCATTTACAGGTAAGCCTACTTCATAACCTGTATGCCTTCTTCATTACCTTTATGCCTACTTCATTACCTGTATGCCTACTTCATTACCTGTTTGCCTACTTCATTACCTGTATGCCTACTTCATTATCTGTTTGCCTACTTCAATCATACTGTTCTGACTTTGTCTACCTTTTGTGGCTAAGTTTTTCGATGGCTTTGAAATCACAATACGAAAATCTGGAATTTAACTACTTCTCAGCAGTTTTAGTGCCACACCCCACTTTTTTATTTTTTTCTTGTTGTCAGAACGTTATATACCTCAAGATTTGAAGAGTAAATTAACACAAAATCTGAACAAATTTAAATTCTATTCCCGGAACTGTAATCAACAATGTGATACATTACTCTAATTCTTATTCTCGATACAAGCTATTGTATATAGTAGATACATGATTTGACAGTCAATGACTTCTTATTCTCTATACAAGCTGTTGTATATAGTAGATACATGATTTGACAGTCAATGACTTCTTATTCTCTATACAAGCTGTTGTATATAGTAGATACATGACTTGACAGTCAATGACTTCTTATTCTCTATACAAGCTGTTGTATATAGTAGATACATGATTTGACAGTCAATGACTTCTTATTCTCTATACAAGCTGTTGTATATAGTAGATACATGATTTGACAGTCAATGACTTCTTCTACATCTCCCCAGTGGCGTAGCTAGGAAGGTGAGGGGGGGGTGTGGATCGCACGGGTGCCACAAACCCTAGCTCCGCTACTGGTTCTCCCTATAGACTGAACTAGAATGGAGACGGTATATTAATAGCGTTCATCAACATGTAAAGTAAATTAGCAGATCAAAGACTTAATTAATTGTCATGAATGTCATCATTACAGCTATTAAAGAAGAAGTCAAGCAAACCTAAATAATCAATCTGTCCATCGCCATTTGTATCGGCATCTTTCATCATATCCATGACTTCCTCATCCGTCATTTTGTCACCTGCATTGGGGGATAATATTAAATTGGTAGAGTTACCCAACAAATCACAGAAATAAAATCTATTTCATAAATAATCTCCCATGTTGACACATTCATGAAGGAGGGAAGCCATTTTTTTTTAAGGCCCTCTAAGCAACTGGCTTCTTTTAAATAACCAGGAATATGGTCAACTAAGACAGTGGCTTATGGTCAACTAAGACAGTGGCTTATGGTCAACTAAGACAGTGGCTTATGGTCAACTAAGACAGTGGCTTATGGTCAACTAAGACAGTGGCTTATGGTCAACTAAGACAGTGGCTTATGGTCAACTAAGACAGTGGCTTATGGTCAACTAAGACAGTGGCTTATGGTCATCTAAGACAGTGGCCTATGGTCAACTAAGACAGTGGCTTATGGTCAACTAAGACAGTGGCTTATGGTCAACTAAGACAGTGGCTTATGGTCAACTAAGACAGTGGCGTATGGTCAACTAAGACAGTGGCTTATGGTCAACCAAGAGAGTGGCTTATGGCCAACGAAGAGAGAGGCATGTGGTCAACCAAGAAAGAGGCGTATAGTCAATCAAGAGAGTGGATGATGTGAGCGTATTATAAGTTCGAATGGGAAGAGCAGCATTGCGCATGTCGATAGATTTCTTTAGGTCTAAATACATTTTTTAAATAATAATTTTTAGTTTCAAGCGTTCTATGTAACAGACAAAATGAAAACCCGGATGAATATCAAGATTAACATCTAATATGAACAGGCGTCGGGTAAGGGTTAGGGTTAGGGTTAGGTTTAGTCTCAGCCTATAACTTCAAGACCAACATCTAATATGAACAGGCGTATAAAATGATTAGGTTAGGGTTAGGTTTAGCCTCAGCCTATAACTTCAAGACCAACATCTACCATGCATGAAATATGCATGAAATATCAAAACGAGGTATGTGGAAGCTTGAATTAGAGAACAGAACAAAATGATACGGACGTTTCGGCATAAAGCCTTCTTCAGCTAACAGCAGAAATGAAAACATCACAAAGAACAGAGCACAGTAATATCCATTGTAGTGGGCATCTAATATGCACTGGCGTAGGAAGGATTAGGGTAAGGGTCAGGTTTAGTCTAAGCCTATAACTTCAAGACCAACAACTAATATACACTGGCGCAGGTATGATTAGGGTAAGGGTTCAGTTAAGTCTAACCTTAACTTCAGACTTCTGTATTTCGAACATAAACAATTTCGTAATGATCGTTTGGGCGAATGATTTTTTTACCAATACTCGTTACCATTAAAGACTGAACAAGACGATAAAATCTAAATGTAATGCTAAATGTGTCATTTTATTAAAATGTGACATATCTGCTGTTGGATCTCAACAAATGAAGTCTCACCTAATGTGGTCATAAAACTCTTGAACTTTTGATCTCAACAAATGAAGTCTCACCTAATGTGGTCATAAAACTCTTGAACTCATGAGCATCGATGTAACCATTCTTGTCCGTGTCAAACAGTTGAAATGCTTCCTTCATTTCAGCACCAAACTCTTCAACTGTTGGCTTAGACAAATTGTTCTCTATGACATACTTCTCAAATTCTTTGTATTCTATGAAACCGCTGTCTGAAACAATGCAGTACAACGTCATAGTAACAACAATGTGATACAACTTCATAGTGACAACAATGTAATACAATGTCATAGTGACAACAATGTGATACAATGTCATAGTAAAAAAAAATGTGATACAATGTCATAGTGACAACAATTTAATACAATGTCACAGTGACAACAATGTAATACAATGTCATAATGACAACAATTTAAAACAATGTCATAGTGACAACAATGTAACACAACGTCATAGTGACACCAATGTGATACAATGTCATAGTGACAACAATTTAATACAAAGCCATAGTGACAACAATGTAATACAATGTCATAGTGACAACAATTTAATACAAAGCCATAGTGACAACAATGTAATACAATGTCATAGTGACAACAATTTAATACAATGTCATAGTGACAACAATTTAATACAATGTCATAGTGACCAAATGTGATACAATGTCATAGTGACAACAATGTAATACTTTTGTTTGATCTTATTTTGGCCATTCTGAAATATCACGAGTGAATAAGTTATTAAACAATTCTTTGACAAATATTTTCGTTTGACCTTTTTAAAATGGTCATTGTCTGGGTATAGTCTAGTGAAGGTCTATTTATTGTATATACTTGTTATATGAAAGATCGGCCACGGTATAGAGATGGTTTAGTTATATTCTATCTAGTATAGATCGTATGGTTTAGCTATATTCTATCTAGTATAGATCGTATGGTTTAGCTATATTCTAGCTAGTCTTGGTTGCATAATTTATTTATATTCTAGCTCGTCTTGATCGTTTAGTTTAACAATAATCTAATGATTTTTTAATATCTGTCAGAACATTTAGTCTGTTGTTATGAAATTGTTATCTGTCTACTTACCATCTTCATCTACCTTCTACCTACCATCTTCATCTATTTTTCTACCTACCATTTTCATCTACATTCTACCTACCATCTTCATCTCTTTGTCTACCTACCATCTTCATCCAGTTCTTTGACGACAGCCGTTACTTGTGAGTCTGTAAAGACCATGAACTGTGACTGCAGTAAGGTCTTCATATCTTCCAGTGAAAGCCGTCCATCACCATCCTCGTCAAGGATCTGAAAGGCCTCTCGTATTTCTGGAGGGCAACAAGACAAATAGCAATGTTAGTTTTATAGTGTAATATTTAATATCTCAAGAAAAACCAGGAACTGTTGGGCCGAAGCTCATTGGGCCTAGGCCCTCCTCAGCATACCCCTTTTTCCTCCAACCAGAACAGTACAATCTCCGGGCCTCGTAGCGTTTTGCCGGAAGTACGCCGCCCCTGAGACAGCCCCAGCCGTCGTCCATGCGCTTGACCAAGCAGCCTTTAAAAATTAACCAAGGAGCACCTGTTGGTAGAGCTGCTCTCGCAACACCAGCAATTGACCTTTCTGTAACTGGACGGATATATGAACGCCCTACAGTGGATTTCTTCCTATCGCGTGGTGGTCTCAGGCGCCCTCTAACAGGGTTTGCATAATGATTTTTCTACCTCGTGAATGAGTCACTTTTATTTGTTCGTCCGTCGAGGATCGACGAGGACCATCGAGTCGTCTGGTGACTGATGACTTGCGCGGATGACTTTGTTTAAAGTGAAGAAGAGTTGCGCGGCGTCTACCTCACTCTCTCGTCCGAGCCCACCATATCCAGTGGCAAGACTCTACGTCAAGACAACCAGGGATGGGTTCGGTTGCAGGAATTGTCATTGTTTGCGCCTTACGGGACTCCAACTCCGGGTTTGAATTCAGAGTTCCCTTCTCTTAGATGAGTTGCCGACCAAGGTTAAGGAGTCTCATCCACCCGGGGTGATGTTTTTGCTTGACTGACCTTTGGCTGGACTTGAACACCAGACCACCAACTTGAGGTTTGCTCAGTTTAGACCATTTGGCCACCCACTCACTAATGAGTCACTAAGAAGCTGAGACGAAACAGTTATCTGGGAACAGTCTCCTCAAACGATGTACGATCGTATCCTCGTCATGGATTGCAACCAACCACCCATGCGTCGTATCCATTAGTCGCAACCAGTAATCTTGATGCCAACCTTTTTCTGGCGTTATTTTCAACTGCAGGTTAGGGTAGGTACCATACAGGTGTGCCATAGGGTAGGTACCATACAGGTGTGCCATAGGGTAGGTACCATACAGGTGTGCCATAGGGTAGGTACCATACAGGTGTACCATAGGGTAGATACCATACAGGTGTGCCATAGGGTAGGTACCATACAGGTGTGCCATAGGGTAGGCACCATACAGGTGTGCCATAGGGTAGGTACCAAACAGGTGTGCCATAGGGTAGGTACCATACAGGTGTACCATAGGGTAGATACCATACTGGTGTGCCATAGGGTAGGTACCATACAGGTGTGCCATAGGGTAGGTACCATATAGGTGTGCCATATGGTAGGTACCATACAACTGTGCCATAGGGTAGGTACGATACAATTGTGCCATAGGGTAGGTACCATATAACAGTGCCATAGGGTAGGTTCTTTCTAACGCAGATACCATGAAAGAACTTTGTCTCCATACACAGGTCCCCTACANGGTACCATACAACTGTGCCATAGGGTAGGTACGATACAATTGTGCCATAGGGTAGGTACCATATAACAGTGCCATAGGGTAGGTTCTTTCTAACGCAGATACCATGAAAGAACTTTGTCTCCATACACAGGTCCCCTACATGGTGATGCTGTTAGGGTTAGGGGGTACTTGGCGATATGTATACGACACCATGCCATTAAAACATTTCAATTTGATGCCCGGGGAACTTTATATTACACTAGAATACATGACTCGGTGTTGCTGAACTTTATATTACATTAGAATATATTACACTAGAATACATGACTCGGTGTCACTGAACTTTTTATTACACTAGAATACATGACTCGGTGTTGCTGAACTTCATATTATACTAGAATACATGACTCGGTGTTACTGAACTGTATATTACACTAGAATACATGACTCAGTGTTACTGAACTGTATATTGCACTAGAATACATGACTCGGTGTTACTGAACTTCATATTACACTAGAATGCATGACTCGGTGTTACTGAACTTTATATTACACTAGAATACATGACTCGGTTTTACTGAAATAATAATGAAAGGCATAATACGTAACTTTTCACATGTGCCGATAAATCTCAACATCTAGAATCTTCCACACAAAAAACACAAAATGTAAAGTTGACTATTATTAGTTTTTCAAAAAAGAATATAACGTAGATCGCTAAGTTTCTTACATTTTTAGGTAATGAGAATTTCTTTTTCATACTATAGGTTCACCTAACCCTTTTTCAGCCCAAAGATCCAAACAGGAAAATAATTATTACAAGAAATTTATTTATAATGTATTATAATGATGCTTACATATTAAAGTTACATTTTTTTAAAATAAAATTTATTTATAATATTTTACATTGGTTCCATTTCCGTATATTAATACAGATGTGTCCACCGAAGAAATGTATATAATTCCTAAACTGTATCTACTTATTCTAATTTGTGCTGCTTGGAGCAACAATAACCAACATCTCAGTAATTATAAAAAAATAATATCTCACCACTTATGACAAACAACATCTCACCACTTATGACAAACAACATCTTATCACTTTATGACAAACAACATCTTATCACTTTATGACAAACAACATCTTATCACTTATGACAAACAACATCTTATCACTTATGACAAACAACATCTTATCACTTATGACAAACAACATCTTATCACTTTATGACAAACAACATCTCACCACTTATGACAAATAACATATCACCACTTATGACAAACAAAATCTCACCACTTATGACAAACAACATCTAACCACTTATGACAAACAACATATCACCACTTATGACAAACAACATATCACCACTTATGACAAACAACATATCACCACTTATGACAAACAACATTTCACCACTTATGACAAACAACATCTAACCACTTATGACAAACAACATATCACCACTTATGACAAACAACATATCACCACTTATGACAAACAACATATCACCACTTATGACAAACAACATATCACCACTTATGACAAACAAAATCTCACCACTTATGACAAACAACATATCACCACTTATGACAAACAACATATCACCACTTATGACAAACAACATATCACCACTTATGACAAACAACATTTCACCACTTATGACAAACAACATCTAACCACTTATGACAAACAACATATCACCACTTATGACAAACAACATATCACCACTTATGACAAACAACATCTCACCACTTATGACAAACAACATATCACCACTTATGACAAACAACATATCACCACTTATGACAAACAACATATCACCACTTATGACAAACAATATCTCACCACTTATGACAAACAACATCTCACCACTTGTGGCAAACAACATCTCACCACTTGTGACAAATAACATCTCACCACTTATGACAAACAAAATATCATCACTTATGACAAACAACATATTACCACTTATGACAAAGAACATCTACCACTTATGACAAACAACATCTCACCACTTGTGACAAACAACATATCACCACTTATGACAAACAACATATCACCACTTATGACAAACAACATATCACCACTTATGACAAACAACATATCACCACTTATGACAAACAACATCTTATCACTTATGACAAACAACATCTAACCACTTATGACAAACACCATATCACCACTTATGAAAAAACAACATATCACCACTTATGACAAACAAGATCTCACTAACATTAGAGAATATATAAATAGTATATTATAATACTAATCCATCCCATAAAAGAAATTTAAATATGTATACAATAAGAGAGCTTTTTGACAGATTAAAAAATTTACAAATATATACAGAAATGATGGTACTAACCTTTCCTTTCCTCGTCGGAAATACTTCGTTTTCCAGACTTTCCCTGATTTCCATTAAGAAAAATAAGTTAAATTTAGGGAGAGTGACGTAGTGTGATGTGCAAACTTAGGGACAGACATGTAGTGTGATGTATAAATAAAGGGAGATACATGTAGTGTGATGTACACATAAAGGGAGATACACGTAGTGTGATGTATAAATAAAGGGAGATACATGTAGTGTGATGTACAAATAAAGGGAGATACACGTAGTGTGATGTATAAATAAAGGGAGATACATGTAGTGTGATGTACAAATAAAGGGAGATACATGTAGTGTGATGTACAAATAAAGGGAGATACATGTAGTGTGATGTACAAATAAAGGGAGATACATGTAGTGTGATGTACAAATAAAGGGAGATACAGGTAGTGTGATGTACAAATAAAGGGAGATACATGTAGTGTGATTACAAATAAAGGGAGATACATGTAGTGTGATGTACAAATAAAGGGAGATACATGTAGTGTGATGTACAAATAAAGGGAGATACAGGTAGTGTGATGTACAAATTCTAGGGACAGACATGTAGAGTTATGTACAAATTTGGGACAGACATATAGTGTGATGTACGAATTTAGTGACAGACATGTAGTGTGATGTGCAAATTCAAAATATTTGGCCCTACTAAAGATGAGTATAGTCGAAATACACTAGCTTTAAATCTTAATATATACATATATAAATATATTGATGTTAAAGACAATATTTTGATGTTCAAGACAACATTTTGATGTTAAACACAACGTTTTGATGTTAAAAACTGCTTTTTGATGATAAAAACTGCATTTTGATGTTAAAGACTGCATTTTGATGTTAAAGACAATATTTTGATGTTAAAGACAACATTTTGATGTTAAAAACTACATTTTGTTGTCAAAGACAATATTTTTATGTTAAAGACTGCATTTTGATGTTAAAAACTACATTTTGTTGTCAAAGACAACATTTTGATGTGAAAGACAACATTTTGTATATTAAATTTTTATATTAAGTGACTCTATTATAAATTAATGTTTAAGATTATAAAAGAATGTGTTAAGATTGTTAACATAAAAGCATGTGTTTATATTGTTAACATAAAAGCATGTGTTTAGATTGCACAATCCTATTTTAGAACTGTTTAGGGTTCGTACACTGAAATGTTGCTCTAGTGGTCCTACTGATTGATAAACTTGTGGTTTGTACACTGATATGTTGCTCTAGTAGTCCTACTGATTGATAAACTCCACGTTCTAAGACTGTTATGACGTAACTAGCATCGTATCCTAAGCGGCTTAAATCTTACCGCCATTTTTTAAACCTGTCAGTTACAGTGATGACATCACAGTTGTGTTTCTTTTCCTGGAGATTTTAAATCTGAAGAAAAAATCATTAACAATTTGAGCATTACTAATTGTGATTTCACTCTAGATGGACAGACAGACCGCAATGGTTTTTACACGCTACCTTTTTCATCAATTCTAGGCCTGAAGCTGACGTCACAATGACTTTTTACGAAATAATACAAATAAATAACAACAAATATAGATAATTAAAAATGTGCATCTATCCTCAGAATGTGTACATATCCTTTTTAAAAAATGACCACGTTTTCATAATCTCACCCCCCTGAGTTAAATATCACGTTGCCCTAATTTACTGTTTCAGACATAATGAATAAAGGTTAATATAATAGTTTATATTTAAGAAATAGAAATTATTGTCAAACCGAAGACTTTCTAAAGTACAGTATTTTACTATTTTACTATTCTCGACTTTCAGCGATAAGAACTACTGAACTATTTCTCGGAAATTTCCTACAATGTACACTTCTATAAAACGTATTTACCTATTTCAGACCACATATGCTAGAGATACTGCTAGGATATTCTAGATCTGATACACTAAGACATCGTTACTATTCTAAACATATAAACTAAGGCATCTCTACTATTCTATATCATGTAAACCAAGACTCCTCTACTATTCTATATATATAAACTTAGCTTACACTTCTAATGCAGACCTCAAAATGAATCTGCTTCACTATATAAGACCACACAAGACCACACAAGACCACATCAACTGGCTCAACAAAAAACCCTACATACTTGTATCTAAAAAAGCTAACAATTCGTTCTGCATAATTCTGATCCCGCGTCTGACAAGTTCCGTTCTGTGGACACATAAAATAATTGATCTTTCCAACTGTTTCCAAACATGTTATCTCCCCTGATCCCTGGACGGCTAATCTTGTAATGCCGGCTAATCGTTCTGAGCAGTCAAGGCGTAATCGTCATTTAAAGCCGGTATAAAACCGGTTATGACCAGTCTCAAAGCCGGCGTGACGTTGTTTTGTGGTATTGATTAGCCACGACAGATTTGTTACAGAAAACAAGGCTGCTTGCTAGGAGGGACCAGACCCATCGACCACAGACAAGAGACTTGCCACATCAAACACAGGTTAGGCCGGCCGCCTTATGGCTGCCACACAAAAGAAAATCGATTTACAACAATTTGATCTTTGACAACGTTAAAAGGTAACATTTTCAAACAGAGCGCAAAAAGTAACATTTTCAAAGAGCCCAAAAGGTAACAATTTCAAACAGAGCCCAAAAGGTAACATTTTCAAACTAAGCCATAAATGTAATATCTTTTTATTTTTATTTTTTTTTATTTTTTTTTTTTGGAAATTCAGGTAAAAAAATTTCAAATAAGGCACTCGAATGTAAATTTTAGAAGAGTTTTCTCTGGTTTAAACATTGCCACGTTGAAGTTACACAATATACAATAACCCTAACTCTAACACAATAACCCTAACCCTAACACAATACACAATGACGCGTGTATCAAAATTTGCTCCATAAATAAGTAAAGATGTTTTTCAATATCATTTATCCTTTCTAGAAATATGAAAAAATTACATTTTTTCAACGAAGTATTTTCTTTCAAAAACTAACTTCTAATTCAGTTAGCCCTAACCCTAACCTTAACCCTAACCTAACCTAACCCTAACCCTAACTTCTAATTCAGTTAGCCCTAACCCTAAACTAACCTAACCCTAACCTAACCTTAACTCTAACCCTAACCATAACCTAACCTAACCCTCACCCTAACTTCTAATTCAATTAGCGATCCATTAAAATTATTTTAACCTTGGAGTTTACATGTTTTACGGTCATCAGTATCAAATAATAAAATAATTTAGCTAAGAAGGTCAAAACAATATTTGCATCTTAATATTGCATCATTAGTGAGTAGCCTGTAACTGTTATACAAACAATATTTGCATCATTTGGGAGTTACCTCTAAGTGATATGTGTACAATATTACCATTCTTTGGGAGTTACCTGTAACTGTTATATGTACAATATTACCATAATTTGTGAGTTAGCTGTAAATGTTCTACGAATATATTTTCTTAATTTTGTCAATTTTCAAGGCACATCCAATAACAATGCCCAACACTTCTGTTAATAGAGAAAATGAAAGCCTATTCAGACACATCTTGAAATAACATTGCCCAACACTTCTATTAATAGAAAAAGGGGGAAGCCTATTGAGACACATCTTGAAATAACATTGCCCAACACTTCTATTAATAGAAAAAGGGGAAAGCCTATTGAGACACATCTTGAAATAACATTGCCCAACAGTTCTATTAATAGATAAACGGGAAAGCCTATTGAGACACATCTTGAAATAACATTGCCCAACAGTTCTATTAATAGATAAACGGGAAAGCCTATTGAGACACATCTTGAAATAACATTGCCCAACAGTTCTATTAATAGAAAAAGGGGAAAGCCTATTGAGACACATCTTGAAATAACATTGCCCAACAGTTCTATTAATAGAAAAAGGGGAAAGCCTATTGAGACACATCTTGAAACAACGCTGATCTCCCTGGTGCGCATTTTGCCACGAGTTCACCACCCAACCCACAATGACAGACTCACAACTCGAGTTCACCACCCAACCCACAATGACAGACTCACAACTCGAGTTCACCACTCAACCCACAATGACAGACTCACAACTCGAGTTCACCACTCAACCCACAATGACAGACTCACAACTCGAGTTCACCACTCAACCCACAATGACAGACTCACAACTCGAGTTCACCACTCAACCCACAATGACAGACTCACAACTCGAGTTCACCACTCAACCCACAATGACAGACTCACAACTCGAGTTCACCACCCAACCCACAATGACAGACTCACAACTCGAGTTCACCACTCAACCCACAATGACAGACTCACAACTCGAGTTCACCACTCAACCCACAATGACAGACTCACAACTCGAGTTCACCACCCAACCCACAATGACAGACTCACAACTCGAGTTCACCACTCAACCCACAATGACAGACTCACAATTGGGTTGGATTGAGGCCCACACATCACATCAGCGACTTTATCGATTTTATTGTCCTTTATTTCCCAAGTCCATCGATTCATTTTTTTCAAGTGTTCAACTCTAGAAATCATTCTTACAAATTTGTTGAATGGCCACACTTGCTGTTGTGTATGATGGCCACACTTGCTGTTGTGTCTGATGGCCACACACGCTGTTGTGTATGATGGCCACACTGGCTGTTGTGTATGATGACCACACTTGCTGTTGTGTATGATGACCACACTGTGTATGATGGCCACACTAACTGTTGTCTCTGATGGCCACATGTGCTGTTGTTTCTGATGACAACATTTCGTATTGTGTGTAAAGACCACAATTTTGTTCTGTCTAACTACATTTTTTATGTCATTTGTAATATTTATCAACAATAAATGCCATATGATGTTGTTGCTGAGTAGCAGAACTTTTAATTAATATATTCGACGGCTTCGTGGCGCAGGCGTAACGTGGGCTCCATGGCGCATACATAACCTGGGCTCCATGGCGCATACATAACCTGGGCTCCATGGCGCATACATAACCTGGGCTCCATGGCGCATACATAACCTGGGCTCCATGGCGCATACATAACCTGGGCTCCATGGCGCATACACAACCTGGGCTCCATGGCGCATACATAACCTGGGCTCCATGGCGCATACATAACCTGGGCTCCATGGCGCATACATAACCTGGGCTCCATGGCGCATGCGTATTTTGGGCTTTATGGCGCAGCCGTAACGTTGCTGGAAATGGAATGAACTCGTAAGCAAAGTACGCGGCCCCTCAGACCAGAGAAAAGCCTAAAATAAATCAACAATTCACCAAAGTCATAAGCTAGTCACCCTAACCCTAACCTTTTAATAAATCATCAATTCACCAAAGCCGGAAGCTAGTAACCAATTAGACGATGAATCAACGATCGCCTGTCCACAAAAATACATATGTACTCGTAGCTGTTCAGCTGTATCTGCCTGGATCAAACAGACTGTAAAAAAATTATTTTTTTTCAATTTTATTTATTTAATGGAAAAAATCTATCATCGGCATGAGCTGATCTGTCAAACTAAAGTTATAATATCAACAGTTCTATAAAGTTATGATATCAACAGTTCTATAAAGTTATGATATCAACAGTTCTATAAAGTTATGATATCAACAGTTCTATAAAGTTATGATATCAACAGTTCTATAAAGTTATGATATCAACAGTTCTATAAAGTTATGATATCAACAGTTCTATAAAGTTATGATATCAACAGTTCTATAAAGTTATGATATCAACAGTTCTATAAAGTAATGACTTCGACGCTTCTATTGTGTGACAAAACATATACGCTCTTTAATTAAATTCTTCCTTCTATCAATCTATTGAATTCTTCCTTATATCAATCTATAGAATTCTCCCTTCCATCAATCTATTGAATTCTTCCTTCTATCAATCTATTGAATTCTTCCTTCTATAAATCTATTGAATTCTTCCTTCTATAAATCTATTGCTGCTTTTCTTCCATCAGTCGTCCTTTGCCTTCTTTCTGTCTTATGTCCCCCATTATATTCTACTCTAACAAAGTTTTCTATTCATTTCAAAGTTTTAGTAAACAATATTAGAATTACTTTTTGGTACACAATGTTAGAGTTAGATTTCGGTACACAATATTAGAATTACTTTGTAGTACACAATGTTAGAATTACTTTGTAGTACACAATTCTTAGAATTACTTTGTAGTACACAATATTAGAGTTAGTTTGTAGTACACAATATTAGAGTTAGTTTGTAGTACACAATATTAGAGTTAGTTTGTAGTACACAATATTAGAGATAGTTTTCTCATTTTTAGAAATAAGTATCTATCTATGCGTCAATACAAGAGTGAGATTTCAATTTGCGTTATCTTAAAATATTAGAAGGTGGTGTTCTGATGAATTAATTGCAATTTGCAATATTTTAAACTTTATTTCTTAAAGATTTAAATTTACAAAATAATTTCTTGCCTTACAATGCACCAAATGACCTAAGCTAAAAGATTGATTATGTCTATCTTCAGCATATATGAAACAATCCCAAGATTTCAATCATGTTCTAATAACCCTAACCAAGACTTCAATCATGTTCTAATAAGCCTAACCAAGATTTCAATCATGTTCTGATAACCCTAACCCTAGCATACATATTTCAACATAATACTTAATTGATATATTAGTTCACAAAAGTTATTTTCCAATTGACTTACGTGTTAGTGTTATTTTGTAAAAATTCTCAAATGCGACTTAATAATTATTCTAAATGAACAGACTTTAAGTAAAATATTTCCATTAGTCAACATTAGTTCGGTGGTCTGATCTTAGTTACACTATCATAATCTGTAATAGTTTTAATAATCAACATTCCACGGGGAGATGATACATCAGGTATGTTGATTTACACTAGCATCAAACTACAGTATTAACACGACAATTAAGTTAATACTTTCATTGAAATAATGAACACGGGCAATGGGGGAAGGTTAAAATTAAGACGTACATCAGCTTACCAATCTTTTAATACTGTTAGGTTAGGGTTAGAAATAACCTGACCCTAACCCTAACTAGCTTACCAATCTTTTAATACTTTTCAGCCCACTTTATTATGAAGGTCACGCTAATGTTCAGGCCTAGTTTATGGATATGTCACTTTCATGGTCTGAATTATAACACATAGAACACGATAAGTACACATGCCGTTCATAAGTAAGTTGATTATTCTACATCACACCTCTGTAACACAGTAACCTACATCACACCTCTGTAACACAGTAACCTACATCAAACCTCAATAACATAGAAACCTACATCACACCTCTGTAACACAGTAACCTAAATCACACCCCATGTAACACAGTACACTACATCAAACCTCAGTAACATTAAAACCTACATCATACCCCTGTCACACAGTATCCTACATCACATCCCCTGTAACACAGTAACCTACATCAT